TAATTAATATTTATTATGTATTTTTTACGAAACGCATTAATATAAAAACGGTTATATATATTATTTTAATAAAAAGTTCGCGTCGAATATATTTAATATTATTTTTTTAATAATAAAGGTTAACACTGGAAATTTTATCGTTATTAAGACGATAATTATGAATAATTAATATAAATTAGCTTTTATTATAAAGAAGGAGTTAAATGTTAATAAAAATATATATAATATATTTAATATTATTTTTATATTAAACGCGTGGTATTTTTATTATAATTTTAAATTATATGGTAATTATGGTATTTAAAGGGGTGAAATTTATATAGCCATGCCGCTAGCTTATTTAAGTTTTTTCCTTTTTATATAAGATTAAAAATATTAAATTAATATTAAGTTACGATTAAAGTTTTTTTATAACGCGTTAATTATAATTTATGAATTATATGGGAAAAGTTATACTTATAAAAATATTATTAAAAATAATATTATAGTTAAGTTAAATTTAGGGATTAGTTTTTTTTAGAAAGCGTTAGTTAGCGATTTTGGAAAAGCTGTGAATTATAAAAAAGTACGAATAAAAAGTAAAATATTTAGTTTTTTATATTTAATTATTTTTAAAGTTACGAATCGTTTAAAATATAAGAAGAAAATTAATATATAATTTTTAGGGATTTTATATATATGTTTTTTAGATTAAAAATGATATAAAAACGGTTATAATTTAGTAAATAATTATCGTATTTTAAATATAAAAAATTTCGTACGAAAAAATGTTAAAAAAAAGAAGATTTATAAGCGGGAATTAAATTATATTTTAAATTTATTTAAAAAGGATTTTAAGAAAAAGTATTTTATTTAAAAAACTTTAAATTATTTAATTTAGATAAGTTATAATATCGCGTAAAATGCGTGTTTTAATTTAATTCGGGTTATTTTTTCGTATATATTATAATGATTTTTCGAAATTATAAATAAAAAGTATATTTAAAAAAATAATTTAATATTTAAGTAATTATTAAGTTACGATTATTTATGCGTTTATTTAGTTATATTTAAGGTAGTTTAATATTAATAATAATTATTATCGGTTAAACGAAGTTTAATTAATGTTATATTTTAAAGCGAAATAAAAATATAATAATAAAACGTGGTATTATTATTATTTTTAAGTATATATAATAAAGTATTATAAAAGTTATTTTAAGTAGTTTTAATTTACGTACGTTATAAAAATTATTATATTTTCCCTTTAATGTTTTATATATTTTTTTTTAATTAATTAAAGCTTTTTATCCTTATTTTATAACTTTTATAATACGTACGTATATTATTCTTTTTATAATTTTATATATTTATATAAAAAAAACCTCGTATTTTAATTAACTTTAATTTAAAATATTATTAATTTTTTTTATATTACATTTTATAATGTAAACATTAATATATTAATATATTTTTTTTATATAATCGTTATTAATTCGATTATTAATTTTATTATTTATTTTATTAAAATGAAATTAAAATTTACTTTTAATTCGTTCGTATTTTTTCCAATTAATATACGTAATATTAATATTTTTTTTATTTTTAATATTTATTATTTTTTATACTTTAATTTATATAAAGTATTATTACGTTTTTTTATTTTAAATAACGGGGGTTATTATTATGTTTTTATTTATAACGTTTATTATATTATAATTAAGAATACTTAATTAAAAAATAATGCTTTATTTTATAATTATTTATTTACGTTACGAAACTTTTCGGTTTTTTTAATTAATATATTTAAAAACGGTATATTACGTGAAAAAACGTATTACTTTCATGTTTATACGAATTCGTTTAATAAGTTATTCATTTATTACTTTTTATTATATATCGTTAATATTAATATATTACGTATAAATTTATATTTTATTATTATTAAATTTCGATATTAAGTTTTTTTTTATAATTATATATTATTTTCATGGATTTTAAATATTTTTTTTATTTTAATGTTAAAAATGTTTTTATTAACGAAAAGTTTTATTAATGCCACTTATATTCGGGATAAATTTTACCGGGTTATTTAAACACGTTATTATAATAAACGTATTTATATTATTTTTAAAGCCGAATCGAATTAATTTATTAATAATTAAATAAATTAATATTTATTAAATTTAAAGAATTTTTTTAAAATAAATGACATTAATAATACGTTATTTTTTTATCTTAATGTTTATAAAATGTTCGATTTAAAAAAATTTATTATTATTTTTAAAAAATAAAAGAATGATTATAAATTATCGTTATACGTATTTCATTTATAACTTTAATATTTTTTCGAATAAAATAATTTATATTATAACCGGTTATTATAATTAATTATTAATATTAAATTTAAATTTTTTTTCATTTAATTTATATAATCGTTATTTAATAATATAACATTAAGGATTTTTAAATTTAACCGTTTATATATTAAAATTTTTATTCGTTAATTAAGAATTTTTAATTAATTAAATTTAGTTATTTAAAATAATGAGATTTTGGTTTAGTTTTATATTTTTTAAAATAACGTTTAAAAGTTTGTTAAAAATAACGAAACGGTTAATTTTTTAAGTAAAAAACGTTCGAAATTTACCCGTAATAAAAATACTTATTAATTTTATTTTATTTTTAAGGAGCGTATAATAAATTTTCTTAACGATAAAAGATATAATTTACGTATTTTAAAAGTTGAGAACGATTTATATAACGAAAATAATAATAATAACGATAAAAAGTTTTATAAAAAGTGTAAGTTAAAACGTATTATTAATTTATCGTATTAAAACTTTATTTTTAGTTTATCGTTATTAATTGTTAATATCGTTAATAATAATCGTTTTAATAAGCTGGAAAATATTAAGACGAAAATTAAGTTAAATTTTAATAATAAAAATATTAAATTAGTAATTTTTTTTAAATATGAGGAGTAATATTATATAAGTAATAATATTTAAACTTTCGCACGCGTTATTATACGTAAATTAATTTTATACTTAATAAATTATTTTTTTTTTTTAATTAATAATTTTACTTTGTATAATTAAACATTATTAAGTTAAAAATAATTTATTAGTTGTTTTTTTTTAAGTTTTTTTATTAGTATTTTTAAGTTTAAATACGCGGAATTTTTTATTTTTATTAATTTTATTTACTTTATTTTTAATTATTTAATTTTAAATATTTTTAACGTATAATAAATCATTTATTTAATTCGAATTATTAATTATATTCGACTTGTTATTTATAATTAATTTTTTATTTATATTTCCCGGTTTTTTACTTTTAATATTTATTTTTAGTAAAAAGCGTAAACGTTTATGTAGCCGAGTCGAAACATTTTCGTAATTATTAATATTATTATTAAAGTTATTTTAGTTATGTATATTATTAAAATAATTATTATAATAAATAAAGTTAAATATATTTTAAAAAATATTAATATTATATTTATTTTTATTATCGTTTTATTCGTTTGAATGAGGACGTTTTATTTTAGTTAATTTATTAATGTGGTTTTTATTTCGTGGTTAAGAATAATTATTTATAAAATTTTTTTAAACTTTTTTAATTTTATTATTTTTTTAAACTTTAAGTATATTAAAATATATTATTTTATTTACGTTTAGTTTTTTAAGAATTAATATAATTTATTTAATAAAAATTAACCACGTAAATTAAGCGAAAAAATATTTTTAAAATAATTTTTTAAATAAAAAAAACGGTTTATTATAATAATATGTAATTAATTTTAAATTATTATTAATTAATTTATTCGAAGTTATAAACGTATAAAAACGTAAACGAAGTTAACGGTTGCTTTAAACATTTAGTTTAAGGAAAAAAATAAAGTTATTATAATTAAAAAATTAATAAATATTTTTACGAAAAGGTAGGAGATTAAAGTAACCGTTAAGTGGATCGTTTCGTAAAAACTTTTCGACCGTAACGTAATCGCGTATATAATTTTTTTTAAATTATATTTTATTTAAAGTTAATTTTAAAATAATATAATAAAGTTTTAACTCGTAAGTTATTTCGTTAAAATAATAATGTTTATTATATAATGTTATAATAAAAAAGGACGTATATAATTCGAATTATTTTATTTTTATTTTATTTAACTTATTAACATTAAAAAAAAAAACTTCGATAAATATTTTAAGTATTTTTTTAAGAAACGGTTAATTCGTAAAATTTAAATAAAAAGAATATTATTTTATAATAAAATATTAATATAAAAAACGATAAAAATATTAATATATTATTAAATATAATGTATTTTTAGTTTAATTTAAAATATGGAAATAATATTTATTATTTTATAATATATCGTTATTAAGTATTTTCACGGTAAGTTTATTTACGTTTATAAACTTCGATATAAATGGTTTATTTTTTCGATTTTATTCTTTATTTTCGATTTATACGTTATAAGTTATAATATAATAAACATAATATAAAAAAAGGTAATAAAATTTTTTATTAATAATTTATAAACTTATTAATAAGTTTAAATATAAATAACCCGGGTAATAAATATTAATACGTTAAAATAAATTTTTAATTTTATTATTTTATGAAAATAATTAAAGTATAAAAAAACCGTAAGCGTTTATTTTTTTTAATTTAATGATAATATTTTCTTAATAATTTAATAATAATATTTTATAATAACATTATTATAAGATTTAAAATTAAAAATAATTAAAATTATTTAAATATTTAAATAAATAAGTAAGTAACGAAAAATAAAGAATAATATTAAACCGAACCTAATAATTAATGTTTATTAAATAAAATTTACGTCTTTACCGATAAATTATTATAAATAATATTATTCGTAACACGAATTATATTTCTTTTTTATATATTCATATTATAAAGCCTGTTACATGCATAAGTTAGAATGATTTGGCGGGATGGCGGATTTTCGAACTATCGACCTCCGTCGGTAGCAGGGTTATGCCTACAGGGGGTAATTATGAAGTCAACAATACAGTATGGTGTCACTCGGAAGCCAAGCTAGCCGATGTGAAGCTTTGCACTTTTTCTTCTACAGCATCATCGTACCACACGGCATCCTAGAATCCGGCATACCTCTTCGAAGCTGCGCCCTCGTCGAATATACCAATTGAAGGGCTAGAAGACGGATTAGAGAGGCTACGAACCTTTCAACTTGGTCTAAGGACAATCTATAATAAAAGGGGGTCGCCCCAGAAGAGAGCAGGACGAAGCAACAAGCTGTTCTCCCCGCGCAAATTTTCTGCGCAAAAGATCTCCATTCCCATCTCCATCTCCATCTCCAAAACCTCGAACAACAACATGGCGCCCAAGTCGAAACAACAACAGCCCGCGCATAGCTCGCATGGCTATGAATTTGGAGGCCCGTGAGTGTTGATTCTACCTACTAGGTAGTATATTACCATGAATAGGATGTGGGACTAATGGTAAACATTGGTTTAGATTCGGTACCGCTGGAATCACATTCGGTCTCCCGATACTCTGCTACGTCTTTTCATTCGCGTGTAACGACGTTACCGGATGCCCTGCGCCATCGCTATTAAGCCCAAAAACCATATCCATCGAACAATTGAAAACCGAAGTGGGATGGCCAGAAGATGGATTCTGGGGTTTAGCCAGTTGGGAGGCCACGGGTTGGACCATAGCGTACTACTTCTTCAGCGCCCTTTTATATCGTCTTCTTCCCGCTACCGAGGTTGAGGGTACCAAATTATCTAGCGGAGGAAAACTCAAGTACAGGTTCAATGGTTAGTATAATTGCTTAGGTGGTTATGGATAGCTACCTATATATAACTTTAGAGACAAAGCCCAAGCTAACATTGTTTACTCCAGCTTTCAACTCAGCTATATTCACCCTTGTCATTTGCCTTGCTGGCACCGTCTCGCAGGGTGCCGAGTTTCCCCTATGGACCTTCATTGCCGACAACTACATACAAATCCTGACCGCCAACATCATCATCGCTTATGCCCTTGCCACATTCGTCTACGTCCGTAGCTTTTCTGTGAAGCCAGGCAACCCCCAACACCGACTGCTTGCCGAAGGTGGATGTTCTGGCAATCTCATATACGACTTCTACATGGGACGGGAGCTCAACCCTCGTATCACAATTCCTATCATCGGTGAGATTGATATCAAGGAATGGATGGAGCTGCGTCCCGGCATGCTTGGCTGGATTCTCCTCAACTGTGCTTTTGTCGCCAAGCAATATCGCACCTTTGGTTTTGTGAGCGACAGCATCGTCTTTATCACAATTGTTCAAGCAGTCTATGTCATCGATGGTATATTCATGGAGCCTGCAATTCTCACGACAATCGACATCATCAATGACGGTTTTGGTTTCATGTTGTCTTTTGGAGATCTCGTCTGGGTTCCTTTTATCTATAGCCAACAGACACGATATCTGTCTACCCATCCGGTGATTCTAGGTTGGCTGGGTACTACGGCTATGTCTCTTATCCTTATAACCGGTTTCTCTATCTTCCGCCTCAGCAATGCTCAGAAAAACACCTTCCGAACCAACCCCAACGACCCACGCGTGGCTCATATCACCTACATCGAAACCAAGACAGGTTCTCGGTTGATGACGTCCGGCTGGTGGGGCATTGCAAGACACATCAACTACCTTGGTGATTGGTTACAGTCCTGGCCATATGCTCTCCCAACTGGTTTTGCTGGCTACGCGATCCTATCCGCAGGAAGCAATGTTGAAGGGGCGATCAAAATGCTTGACGGAAGAGAAGTTGTACAGGGACCTGCCAAGTATTGGGGTATGATCTTCACATACTTCTACGTCGTCTACTTTGCTGTCCTCCTTGTTCACCGCGATGGCCGAGATGATGAGAAGTGCGCCAAGAAATACGGTGCAGACTGGGAGAAATACAAGAGCATCGTAAAGTATAAGATTGTACCTGGGATTTATTAAAAAGAGGGACAAATAAAGACAAGCTTAATCCGGGTTCAGAGTGAGTAGATGCGAATATCACCTCCCTACCTAAGTACCTAGTAATAAAAAGAAATACAGATCAATGGGATAGTAACGAATATATGATGTGCTTAAGACTCTCGGTGCTTTCATGCTAAACGAAATCAGTAGCTACCTAGTACTACGTAGATACCGTACCTTTTAAGTGTCCAATTGATGACTCAACATCAAAGACTAGAAGCAGGCAGTCACGATAGCTTCAGGAAGGTGTTTCGTCGATATCGCTTTCCATGAATCACCCAAAGCATTGAACATTTAAATATCAATGTTCATGCCGACAGCCTTTGTGATAATATTTAGATGGCAACCGATAGCCGTACAAATAAAATTTTAGTATCATTTATTTTATCACGCACTATGTCGACGCAGACTCAGTCTCCACAACCTATTTATCAACGCTTTTCCAAACACATCAATTAAATATTCCACTTTGTCAATCCGACAACTTCGACAATTATTCGGTTCACTTGCAATCTAACTGATATTGTTTCGCCGCACCAGCTGCCAAACATCTATTTAATCGCCACACCACGCTCTATCCAGTATATCGCGATACCATCTCTCAATCAAATACGGTAAGTAATTCACAATCGTTATAGTTAGTCACATTTGGCCAACTCTAATACCACATTGTAGACATGTCGTTTTACGGTCGTCCCTACTACGCATTATTCTTCGACAGTAGTGATGGTGCCCTCCATCCTCTAGGCCTAACCGTCAACTTAACTCGAGACAAATTTCATGGCGTCACTGTCGTCGAAGCGCGACCCGTTATGATACGAGGCTTCACCTTTATGGTTCCGTTCATCGAACTACGTAACACTGGAGTCTACCATTACGGCGTACCGATCTTCGCCATTCGCACTGTAGGCCGTGAACGTTTTTCGAGGCATGGGATAGTCCTCAGACACCATGGATTCTTACGGCTACCGTGGAACGTCGACGACTATCCAAAGATCACCCGAACCATGTCCGAGCCTCCTCGTTCTCGCTCTCCTCTCGTAGAGCTCTGCCCCCCCTCCACGCCGTAGGTGGAGTCGCCGATGCATGTCGCCGATGCATATTTCTGTTGAACAGAAGACATGGGAGCTATGGTCATGGGCTTGGGATCATTATAAGATGATTGAGACCACTACAAGATGCGACGATTGTCCACAGTGGGGACATAATGGCGTTACATGGTCAGGAGGGAGTTTTTTTTTTCTTATTTGCTGGTTCGCTATTGCCGTCTGTCCTACATCAGCTACAGTTGACGCTCGAGAAGCTTAGCAGCTAGGACCTTTAATGGAAACTTCAATCAACTGAAATATGCGCATATAATGCTCTTCATTACGTATGCAGGTATCTTTGTGTACTCTGAGGACTATTTGCCTACGGCAAATAGGTGTAGCTGTGTCCAGATTGTACAAGCGGAACGGTACCTGGGTAAGTTTGATATACAGTGTTCGCACGGTACTCGTTTGCCATAGAACTGATAACATGATGATAGTTCAGCCAACTGGACGCCATAGTTCATCCTAACATAAACTTATTTCTGTTTTATGATTTCTAATAAGGTTTCTTCATGTTCACACGGCCCTGCAATTGCATAAGTTCTTAGGGGTATATAATCATAGTATTTCCTTTCCCTTTTCCCTCTCTTTTTACATCCTTCTCTTTACCACTATCCGTGGTATGGACACTCATGGTGATTTCATACCCTAACCACACTTAAAAATAATCTTAACAATAATATCTCCTTCGACTTCACAATGTCCCCCCGTCCCGAAAGCAAACCCTCCACCAGCTTAAACCCCTCTTTATGTTGAGGGGGGATTAACCTCAGTCTCACGTCGCCTGCAACTTGCTTCACCACGGGAGCAACCATCTAAAAGAGGCATTATCCTATTAATCACTATTTATGACATAATATTATGGAGGCAGCACCCTCCATCCATTGCGACAACGGCAAACACCTTTCCCTGCGTTCATCTATGCTGCTGGAACAATGTAAGATAGTCCACCATTTGGACTGGTGAGATTGCGATAATAATTGGCAATCGCGGTGGGTGGTCTTCGACATATTCGACAAGAGAGACTCATGACCGGGTAAGGAATTAATATCCCTCTTAATTCAACATCGATCTAACACTAACAAATCAAAGCTACGGGACTACGACTACACTGCATCTCGAGCCTGAAGTCTTTAACAGGAACAGAATTGTATTAGAGCGGCGACAGATTTCTTTGGCCTTCTCCTACGATAACAGCCAAAAGTAGGGCTCTTTATATAATGAGCGATGAGACCGCTTTCAACACTGCCTTCCTAGAAATGGAGGCATCTATAGGACGTTGGCCGACAATGAATTCCAATATTACCCATGATTCACAATGCTTCAGACGCTAAAGAAAGAGTACAGGAAAATAAGTCAATACTCGAAGATGTCACGGATGACATTGCAGTAAACAATGACGAAACAGCATATCCTGTGTCGGAAATCGAGATGTCGACAGAATTTCGCGATCGAATCATAGCCGGATATGAACATGACCGAAGGTTGAAGAGAATGAAAGAGATTCTGACGGAAGCAAAACGAGACAACAAAAGCACAGCCCGCTGGTACAGACATGAATTGAAGGATGGTCTATCCTTAAAACCCTCCGAGGAAACCTTGGAATCGCATACATGCTATGTCGGACCCGTATGCCTCTTAAATAATTACGCATAAATTGCGAAATTCGGGCTGGGGAATAAGAGAGACGGCGAGACCGGTGTCACCTCAATACACTCGCAGCTGTGGCATAAGCATGACTTCTTAGACTGCATCTAACGACGAGCCTATTACGAACATAATAATCCCACCAGTAACGCCGGCACTGAGACTTTTATAATGCTGCATCCATATCGAAAACTCACGCACCACAAGAACGTGGCACACAGTAACCGTTCCAATCTCTACCTTCTTCGATTACATGGAAATCTCAAATAGCTCTTTAGGTTGCTATCAATATCTATGACAGAAGTCGTTAACCTGCCACAATCAGCAACTTATGGCGTCTCTTCGCCATTGGGGTCCTTCTTCATACCGCAATATCACAACAACTAAACTATTAACCAACTCCAAGTAATAAAATAGCTATCACAGGTCAAACCGCCACCAATGACCCCATCAAGCAATACGTTCTCTGATACACCAAGGCAGACTGAAACGTCATTGCCGTTCACCTTCAGTCTACCTTTGATGTGATCCAATTCTTTCTTCCCAAGGGACAAGCCCTTGATGCCCGAACAACGCTGCAGAAGCGGCTGAGAAGAGAACCCGTCGAGTTCCTACTCTACCGAACTAGCTATCTGGGATCCCGTCGTACCTTTCGCGGCTGGTACCAAAGCATAGAATCTCAACACTGTTCAAAAGCCGACAAAGATAGGTACCTAGCCGGCCCACCTAACTCTGGCTCGAGTATATACTTAGTATTTACAGACGTCCAAGAACTAGATACAGAGACCAGAGAAATGCTCTTCTGTCCCGTTCGAAACGAACGCCATAGCACCGATTCAGCGCTATCACGAAATGGGCGATATGGGAGCTGCGTCACGGAAGATTCCAAGTATTTGGAATGCTTATAACGGAGGTTGGGATTTTTTGGTACCTTATCAACAAATAAAATGATTGTGTGAGAATTAATAAGATCTCTAAGATGACGTACATTTACGAAGAACACTAGAGGAATGATGCAGCATGGCTTCATTAGATCCAAACTATCACCATTTGAGTACCATGAAGATTGTCTAAAGCTGTTCGTTCCGAGGACCGGGTATCTTCGAACAGATGAAGATCTTTCATTAGGTACCTTTGAGGCAAACGTTGAGGAGGACTACGAAGAAGGACGAGAAAAGGGATATGATATTGAGAAGACGTTAAGGACTGGGAGGTTGCTAATGTATGTCTATAAGCGGGACGCTCAGTTTTGTTTGTTGAGGAGTAGCTGGACGCTGCTACCTTCTAAGGGTGTCTGTATTAGTACGTGGAAAGAATGGGGGTAAAAGTAACATGTGATAGGGGGTTTGTGCGCGACCAATGCCCACATCTCAAATTCCCATTTTCTAAAACCATTCCTCTTTCCCCGCGAATAGTGCGGGGAAAGTAAACATAGTGGGAACTTGGAGTCGGGATGACCTCAAGACAACTTACGGTGGCGGAACGAACAAATGAATATAATAACAAAAGCAAAGGAAGACGAAAGTTTTATTCTCTCGATAGATAGATAGACACATTGAAATTTATAAGGGTTATACACCATACACAAGAGGATACCATGTAAATATCCACGCCGGTAATAAAAAAGCATAGAAAAACAATCGCCAACCATAATCAAACCAACTAGATATCTCTCTACCTATACATTGTGTGATCGTCTTTATTCATTGTCTATACCTGTAACCTCATCAATCCCTATAATACCCCTAAAACCCCAACCGCCATCATACAAGTTCGTATACCCCAACGATTTACTTCAGGTATTTCATGATCTCTTCCCGTTCGGCAACGGGCATCATGTGGAGCATGTCTTTTAGGCCCTTGAGAGCTGAGGATTTGTTAGCTCTTACGAGGTCGGCCATCTCCCTCGAGACAGCGTCAGACTTGATCTGCTGGATCTTAGCCTCGATCGTCTGCGCGTTCTCTTCGTACCAGGTTACTACATCCCGATCGCTGCGGTCAAAGTTGGCGATACCAGACCAAGCGGCGAGTAGGCGGAGATGGTGCTGGCGATTTTCTGTAGCTTCAGCGCCGTTCGAGTCAGTCGGCTTGTCAGAAGTCGAGGCAGCAGCCATACGCTTAAGGATGTGCTCTTCATTGAGACGTCTGCGCACACGCCAGTAGAAGAACCGACGAGTGTCCTTCCACTCAAGGGCTTCCCGAATGGTGCCCTTGGCCTTCATGCGGCCGGCCCGGTCGTGCAGGTCAGCGAACTGGATGCTGATCTGGGCGTAGATAGGCAATAGTTGCCTCTCACGTTCTGCCATCCTCTCCTTGATCACGGAAAGTTCTTCCTTGGAGAGGTTGGTATCGGCGGCCTGCTTCTTGAGCGCAGCATAAGAAGGATCTAAGCGAGCCATGGTCTCAAGCTGCTTCTCTTTCTTGTACTTAATACCGATGATACCCTCCGGTTCCAAGACACCAGCGCGGGACTCGACGTCGGCGTACATTTCCATGGCGACGGGGTTGATTGTTGGATCAACCACAACCCAGGAGCCACCGCGGAGCTCACCGTAGGGGGGAATATATACGAAGATCGGCTGCTCGAACTTGACAAGTGCGTCGACGATGTATGAACCATACTTCAGAACCTCGTTGTACATGTCGCGCTGGCCGCCGGAGAAACCACGCCAGTTGGCAAGGATCATCAAAGGAAGCTGCTCACCATGGTTGAAGTCGTTAATGGCTTGGGCAGTCTTGAACGCGGAGTTAGGGTACCAAACACCGCCGGCTTCGTTGCTGACCTGCTCGACGGAGTCGGGGTTCGCAGGGTCGGCGGGAGTGATGTTCTCCACAGTTCGGGTCTCGACGGCAATAACACCCATTGGGATACCGCCAAGGCGAGCACGACCGACGACTACAGTGCGGGCCCAGCCACCAAGTGTCTCGACGAAAGAGTCCTTGTCGAAGAGACCAGGTTGGAAGCTATCCTCATCTTGCTTACCAGCGATGAGCCATCTGACATCATGAGGCTGCTTGTTTGGCGGGGTGTAGATGATCTCACGGTCCCAAGGGTCAAGGCTAGGTAGGATAGGTACAGGGAGATTGCGCTGGGCGGGAACAAAGGACAACCATTCAACGATCTTAGAGACACCGGCGAAGTCATCATTGGCCGTTAAGTGCGATACACCATTGCGGTACATGATTTGGGTACCACCAAGTTGCAAGTTTGAGGTGTATACTTCGCGACCAAGCAAGTTGTTGAGAGCCTGAGCACCAGTGAGGATGATGGGCTGACCTTCAATCTGAACGGCACGCTGGCCAAGGCGGACAAGGTAAGCACCGATACCTAGAAGAATAGTTAGTAAATCAGGTTGAAAAAGGAGGAGTGCAGAGATCAAACTCACCAATCGATCTGCACGTAATGAGCGTGACAGTGAAGATATCGTTGTAAGCACGGCTGGTAGCACCGGCGATGAGACCGGAGCCTCTTAAGCATTCAACACCCAGACCATCCTCGGCACCAACAACGGCGACAATCTTGTAGCGAGTCTCTCCGATTTCGGTAATCTCTTCGGTGATAACGTCTCGCCTAGCGCCATCTTCAAATCGCTTCTTGGCATCGGCATCTAGGTAGAGGTACTTGAAGCCTGACTCTTGTTTCTCTGGATCGTTCCAAGCAACCTTGAAGTGCGGGATCAACTCGTCAGCAACACCCAGTCGTGCACCAGAGTTAGCTGAAAGGTAAATGCGAGGGATACCCATGCTACGAGCCAACTCTGTGCACTTGTTGAAGAAGTGGTCTTCCTTGGGACCGAAGGATCCGATCTTGTAGGTGATATCGTTGGCAACGACAACGAATTTTCTTCCAGTGGGGTACTCAGGGGTGCGGGCATTGATGACCCAACCGACCATACCGCACGTGTTAGTACCAGGTTCTCGAGAAACCTCGATTAACTTATCGCGATCATCGAGAACAAGTTCACTGTAGTCGATGCATTCACCCTGGGCAGGCTTCTTGACGGCCAAGGACGGTAGTGTTGAGGTAATCTTCGTCCAAGTGTTTTCAACGGCTTGCCTGAAAAGCTCGGGGAAATCGTACACGTATTGGGTACCCATCAAATGCGCCCTGTAACGCTTGGGTTGGAGCCAATTCTTCGTCGGGTACGGGGAGCAGACGGGTAGTAGATGCATTGACCCAATCTTTGTAGTGCCACCGATGGAGTAGAAGACCATTTCACCCTTCTCGGACTTTCTCTCTGCGTAGATTTCGACTTGGATGACATATCCAGAGGTGTTCGTGATGATAACACGTAGAGGATAAGGCATACCCGTGGATGCATCCGTGCAGATAATGCGAATCTCGACTTGAGACACACGAAGACGCCAGCCGCGGGGGCCAAATCTGTCTAGGAAGCCCTGGAGGGACTGCTCAACCTCTTGAGGCTTCAGCTGGAAGACCGGTGTGAAATTCAAGAACATGTGGTTCAAGTCAGAGTTGTTGTTTCCAATGATTTCAAGGGCATCGAAAATATCATTAATGACTCGGTCAGTCTCAGAGACAAGGTATTCCGTGGTGGGGATGTCATCCCGAAGGCGACCAGGACGAATGACAGCACGCGTGAAGTATCTCTTGTCGGTGTCAACGCCTTTGCCGATGCCTTCGTACACGTGAATATTCTTGTTCTCAGTGAACACGGGGGATATCTTGAATTTGGCGAGGCGCGCAAGTTCCAGCTGGAAGGCCAAAGCGGGCTCGACATGACGAATGCTGTCGTCTTCCAAGAACTCGGGGGCACGGAAAGTGTAGTAGCCTGGGTATGAACCATCATTGTGACCACAGACAAATGTAACACGGCGGACCCGGTGATTAATGAAATCATGCTTCAACGAATCGATTATGGAGCGAATGCGGCTCAGAATGTCTTGGTCATCATAAGACTCAACATCACGAACCGCGACATTAACCACGTTGGTTAGCTCCTCCTCTATAGGCTTCTGGGCAAATGATTTGCGCTTGCCAGTGAGATCAGGGATAAGCACGGCACGCTTCTTGGTCGGTATTACTTCCAGAGCCTTCTGGAGCATTTCGTCGGCATCATCCAAGTACCTGCAAGGCACAACAACACCCTTGCGGGTGGGTTCCTCATCAGTACGGTGCTTTAGATAAGACATGTCACTAACAGAGCTAATCCGATTGAAAGGGGGGGGAGCTTCCGTAGTAGGAGTGCCAGGGACGGATGGATTGGCCGAGGAGAGAGGGAGGGAAAATTCGGTCTGCCCAACCTTGCGGAAGGAAAAGTCCCAAGACAAGAATAGAGGGACCGAGTCTGTCTCATCATCGTGGTATTCTAATTTCTTAAAGTTGTACGCACGATAGGCTCGGCGGACGTACACCTCTAGGGCGGCAGCATTGACCCAGGGATCTTCGTGGGCGAAGAAGGATGCCAACACGTCAAAAACGGTGTATTTGGAATCGACCACCTCCTTGATGATATCGAGGTTGGGCTCTCTGTGATCCCAGCCAGTCTCACCATACTTGTTCTCAACAACAGAAGAACGTAGGATGTGTTCCATTTGAGCGGTTCGCTCTTCCAGGGACGGTAGCGCGCACTGAATCAGAATTTCACGAGCTTTCAGAGAAACCTTAGCAGTCTGACGCGACTCGAGTTCCGTGAGCTTGCGCAGGACTGGTCTTAAGTGCTTTCCAATATTGCCGACGTTAGGCTTGTTCGGGCGATATTCATCCAGAATGGCCAAGATGAGATGATTCTTTGAGCCGACGCGACTGTGAGATAGGACTACTTGGATGACTTTGATGTAATCTTCTCTGTTCTCTTCACGAAGCTTTAGGATTACTTCCTCATCCTGGCTTCGCCGTCCCGAGAAGCGGGTCTCAATATCAGCGTAGCTCTGGAGGAAGCCCGCGATAACATTAAGTTCGTGCACTTTCTGGCCATCAGCATAGTTGTCGACGATTTCAACCAACGGCGCAATGGTTGTTCGCAGCGCGTCAGCTTCACTAGGAGTAGTGTTGTCGTCCAAGAACTTCGTAAGAGTTCTAGATAAAGTCTTAGCGGGGAACTCTGCAACGCGACCCTTGGCCTTATCAACCACTTGAGTCAATTGAACGTCAAGCTTGTGCGGCATCCTAGAGTGAAGCGCAGCATGGTGAGTTGCCCATTCGCTATATGGGAGCTCGGGGTTCCGCAACACTTCGATCATCTCTTTCAGCGTTTGTTGCATGATGACGGAGTTGTCGTAACCCGAGAGGATATTCTTAAGGATGTTATATGTCAAAGCGAATCTCTGCGCAGGCTTGTTGCCCGTAACCTGAGGCGGTCCGAATTCAGGGAGCTGTCCAAGGAATGGCTGCGCTTGCTTGACGCGAGAGGGGTCGTCAAGAGCAAGAATACCGAGGATATCGCCAGCTTCGATAGTGACGCCAGGCTGCTTAATCAACTGCACGATACCATCTTCTTGGGCGATCAAAGGCATGAACATCTTCATAACCTCAACCTCAGCATACGTCTGTCCAGCTTTAACGTGTTCACCGTTTTCTACAGTGTATTTCACAAGCTTGCCAGGGCTAGGCGAGCGCAGCTGAGTAGGGTCGTTCTCCTGCTCCAGAAGGCAGGTCTTGCTGTCGACGGAAATACGGGTGGCGCCAACCTCTTCCTTCCAGTATACGCTGTGACTACGTCCATCGAGAAGGATGAGTAGCCCACCATCGCTAAGGGCACGGACTCCAACGGAACATTTGGAGCCGTTAATGAAGAGATGGTAGCTGTCAACGGCAGCACGAGTAGCAGTAAATTTATACCGGTGACCTTCGTAAATGAAGTCAATCGGAAATACTGTCTTCAGAATGTCCTTAGAGGGCACTTGACCTCTCTCAAGGCCAGACCGGTACTCTGCGATGACAGCCTCGCTAGCAATATGAGCCTTGGTGGTGGCTCCGCAGACGACAGCTAGCATGGGATCCGGTCGCTCAGCAGTCAGCTTGTTTGAAATAAGCTCATCAAGCCAGCCAGTCGTGATTGTGTTATCTTCGAACGCTTCCGTCTCAAGAAGTTTAATTAGATATTCGACGGTCGTCCTAAAGTCACCACGAATGCTCAACTCCTTCAAGGCAACTACCATGTTCTTCCGCGAGGCAGCTCGGTTCTCGCCATAAGCGAAAATGTGACCGAATTGACTGTCAGAGAAACTGTGAATACTGGACGCAGTACTGACAGAGAAATAACCCCAAACGTTTGCACTACTTCGGAAGTTGAGGTCATGCATCACACCGTTTGAAGGCTTGAATCCCTCGCCAGGATCTTCGGAAGTAATTCTGCACGCAGTGCAGTGGCCACGCGGCTGTGGTCGTCGCTGGGTCTTCTCGCTTCCTGGAGCCTTGAATTCAAAGTCGATCTCGGTGGTGAGTTTAGGGTCAACACCATAGAGTAATCGGATGTCGCTAATTCGGTGGAGAGGAATACCCATAGCGACTTGCAATTGAGCAACTGGCAAGTTCACACCACTGACCATTTCCGTAGTAGGGTGCTCTACTTGGAGACGAGGGTTCAACTCTAAGAAATAGAACTTGTCGTCGTCGTGAGAGTAAAGATATTCAACGGTTCCGGCGGAGACGTAACCGACTAGACGTCCAAGTCGCACAGCAGCATCTTCCATGCCCTTGAATGTAGGCGGCTTGGCGATTGTGACAGGTGCCTCCTCAATGATCTTCTGGTGTCTTCGTTGTACGGAACAATCTCTACCAAAAAGCGAGACATTGTTACCATACTGATCAGCCAGCAATTGCACCTCCAAATGTCGAGCATTGCCTGCCAACTTCATGATAAAGATCGGAGAACCAGGAATTTCACTCGCTGCGGCATTGTATAATTGTTCGAATCCCTCTTCGGACATGGCTTTTCGGATACCTTTACCGCCGCCACCTTCGGAGGCCTTGATCATCACCGGAAAGCCAATTTCTTTAGCCTTCTCCAGACCCTCTTCCCAAGAACTGACGCATCCCTTCATGTATACTTCATCAGCAACTGTGACAATACCCTTGTCATCCACTACAACAGTGTCGACGCCAGTTCCTGACCATGGGATACAAGGCACTCGGGCATGCTGTGCAACGATAGTAGAAGAGATCTTGTCACCGAGAGAGCGCATGGCAGATCCCGGAGGGCCGATAAAGACAATCTTTTTGGGTGATGCTGCCAAAGACTCTGGAAGCTTAGGGTTTTCTGAGGCGTGTCCCCTAAATTGCCGTTAGCACGAATTCATCAAAGACCCAGCTTATAGGCTCGTTTCTAGAACTCACCATCCAGCCCAAACAGCGTGAACGTTCATGCGTTCAGCGACATCCACAATCAGCTCCACGTTAGCGTAATTGTGGTTATTTGTGCCACCGGGAACTTCCACATAGTGATCAGCCATTCGGATATAATCCGCGTTGGCCGCAAGATCTTCCGGTGTTGCCATAACCGTGAACTGAATGGCTCTCTCGTCGCCGAATGTTTCGTACGCCCATTTTCGTACAGATCGGATTTCCTTCACGGCAGCAATACCATTGTTGGCGATTAGGATCTACAAACGTCAGCTTCTATTCGCCAGATTTTGCAATAACCAACTTCTTCAGACTCACGTTTGAGATTACGGTATGTCCATCGTGCGAAGCAACGAAATCCTTCACTTTCGACGGAGGTGCATTTTCTAATTTGTTGCCACCAATGAAGTGTTCTGGTAGCTTGTGTTTCTCGGCGTATGTGACTTTGCCGTTGGTGATAGGCACCGTTCGGGTGCCATTCGTTGGAGGGGTCATGATGTCGGTTGTGGAAGTGGAGAGGCAGGAAACCTCCGGGACGTATGTTAAGGGAGTTGGAGTGATTATTCGGAATAGGATAGTTAACGGGTCATTAAAGAATAACGGATGCCCGGATCGAGCTCCTGCAAAGCGCCAAAGATTCGCAATGGTGTTTTACAGAACAAGAGCAAACGGAATAACTCGGTTTTCCGGTGGTACCGAATTAGGAACGAGCAACAATGTTGTAGGCTGACTCGAAGCGAGATAGGGAGTAAGCAAGAATTCAAGCTGACCTCCCGTATTTTTTGTCAGAGGAAGGGAAGGAAGGAGGACAGTCGAGTAGAAAACCAAAGGGTTGGTTTCTATGTCGAAGAAGTAGAGGAGATCTGGTTCAGAGCAAAAAGTATGAAGTCAGCTGGGAGTTGAACCATTTGAAGAATTGGGCAAGTTCCAATTTAATCCCACAATCGAACAAAACAGAAGTCGTTGTTGAGCTAGGTCCCTTGCGATTTCCCGTCGATCCAAACGGGTACGGCGGCAGGTAGCAGGGTGCAGTGACCGTAACGAATTGCGCGTAAACAATGCCTAAATACATATGCTTATAAAAGAGTTCCGAACTTACAAGTGCAACAAATCAACAGGTAAGGTTAACCGTACAAGATGTCCCATTCATCGATGAAGTTGAAAGAGTGGGATGGAGGGGTAAGGAAATGTTGAAGCATGGACGACAACAACAATTCGAGGGTAAGGACAAGATTGCGTCAAGGAATGAAAAATATCAGAGAGGATTGACGGACATCCAGCTTATTTGGACGGGATGGGATATCGTAATGTATGTATGTCCCAGAAATCCCAGAAGAAAAAAAGAGGATCAAACCTAGCACTAAAAACCTGGTAAATCCAGCGTAGACCAGCGAGGCTGATATGGTTAAAATGAACTAAATAAACTAATTCCACGGTGGTGATCGACAATTAGGTCACCAATTTGGCCAATCGCAAAGTTCCCCAGGGTGTTGGGGACATCCATCAGCTAGCGTCCTCCAAAGTTAGAAAATACCTAGGTACTTAAGTACTATGTACATTATGTAGAATCTACGTCCCGGGTCGGGTCTACTGCGACGGGCGCGCCTGCAAGTGGGTACAGGTACAAATCAGGGTGGGTACCACGTCGTACCAATCCGGGCCAAAAAGTGTTCCAGTCACATATAAACGCTGATAGATGTGTACCATCATAGTAAGTACAGGCTCAAGCTCCAAACGTCTCCACATGGCTGAATAAGATTTTAGACTTCGAATTGAAGGTACCGTACGTCGGATCGATGGCGGAACATTTCAAATTCATCATCTTTTTGGCGTTCTTTAAGTCCGACGTAGACACCGTATTCCGCCCTGGAAGCCCTGGAAGGTACCTAACATATCCGATGGGATATGGGACTGTCACAAGCATCTAAAGAATGATGATGATAACTTTGCTATCAACATCAAACCGCATTTGCCTGAACATACCTATCCATCCAACCATCGCTCCTATCAAGGTATCGTATACCCTGAGGTCCCAATGAGCAACGGGTCTGTCAAATTTAATCAACGACGGGAGGGAGACTATTCTTAATCAAGACTGAGCACAATGTCTGATCTACTAATTTTTGGTTTCCCAGGTCCGCGGTTGATATTAGAAGATCGCCTTCGGACTTACTATTTACTCCCCCTGGCATCTTATAAACCACTTCTAGATCAAACTCCAATCTCTATGAAATCTATTTATTGGTTCTATCGCCCAGTCCCATGTCTAGATTCTTCCAATGTCGAAATATCTTCGAACCGGGTTTTTCGTCGAGGCTGTTTTTGACTTTTTTGCTTTTCCAGTGGATATGAGGATGGCTGGCCGTTGAGACAAACTGTACCTAGGTACGCCTAGTACGGTAACAAGATCTCTTTTTCATCGGTGCCATACAACGGTGGATTTTATCTCTTTATCTCCACTTATTACCCGACACCCAACAAATACTTCCCGATTTGGCAATAGTCGAATCGGAGAGCGGGACAAGATTGAGTGAGAGTTCTATTTTTCTTTTTTTTCTTTTTCTTTCCCATTCTTGTCAATCTCTTTTTCCTTCTTTCAACCTCCCGTTCGGCCGGTGACGGGCCGCCACAAGTACATATCCCCTCGATAGATGTCACGCAACGCCTCGTGCTTACTGTGCATCACCCCTACGAAACTATCGACAACTCCGTCATACGGGTGGTGTTGGTAATCGTAGTGGAATCTGCTTACTTTCCAGTGAACTAGGGAATGATGAAATGTCTCACAGCCATATTTTCGCAGGATTATATCACTTTCCGCAGTTACGATCTCGTCTTCTACTCGATTACCACTTCGTTATATCATCTTGCAGAAGATACAATGCTTATAGAGACAGTTGGGCTACTATCTAAGTATAGAATAGATTAGGTTCGCAACGTTTCACATTGGATCTCGACGTCGGTAAACTCAATTGTTGGGGTAAGCTTTGGCACTAAGAAAACGGTAGGGACTAAGAGACCACCACAACTCGTGCGACAACCCAATCAACCCAATCAACTGGGTTCATTTGGAGTCCAGTTAGGCAAAGCAAGCCCAGCCCAGTTCCTGGATTAGTTAACTATCGAGTTATCGGAATAATGAATTATCGGACTAGTAGGTAATCGCCCAACTAAGTTAGTACCAACTTATAAGTTCGGGGGTTAAAACGCTTCAAATCCAATCTTGGATATTTCTTTTCTATCCTATCCGATTCAATATACCGGCATCTAAGATGCTAGCCGGCTACATAGCTACACTAGTCCACGGTCGATTCTAGTCACGCCGAACCGCCATCTCTCAATTATTGAGTTGAGTTACATAATAAGCTGTTGATCTATTGGACCACTGAGCTAGTTTTTTCTTCTCTATTGTCCACTCTCATAATATTTCAATGGCAAGCGAGAAGACCAAGCGTTTCTCATCTCCACAGCGACGACGCAAATCCCCAACTTCATGTCCGGTGAGATTCGGAACAACCAAACTATTGTGGTGGGTGCGTAAGCCTGCATAAAGCCCGATCACCAGCATGAGTTACCACGCCTCAATCACAATCCCATATCTTATCAAGCGTCCATGGATCCATAATCTTCCTGATCTTACTTAGTGAGGTAGGACCGCATTGTGTCTCGTTCAGGCCTCTTACCGCATGGGGAATATCCGCTGGATCTTGGATTCCTGGCTGCCTGGTTAGCTAAGATACTCCTGAAGGATCCAGCCTTCATCCATCCATGTTAGTACGGCAAGCACGTTACCTGGTCCGCGGACAGCGTCGACCGGTGAGTTAGTCCTATTGAACAATTCGCTATTATGTGGAATAGGATATAAGCACTCAAGATTCATCACCGAGAGATGCGTTCTTACTCGCCACCTATTCGTACGGCGTAGGCAACAAGCTCCGGTCTTTTTCGCGTAAGCAAGGGCTTACAATAACTTCCCCAGAGCAAATCCGCTTGGTCTCGTTCCGGCACTAGCAGACTACCTAGTAGGTAGGTCTGAGAACCGCAACTACTATTTCCCGCATATCATCAATAAGCATGTGGCTTTAGCTCGCCGGCGACGTCAGGCCAAGTCGATGTCGAATATGTAAAAGGCACATGGTCCGAGTACGGCTCCGCGTCAGCAATTGTCATTGGGTAAAGCTTTCGGACTCTGTAAAATGTCAGCCTAGACTTAGCGACTAGCACAGTATGCTGGTCTCGAAGATAAGATCACTCGACGAATGAAGTCTTGAGAAGTCGCTGTTAAACTCTCGGCTCCTACCTTAAACCAAGATGCTAGGTAGGTATTATCTAGTCTAGATGATTAGAGGTGATTCCGCTCGGCCTTAATACGCGAGAGATCCAAGCACGGCTTACTCGTCAAGCTATTCTATCATTGCGGGTTGATACAAGGAATAGCTACTTGTAGATTCGCTACTAACGCGTAACCGTCAGCAGCTTACGGCGCAGGTGTTGTAGGTCCACTCCGGGTCTAGTTTGGACACAACCATGACGAATGAACGATCCTTTCAACTGCCAAATACGGATATTCCTAATGCAGTAATAGTAAGAACTTAGAAACTCTACAGTAAACTCCAGCCTTATCCCAACCCAATTAGGGAAGTGTCATCGACGAACCCTACCTAGCGACATGTGCATTGATTCTTCTAGAATAAACCGGTCCGAGTATGGTTGATTACCGGGCACTTAAACTTCACTTCAACCATGCTCGAGACACGTGCCTATGAGGTTCTTCACACATGGCTCACGCATGCGCTGTACTGCTACAACGACTCTTCAGAAGAAAACAATGTCATGATTTTAGATATATCACCAAATAATTAGGTAATTTTATTTGTTTTGATAAGGTACCTATCTTCGATTTCAAAGTCCACACGTGAAAGTACATATTATGTAGGTCGTAGATCACTTAGTAACCATCGGGTATTCAAGGGGACTAATGTATGGTAGCCCTTCCGATAGGGCATACATAAAGCAAGATCATGCAAGAAATATGATAAGATCGAGAGTTTGTAAGGGTACCCAATCCAGATTTCCCGATGATCGACCAGCCGTATACCTATACCTTCTTCAGTAGATGTAAGTTGGTAGCTTGAGACCATGAACTAGATCACCCTTTCTCATATCATGTCTTGCTTCGACAGCACATATCTATCATATCGACGCAGCAACTTCATGATAGGATATAGGTAGGTTGCTCTTACATCTTATAACGTTAGGTCCGTGAGATTAGGTCGCCCGGAGATTAGAATACCTACATTGAAGCTCGGAAGGAATGCATATATAGATTAGTCCTCCCGCATCATTCAACTCTATCTCGCTGAGCTAAAGAGCCAACATCTTTTTATTATCTAAGTGGGTGTGTAGGGAGGTTAGGTACACTTCCCTAGGTACCTGATGTATTTACTACGTTTTATTAGGTAGTTATTCGATCTAGTAAGATCCGGACTCTTTCCCCAGAAGCTCCCTATAACCTCTCAAGCTTGGAATACACGTAGTGTATAAGCACCCCCCTGAAACCCATTAAAGGAATGATCCTTACTTATGTGTGATGCTTGGTTACCTTCTATGAAGAGATATTCGCTGACATGGTAGCTACGTGAGAGTCATGTCTACCTACCCTACCTAGTCTCTAGGTGCCCAGGACCCGAACCCAAGCGCTGCTTATATGATAGGTACCTAGGTACCTACCTGTTATCACGCCGCTTCTTTATAGAAAAAATATCTACTTAGGGGGTTAAGTTATTTCAGACGCCTGCCTACCTAGATCTAGTTGTCCTATACCTCAAAGTACCGAGTAGTCTCAGCTAAGTGCCACCTTGACCCAGTCAGCCCTAGTATAAATCGAGGAGGGTGTTTCAATCCCAAGTGGCGAGCTCCTTGATTGATACTTTTTGATCCCTTGATAGATAAGTTATTCTATTCGATGTAATGACTCGACCGCTATTTTATCGTAGAAGATGCCTAGTCGCCACGACACAATTACATGGGCGTATAAACATTCCATGCATGATACACCACATGATGTTCCAGGTAAACGTCATACGTGGAACACCCCCTACATCCAACTCACCCACGGGAGTCCGATATAAGACGAGCGAACAGCACCTCACGAACACGCACAGCCGAGATAACAGCCCAGACAGTCTAGTTAGTTACGGAGGAATTCCATCTACCCCCAAGTCTACCTAATACTACACTACGCATTCTACAACCAACACTACCTTACAAGTAATCACGGCCACATCCCCTCTTGGCCTCTCACCAACAACAACAGCAACAAGCTTAACTATCTCACGCCTAACGCGGAACCGGTACATGCAGAAGAATATCTTATCTTAATATTTTAACAAAGGAAAAGAAAAATTGTTATGCCGTTTAGGCTCGTATTACTACTACAACCACAATTCCAAGATCCAGATCCTCGACTCTCCCTTTTCAGTCTTTCGATCTTATCTTATATCTGTGATTCCCCGGGGGTCCTTGAAAACCCCATAATCCGTCGTACCATTTCAGTTTTCCCGCGACGCATATGTACAAGGAGGGGGAGGGGATGGTTCCATTCCATTAAAGACACACTTGAATACACACACGCAGAGGGGTAAAGGGGGAAGAAGAAGAAAAATGAGTTGTCATCAACCTTGGAAACCGTCGACCGCCGGGGGTATGTCCAATGAAAAAAAGGGGGTTGCAGGAGAAAAAGGTCAACATTCAATCTGTAATGCCGCCCGAGTCCGGGTCTACCGTGAACGCCCCCGCATCCCCCCACCTCGCCTTGAAATATGGGGAGAAATAGGAAAATAAAAAGCACCGTCAATTCGTCCTGCCAGGCCAACCGAGGAGGAAATGCTTGCCCACATACTATCCGGCCGAAAAACACCCCTTCGCCTGTAATGATGAGAAAAGCCAGTATGTGTGTCGGCGATGAATCGATATGCAAATCCGTCCGTAACTCATGACGCCTCGGCTCAACGCCTCGACGAAGGTATAATGCTAGAACCTCCTGTATTTTATTTGACAATGCTGTTTGTATGCAGCACTTCCGTAAAATACAGGGGAAGAGAAGTGAAAAAGGTCATAGGGAAGACTAGTAAGTCTCCCCGAGATCGCTTAATTTTCTCGGTCTGCCGGTCGGAGCTTCGCTTGATGCACTGGTACTGCCACCACTAGTTCTGCGAGTCGAGTGCATTCCGCCGCTCTGTCGACGAGGCATAGGTATGCTACTGGCTGACCCATCACCATCGAACTTGCTATAGGTGCCTCGGCGACTTGGAGTGCGCTCCTCGAAACGTTCATCGAACTCGTCCGGGTCGATACGGTTAACGCTCTGGGAATGGCTATGCAGACTTCCACTAAAAGAACTTCTAGGCCTTATTCCCAAAGGTGTTCTTGCACCCGAGAAGCTTGTGCGAGACATGGGACGGGGAATCTCGGTACGACTCGGCGGTCTCTCAGGTCTGGCATAGCTTGAGATGCTGGCTCGGCTACTAGGTCGAGATATACTGACAGACGAGCTATCCGGATCATAATGGTTGGTTCGATTAGGCAGCGGGCCGAAAGATAATCTCGATACTCCCGAAGTACTTAACCTAGACACATGCCTCGTCGTTGTAGCCTGTGTTGGAGTCTCATCTGCTATGGAGGATGTCACAGAACCGATCGTGCGCTTCCGCGAACGCATCGTAACCGTGGAAGGCACTTGACCTGTACCAACAGCCGATGATCTAGGAGATGCGCGTGGTGGGGTGCTGACAGGAGCGGGTAACTTAGACCGCGCTGACTGAACTCGAGCCTCTAACCGTTGCATTTGAGCAGTGAGAGTCCGCACGTGGTTAAGAGAAGTCGAAGCTGGAAGCCTATTCGAAGCTGAACGGCCTGTAGTGACACGTTTTGGCGCGGGTGTGCGCGCTGTACTACTATGGCTAGTAGTAGCAGAGCGCATACCCGGAGGGCGCATGGTGGCAGAAGCGGCGGCTTTCGGTTTGGGAGTAATGCTGCGATCTGCGGAAGGAAGACGAGATCTCTTCTGGGCCGAGGGAGCGGGCGTCTTCAGCTTGGAGGCAGGTCGTGGGAAAGACGCTGAAGCATCTGACATAGGCGGCGACGGAGGCTCGTTGAGCGTAGGAGCGCCTTTGTTTGAAGGCGGCAAAGATATATCGTCGGGGGGCGTAGTGACAAGAGGGGAGCTTGCCATGGAAGAGCGTGGTGAGTCCTCGAACGTGGGCGATTCGGGGATAGAGATATCTGTGGAAATGGCGGACAGATGACGGATCTCTGCTTTCTTGATCTTATCTTGCATAATCTCGGCTTCTACCTTCAGATCTGATAGCTCCTCTCGCAATCTCTGAGACTCGATGCGCAAATTCTCTCGTTCTTGCTCGCCTATCTTTATCTCCTCCTCCATCATCACAGATCTCTCGATAGCCACGTTGTATTTAGATTCCAAGTCCTCGAGAGATGACGTGGTGTTCCGTGCTTGCCGCTCAAAATCATCGTTGGCCACCTCTATGTCGCGTAACTTCAGCTGCAAGGTACGGTTGGAGTCGCGGAGATTCGTAATCTCCTTCTCCAAAGCGTTTTGCGCTGTGTTTGACTCGGACTTTGCCTTCTTGCATTTTTCCTAGTAGAAATAGTTAGTCGTCGATCGGCGGGGAAATAAGAAATTGCCGTATACGACCGAAAAATTAGGATATACTTACTTTCCACTCGTCAACTTCAAATTGTAATTCTTCGGCTTTTTGGAGAAGATCGCGTTGTCGCTTGTCGGCAGCATCTAAGTCTTTCTCAAGCTCGGCCTCTAGGTCGTGACTAGATTCACGAAAATCGGCAAGTTCATCGGCCAACAATTCATACTGTCTCTTATACCAAGCAAGGGATTCTTCAGGAGTAGCGGACTCGTTCGGCGGTGACGAGGGCGGTTCAGCCATGTTTGTTGATTGTTGATTTTGGAAATGTGCTGTGTGCGCAAATCGGTCTCGCCTAGAAATGTTGTTGTCGCATTGGCGGTGAAGGGGGAAGTCCCGGGTATTCGGTTCTACTGCTGATTTAACGTGATAGACTGATATGCGACACTTCCTTAGATCGTGTCGTCGTTCTAGTGTTAAAGAAGAATCGAATGTCGTAAATGTAACAAAAGAGATATTGTGCGTGTGGGCGTGGGCGTAGGCGTTTGTACGTTTTTGTGTGTATGTATGTCGTAAAATTAAAATGAAGAATATAGTGAATGAATGACGGTCGTGAATGAGAAGTGATAGTAAAAACTACCTAAAAAAGGTATCCTTTCTTCTAAAGTGATAGTCAGTACTGTCTATTATCCTATGGATATATTATCCTTTGTTTGTCGCATCTTTCTTTGCGGAATTCACAAGAGCGCACACACGCATGAGCACAAACTTACGTGCATGTGTTCCTCTGTCAGGTTACGTGAGGAATCGTGTATTGTGTGGCGTATTAGGTCGCAAGGTGGGAGTGTGTTTGAGAATGGAATAAATCGTCAAGTTGTTAAGGTCCGGTGTCGCAGTATTCGTCGTCGTCGTCTGGATTTCGAGTTTGTCGTTGAACTTACCGTGCGCCGTTTGTCGTCTGTCGTGTCGTGTTGTTTGGCGAAAAGACGGACTCGGGTTGTCGACGATGAACCGGGAGAGTCGAGATGGAATTGTTGTATAGTGGTAGCGCTTTCCTCTTTCCCTCCCAGTGTCAACATTCTCCAAGTCACTCCCCCCTTCAAACAACATCACGCTAATATGTTTCGGGTTTAGCGCGGGACGTGTGTTCGTGCCTGCTACCCTGACAACCCGTTTGGTCCTGTTGCTTTCCAAATGCTATTCGTCAAATGCCCCACCAGTGTGTCGTGTATCTCGGAATATACTTTGCATTATATGTATGCCTACTATGTAAGACATGTACTTATTTGTTTACTTAAGGTTAGGACCACGTTTATCCCACAAATTCTATTTGCTATTATTAGATTGAAGAAAGACGTTGCCCAGTTGTCAAATGTCAAACCTTCAACCATCTTTAAAGTTCACATTACCCAATCGTTACTTCACCAGTAACCGCATCCATCAATTCTACGATGTACCTGTATTTGTACCTGTATTTTAGACTCTATTCCGAACTATCACATAAATGACCTAGAGGTACCCTAGCAGTCAAAGCACTACGTCCATCAACCCACTTAGTGCTGCACTCCTAAAGGAGTCATTCAATGCGGTTAGGCATCATGTTGTACCTATGATGCAGTAGTTATTTTAGAGGCTCATGCGCCAGCGGCTACACCTTGACACAATTTTATATTGGCAGAGCGGTGTATCATTGCCCTGTCTAGCGTTTCAAGCTGTACCCAACTTCATGGGGTAGATTTTCTTAGTCTACCTAGTAGGTACTTAGTCTCCCAGCCCAAGCTACAGACTACCCTACATAAGCTCAGACGAAATGCCAAGTCGCAAATCTGCCATCCTTAGTGTCAGCATCGGCAAGGATCCCTTATGCCGCTCATCACTGCATGAAGTCTAGTTCTAATTCAATTGGTCGAAATCATCTTTTTTTCGATCTTTTTCATCGATACCCCAGTGCCACCCGGCACGATTCACGATTCTTTGTTTAAACGATTTAAACAAAAAATTGACGTACACTTGTCAGTGTTCCTGTTTAATCGAAACGATAGCCTCCCTCCAACAATGAGCTATTCCGTCGTTGAGAAATCCTTCTAAGACTAGGTTGGGCTATGAGGTCGATAAAGCAATGCGGGTAGGGTCGTGACGTGGTTTGAGTGCCGCTAATTGCGCCTCACGAACTTTTAACCCCTACATATGCCCTAGCAGACTGATTAGCCCCTTTTCTCCTCATTCTATAGATGATGGGAGGTCAAGCTCTACCTCTCCTACCTAAGGAACTCCTACACTTACCATATATGTAAGTGAAGCTATTGTTCTACTTCAAGAGCTTTAACCAAAATCGTAGCCTACAATCACTCAATGGCTAATGATGTTAGTGTTAGAGAATGCTCTTGTTGGTGCTTAGCGACGTGCTTGTGAAGTTGCTGGCATGATCAGATATATCCCAGTCAACCTTACAGTCAGTACAGTGTAGGCGCGAGCCTATTGCGGTTTCCGAGTATTCTTTGCTCATACTTCTGCCGATAGTGGTAACTGGTTGTCGGTAATTTTAGTAGGACGATGTGGTTTGGTATAGCCAGCAAACTCCATTCCATCTGTGCTCGTATTCTAGGATCTGGCAAAGGTTGAACTGCTGTTTTCTTCAATAAGATATAGTCTCGTGTTCAAGCCATTCATGATGAGTTTTGAAGAGCCCAGCTATATGTTCTTAAATCATACATACATAGAACCGATGGCCAGAGAGCATATTTCCTACTTAACCGTGAAAAGGGTTGAAAATTAATATAAGATCGATACTTACCTACCTATATTCTAGTTTATTCGACGCTTCTTTTATAGTACGACCGTATGAGCAGTCGAACAGCGCCCCATATTGTAGCTGTACATCATCTTGTATCAATTCCGTCAAACTATGGAGGTGAGGAGTAATATTGACCGAAACGAGCCTTTGATATGTACGTAAGCTAACGTCTATTGCCAATGTAATCCTATACATACGATGTTACAATGATACCACTCTCACCTCTCCAATCTAATTCAGCATCTATTCCGGCGCTCCTGTATGTGCCTGATGATGTTCATCCTTCCATATCGGGCACCCCAGCTGCTGTTACCTACTAGGTAGGTAGGTATGGCACTTCCGTGGTCATGTTGAATATGTCTTGGACGTAGAATTCGCCTGAGGTTGAAATGGTAAGTGTGCGCCTAGTAGGTACCTAGATAGGTAGGCATTCTGCCCCTAGGCCATGATATTGGAACTGTGATTGCGGGCGCGAAAACACGATCAATTGCTGAATGGTGCATATGTGCCCTCAATTACCTCCCTAGTTGTTCAAGCTCGGTTATAGGACCTAAAGCTTCGTCGAGCTCTCGTGTTGGGTGACTTTAAGGTCTCTGGTATTGAGCGATATCTACCTAGGTACCTAGGAATTTATACCCCTATTTCCGACATCCTCATGTCTCATCTAATCGAGATATTGTTTGTAATGAGCCAAGGTTGGCCATTCGGGTTCTCAACCGCCATTGTTCGTTCTAGCGGGTTCGCTACGTAATTGAGTCGTCTTGCAATTCGATAGGGGCTGACAGCGATCATCGTTATCTATTCAATTACTAGGTTAGCCGGCATGAGCTGATGTCAAGACTGTTCTAAAAACTGATGTTTGCTAGGTCATGAAATACTTGGATTTTCGCTCGAAGATAAAAGTGGAGAGTTGTTACAACCATACTCATTAATCCCAAGAGTTATGCCCTGTCCGTCTCAAAACTGATGCTATCACGACAGCGGTGATGATATACTGGCCTTTGATTGAAAAAGTTTAAAGATAATTCTTCGAAAGAAAAACACTCATCTGACTTCCCTTCACGCTGTGACCCCTCAATTATTACGATATGCCTTGCAACTGATTGGCTTTCCCATTCCAATAACAAGGCAGCAAACAAAGCCACATGCAGCGTCACATGATCTCTGTTTTTATATTGGGGCTGGGAATCCCCTCAAGTTTGTCATATATCATTTTCTAGACATATCAACCCTCCAAGTAGCCGGGGCCACCCTAGGAGTATATGCGATGCTGTATGTGAGTTCTAGAGATCTCCGCGGTGTATTCAAGCACCTTGAAACCTGATGGTACCAGGTAGGGAATGGAGATTGATCGGCGCGATTTTTTGGGGAAAAAATACATCCTCTTCTCTATTGATTTTAGATATCTCCGAGGACGACAGGAAGGACTTGTAAAAGTATATAGATTGCTGAGCTAGAATCAATTTGTTGACCGACACCTCTCATGGTCCGTCTTGTTGATACAGGGGGCCTCCATGGCGATATATCCAGACTTGACGCAACCTTTCTAAAACAAAGGTAAGCTGCTATAGAATGGTTATGAGGTAAATTAGAGAGTCCTTCGCTACTCTACGAAACCAATCCGGCCACACATACAAGTGTTTCCAACTAAATTAGCCTTTTAATTTTATCAGCCGTAAAAAATCAGATTTCTTCTCACAGAGATCGACGAGGATACCGATTTCAGGATAGGGATTGGTGTAAACCCTGAACTAGAAGGGGGCTAGGCCTGTTAAATTCTAGAAATGGAGAAGTTGTTCGGCTTGAGAAGTAGCGGGGTACCTAGAAGGTAGGTATAAACAGATCCTTGGTCCGGAATTGAAGGGGGGTATCTTCATTATCATTCTTGTGTCAATTGCATCACTTAGCGACCCATATACCTAGCCACGATGGGGAAACAAGGTGGTAGACAGCCTCACCGAATCCCCAATATCAATCGATAAGCCTGTTTGATATACCTACCTAGTAGACCAATCGCTAACACTACCTAATGTAGAGGCATCAGATAAGTAATTGTGCCGTACATCCAAGTGACATTCATAGAAGATGTTGGTTTCTCGGCGGGTGTCGTTAGGGGGTAGCCATCAATTCTAGGTACCAATTTACTCACTTCTCGAAATTGAAATTAGCGGCGTATCTATCTATTAGGTTCCGAAAGACTTTAAGTCGGACCGGCCGCGTTGTTTTTTATTTAGACCCTATGGAATAGGCAGGGTTGCGCTTAAAAGAGCTGAGTTCATGGGATCAATCCATCGTGCAGGCATGTAGGCAAGGTACACGTCTGAGACGCGACCATGGGCACCAGCAATGTTGAAGATACCGCAGATCATCCTTCAGCATAATATATCAAGACCTAGACGTGCCGCAGCCACGCAATTACCTTATGTGAGTCACATAGGGTGATTCTAGCTAACGAATGCGCGTCCTTCTTCGCAGTTGGAAATGGTACTTGTTCATCCTCGGAGTCTTGTTACTAAACGGAACTTGCATTCAAATGAGGGACTTTGGGAGAATGTGCTCAACTTACAAGGTGGGAAATTAATAAAGCGAATAGTGAAGATCATGGTGTGCGGCGCCCAACCGATGTTGTTGTTTTCGTAGGACTCCTGCCCTTTTCCGGGTTAATCAGCTTGTTTTCGGTGATGTAATCCTCAAGATACGAAGTCTACCTGGCTAAGAAACTGGGCTTATGATGCTCGACCCCATGATTAGAGGATGACATGAGCTTCTCCAATCGACGGAAGAGTCAAGAGTATCGTTAAACCTCAAAAATCAATAAGGGTTCCATCCCCAATACTATTCAACTACCAGGTAAGTAATGAATACGGCCTAGAATTTCTCGGGATGATGGCCGGAGAACCTACTAGGTAAGCTCCGGGTCTGACGCCACCAGTGCGGCCGGTGCGCTGGTGCACTCGGGGGTATTTAGCTCACCGACTTTCCTAGCCGCGTTAACCGAGCTCGTCTATTCGACGTCTAATATGGGACTGTCTCGGTGTATTAGCACCTAAGTAGTACTTTCTAGCCTTCATAAGAATACTCCTATCCGATGTACCCGGAATACTTAGCTGCTTGGGTATTGGAAGCAGGGTGAAATTAACTGTTTCTTGATATACGTTGAATTGAAATTTTCTCCTAATAAACCATATCTTAAAAGAGCTACGAGCTTAGAATAGACCTCTTCACTGAGACTTACATTAGTCATAAAAAAGCCATCTTCATGGATCCCCTGTTGTGAAACCACAATAACCGGCGGATGGAGAGAAATATTACTAGATGATTCCAGCTGAAGAATTTCTTCCTCGTATATGACTTCCTAGTCTTGCTTCTTAACGGGAACTAATTCATCCGAGAGAAAAAACGCAAGCCATATCTAGGTAGATATTTGATTAGATACTCTTTTTCCGAGGGGTCAGCCCTACCTTGAACCCCCTGACCACTTTGTATGCGAGATCTCTGCAGGTTGTAGATCGATCGGCAATCGACGACCTGAATAAAACCCCGGGATCTGGTTCATTGGCTCAGAATCACTGCCTTCGTTTCAGAAGCAAAATACGCTAACGCGTAGGCGGCCGCAAATGTAGCAAAGATACCTACTAGGCACAGTGCTTCAATATTGATACAGAAGAGCCGCTCAAAGTAGACCGAGGCTATGAACAGTCACGTTTAACCCGTGGGATCGTTCGGGCGGATTTGAATCCGGTCATATATCGAGTTGACATCTATCTTAGTCGCGACTCGATCGTTCAGCCTTGAATTTTCAGCTTCAAACCCATAATAGCTACCGGTACCTAGGTATATCGTTATAAGTGTTTTCCTTGTAATTATTACTTACTACGTGAGCCTCGATGCGATCGTGAGAAGTGTCGTTAGCATAATCATAACACCATCATACGACTGTCGTATATTGGTCAAGTGAACGCCTAATGTCCGCTCTGAAATTTCATAGGACCTCATGAGAGAATCTGCAAAATGCGCAAGCTACCAATGTAGCTCAACATAACACGCACCAACCAACCGTTGATTAGGTATGGGTCAAATCTCATTCCTGGCGAGACGAGCCCCATACATCAACCTGCGATTTATTCATTCGCAACCAGACATGACAATCTCACGGACAAAATCATAACTTCACAACCTTCCAAATTCACTTGTTCTGATATGCCCATCCTATTGGCCCATTACGATAGCCGATTTGATCCAATTCGGAACGAATGAAATATGCATGTGCCTTCAGCACGTTATGATTAGCTTAACAGTTAAATAAAAAACGTATGAATTACAAGATTCTAATAGTTCCATTCCAGGTTTAGACAGGGGAAAAGAAAGGAGCCCCTGAAAGTAGAGCAGGCATGCATCCCTCAGCTAGAATTCCAGGAGCTCGGTACCCCTTGCAATATTCGTCATCGCTGCTGTGCTACCCCTGTCGGCACACTTGTTAGTATTCCCACCATACCACGAGAAGAGAAAAAAACTCTGGTTTACGTCTCTCAAATATCAATATACCATAAAAGACGAAGATTCTAATAGGTTAAGTCTCTTTTTGTTTCACCAGATCCATTCATATATTTTATTTGATTACTGATCTTGTGAAGTATTTTCATAAATAGTCTTACACCATCAATTGCTTTGCGGGTCACCCGCAGCCTCGGGCGTAACCTGCACATGGCCTATGAGTTTAATATATCTTACATTTTAATAGAAGAAATACTCTCGGTGACGAATGTTCATTAGGTCCGCATCCGTAACAGAGAACATATAAGGTGATGTGAATAATAACAGCATGCCAGTTAGGTTAGGCTGTGGTTTATGTAAATTCTAGATATTCCTCTCTTAATAAGGAACACCTTCATCCCAACCATAAACGACCCAATAAGGGTTCGGAGTGAAGGTACTTACTGCCTAGGCATCCATCTAAGTATTCTATTAAATTTGAATACGAATCTTAGATATTAACTACAAGCTCACATAGGTACCTCGGAGCTGGGACATGCTACGAGTATCTGAGTCGTGTTCTAGAAACCCAACCTTAGATCCCAAGCCCATCACAGATCTTTCAATACTTTGACCTGTAATAAATCATAAATTCTTACCTGGGTATCGATCTCGCGGGATGATCCGTGAGCTTGGTAATGATCCATCCACGTCCCTATGTGTCTCGTCATAAGTAAATATTCGCCAAGGGTCTCTGGGATCCTGAGGCCCCGTTGGTGTCACTCAGATATATTTAAAAAGCCCCCAAAACGTTCGAACAATATGGCCGGATGTGACGTGTTAACCGGCAAGTCATTCCTGGATTTTCTGCAGCCAGACGAGTTAGGGACATCTACAGTTCTATTAGGAACTTACACCAGTCATGGTCAGAGTCGAAGTACAACCGCCATCCCAAGCACAGGCTGGAGCGGTTCTATACCCGCCCCTCGTTGTAAGCTCCGCCAGCGATGATGCCTACGACTTTATACAGATCGCCCTAATCGACCCATACGGACGGGTACTCGAAGACCAACTCTATGGCACATTGACGATGTCCGGCAGGGGTCTAGACGATAGATCTTCCTCTCGAAGCAGCAGAACGGAATATTTTGTGTTCCCCGACCTCATTGTGAGCTATGGCGGGACCTATTCTCTACAAATCAGTGCTATCCGTATGGACTACGGATCCCCCGAGGGTGCTGCGGCCATTATTGCCGAGTCGACTATGACAACCCAGATTATAGCCTACGACCAGAGCGTTGCCGCCGAGATTCCTTGTAAGTTTCACAAGTAGACAATCTATAGCTAAAAGAGACGGTTACTCCTAGAGAAAATACTAATGATTATAACTATAGCCTCTGATGAGCAACATCTCCTACGCAGATTACGCCGCAATGGCGGATTTGGAGTCCCACGGGCCCCTAGGTAGTGCTATAAACGGAACATCGTAAGGCTAGGGAGATAATTACCTATGTACCTAGCCACAGGTTCACGAGTGGGGATTTATACAAGGGGTTATAGCAGACTGGTTCTAGTGAGCAAGAGTGAGGTCGTTAAGTGTACGGATCAATATTTATTAGCTTAGGCTACCTATAATTAAACAGCACACATTGATCAGTCTTTTCATCTATATTATTTACTGAACGTATAAACCTGGAAAGGTCTGTTATGTAAATCCCCTTTAATTATGAATGTAAGGATGTTGTTGTGAGGTACTGTAGGCGCCATCATACATGAACCCCACCACACAACCATTTATTAATATCAATGATAATCGTATATATTACTTCACAAGCATCTAGAACCTAGAGAGTATGTTAATGTGGAACCGTCGTTGCATATGCGGCTGGTTACGCTTCGGTGTGTGTATTACAAGAGCTTCACGGGCGTAAATGCCACACTATACTACCTATGAATACGAAAGAATAATAGCACATTGTCGTAATGACTATAAGTCAGCTTGTCGGCTGCCCTGAGCTAGCTATCCAACCGGAATCCTGTATTCTTTTTATGTAGTAGCCATTGGCTTCGGATATGTCTTTACCGCCAGCCACCCGCTGCCCGAATAACAAGCTAAGGGGTGACGTGCCGATGTCTCTCTCTAGGACATCCGCCAAAGAGTCTTAGAATCTCGGATAGACGAGAGCTGCAGGAGGTGGCTCTACACCGGAAGCGTTCAACTCCGTTCTTCTATACTTATAACGGCCGTGTAGTTGCTTTAGGACTCTGGGCAGACCGGGGTAGAGAAAGAAGTGCTTAATCCTCCGAACGTTATTACATTCTGACCGGGGTACTGGGCTATTAATCTAAGACCTTAAGATCTGCCGTGGCGCACATAGTTAATATTCTAGAACTTTTCGATCTTCTCTAGCGGCGCAGGCTAATATAGTCGACCTTTAAGCCGTCGGACAGCATGGGGCTGTAGCTTATTAAAGTAGGTACCTACGTAGTAATCCCAAGAGGATTGGCGCGATGTGGCTGTGGTAGATGTTTCTTCAGGCCAGACATTTCTACTAGGCTAGTAATTTAATATATTAGCAGACCCCGATCTAAGTCATGGCTTGGATGGATCTACCCGTGCTACGGTGGGCTTGAAATCTCATCGTAACTTCTAAGACATGCCACCGTTGGTGGTATTTAATTATTGTAGAACCGCACGGGAAATGACAGGTCTCAGCCAGATCTCGACATTCCGTTAGAACATAACTGCACGTATAGCTTTTAGAACAGTTCACAATAAAGGGGAGAGTCTATTTGATATAACTCACTTATTCCACCACTGATTAGCACTAGAATATGTACAGTGTAAGAAGACGGTATACATACAAGTTTAACGGCCGTAATCCTGCCCATATTCGGGCATAACAGCCACAGGTACAGCCACGGCAAACATATCCCCTCTGTTAGGGGTATGCAACCATCAATGGCAACTTGCAGCCAACTGAAGATCCACAAACCATTTTGTGGCGTCTCCTTTAAGATTGTTGTAAAGACCATTAATCCCCAATTAGGCTGCTCGGCTTAGGGAATTCTGGTACGTAGCTGGACGCCATGCCACTTCTTCATCTGTTCGCCTAGTACGGCGTTGACCATTCTTTGCTGCTTTAACATGCCCGAGCCTCGGAACTTCTCTGATGCGATCTCGATTGCGTACATGGATCCACAGCCGCCCGATACGTCTTGTACGGTGAGTTCCGTCGGAGCAAACTCAGCTGCTAGCTTGTCCCATATCGCGGACTCGTCGTTGTCGAGATAGTCAGGCTTCTCGGGGAGTGATTGAGCTTCGGCTGTGCTTGCTTCTGTCGCGGTGGAGGTCGAATGTGATCGTGTGGCTAGTTGTCGCGCGATTTGCGACGCGGCGGAGGTCGGGTGTGATCGTGTGGCTAATTGTCGCGCGATTGTAGAGCCGTGGTGATCTTGGTGTAGAAGTAGGGCTAATCGATATTGTATCGCGGCGGATGTGAGCGTCGAGCGTCGCGGTAAAGGATTGTTGCTTTGTTGAATCATTGTCGCAGCAAGGCGGCGACACTCGAGACAGCGCATTGTAACGATTGAGTTGATTGCAGTGCTCTATCGAAATGGTCGGTATGTGTGGTGTGTGAATGCGACGAAACGACAATGATTAGAAATCGGAAAGCTCTGAGAGATAAAAGCTCGATAAAATGTTGAAGATTCACGATAACGAACTAATCGTCATCCCGAGATCGCTGATTGGCCAAGAGTCTTTACGTAAGTGCATGGGTCTTAAGCGAGAATATTCCATTGAACAATATTATGTAATAAAGAAGATTTTATGCTTACATAAATTTAGATTTGCTGATGACATAAAATCTCTCTCTTCACCTTTTCAACATTTAGTCTTTCTACATAAGAATAATCTCTGCTAGGCAGAATGCGAAAGGTCTCGCATCAAACCAATAGAGACATCTTGTAATCAGCGTTGCTGGAATACTTCCCTCGGAAAATTTCAAAAATCGCCAATCCACTAGGTCATTTCAACCTATAGCCAGAATAAGTCAATTACTTTAGTTCTCGCGTCCGTTCACGAGTTGAAATTACACCTGTTCAGAAACTTGGTATCCTATTTTACTAGTTTTCTTATATAAATAATCATAGATGTTTGGGGATATATATACTTTTCCTCGTTATATACCTCCCCTACATATTATACATACACCAGTCCCCCGTTAATTGTAGCGGACCGTGAATACAGACGACTCAGCGGTATCGTAATCCGCCGGATCCGAGGCATCGCCAAAGATATGCAGCGCCTCGAATCGAAATTTATACTGGCCCGCCGACGCCGTGGTACCGTCCGCCAGTTTACCATCCCATTCTAACACATACGGATCTCGCGATGCATATTTGAGCGGGGAACCAAAAATATGGCTAGCAGTAGCTCCGGGAGCGGCATCTAGAGGCACAACTTGGACATTTACAAGAGGCGAGCCAAATGCCAGCAACGTGACGGCGACGGGGTACGTAGCATTAGAAGTCGACGTGTTGCCCCTGGGCAGGACAAACGATGCATTGCCCGTCACGGGGTTCAACTCCTGGTCGGACGAGATCGAAAGGTAGCCCTCATCCAAGACTCGAGCGTTGTGCAAGCTACCAACAGCGCCGTTATATGGCAGGGACAGGCTATCGCCATTCGTGCCGTTCAACGTAATATAGCCCGAATAAACGGGCAAACGGGCAGCATCCAAGGCAGGTGGAGTGACTGTCACCGAGACAACGACTTCGTCGCCAGCAGCAACGGTAACCTTTGGCTCACTTAGCACGACGGTGGCATATTCGTCTGTCAGCTGCAATCCAGGGAAGGGATCTGGGTAGATGGAATCCGAAAAGGTGTATCCGGTAGAAGCGCCCACACTACCCAATTCGTAAGTGACATCCTCAGTGCCTAGATTTTTGATGGTGAAGTTTAGGGTGTCGACGAAATTGTCTGTGTCGTTGAAGGCGAGGCTGGATGTGCTTAGCAAAGTAGTTGCGTAAGCAGCATCATACGCTTGAACTATGCCGCCACCGAGTTGCGAGACGGGTGCTAGGGTCGAATAGGTTTTTTCCCCGTCGTTCAAAAATTGCGGCTTAGCTGTAGCCGATAACAAATTTTCGATCGTAGCAGGATCGAGAGTCCCTCGCACGTTCGAAATGAGAGCGTAGATAGCAGCGACTAATGGACACGCCATGGAAGTACCGGATAAAATCGCATAAGTGCCGAGCGGGATCGGATAAGTCGACAGAATGTTTCCTCCGGGAGAGGCAAGCTGCGGCTTAATATCCAACTCGAAGGTCGGGTTCCAAGTCGTGAATGAGCTAGCAAATCCACCAGTGACGGTGTTCTCCGCATATGACAAACTATCGTCTGTTAGAAGCTAACTCCAAAGTCTGTTTCCAAAAGTCTTACCTGACAGGGGCTGTGAGGGGGTCAAGCATGTTTAACTTGATCGTGGAGTTGGCCTCCAATGATTTAACCCACGATTCACCTTGATCCGCAGTTACCTGATTTGCTGGTTAGTTGCAATGCTTACGACAAAGAAGAAGAAATACTCCGAAAGCTTACCATACCAGTCCCCAGAACGCCATTGACTCCAGTGACAGCAGGTCCTAGTGCACCGGGTCGGACGTTATTATAATACAAGACGTATTTAGCACCGTGCTGAGCGGCGTTGGTTGCTTTTTCAACAAAGGTACAAGTACCACGACGGATTAGCACGATGTATCCGGACAAGTCAGGAGTATTATCAGGCAATGCAGTACAGGCCTGGGCTGTATCGGTGATATTGAACGACGGAGTCCATAACGGAAGACTGATGTTCGCCCATTCGCCCGGTTCTCCAAGGGCGTAGCCAAATTCCTGGTTATCACCGCTACCAACAGTGAAGTTCGATTCGGTCAGAAGTAACGGTGTGACTTCATTATCGATAGATGCGATCGATGTGACCTTCTTACCATTAGAGGCCGTGCTGGCGTAAAACAAACCGGCTGCGCCATCGTTTCCGGCGGAAACAGTGCATGGGACTCCAGCTTCGACGATTCGGGATACGGCGACGGACCAGGGGTCCTCACTCCAGCCCGAAGAACCTCCAATCGATGCAGTAATGATATTGGATCCAGCTTCGAATGCCTGCATATAGGCATCGATTAAGACATCGTTGGAAGCACCACCAGTACAGCCAAATACTCGAAACATGCCGAGTTTAACATCGGGGGCAACACCCGTGAAACCTAATTCATTCACCTGTGCTGCGATGATCCCCGAGACGTGAGTACCGTGGCCTCCACATCCGTCATATGGATCGGCGTCTGGAACTGGCGTGTTATCGCCATTATAGTCATCACCAACAATGTCAGTACCAAATGTAAACAAACAATCCTCGCTACCAAAACAGCCACCCAGTGCAGGGTGGGTGTAATCGACCTAAGGATAGTAAGCAGCTGGCATTCCTCATCCGAGACATAAATACCTACACCTGAGTCGATAATGCCGATCTTCACTCCCTTCCCAGTGACGCCATTTGCCCGGAGCTTGTCGACTTGGGTCATCACGTGCGGTGTGAAGGTGTCATTTCCCAATTGCCTCTTGACATTCTTGATGTAGTCTTGTCCACCACTTCTTCCTGTCCATACGACCTCATCTTTGGGTAGCGTGTATACTCTATTCGGCCAAACTTGCTTGACACTGGCGAGAGAGTTAAGCTTTGCGGCTTCTTCCTCGGCTGTCTTGAGATCGTCGAATTGAATGGAGACTCCCTTGAATAGCTGATAATCCAAGTTCATCCGCGTCTTGGCCTTCGAGCCAATATGATTGAAGAATTCTACCGAGTCCTAGCCCCAAATCACCCTCGGTTAGTACGGCAATCCATCTTTCATTGCGCGTTCAGGCTAAAATACCTGGGAGTCTTCGAATTCGACAATGTACGATCCAGCAATGTTCTTCGTCTCCCCCGCTATTTTGGCCTCGGCTGAGAAGATGCTCGCCGCGCTGGCGAGCAGCGGCAGCAGGATATTTCCGCGAACCATCCTCAATGAGCAGCGCGGTGAGGAGCTGAAGTTGACAAGCGAGTGTCTAGAAACGAAGGACCCAAAGAGAGTATATGAGCACCGAAGAACTCAGTGAGGAAATGACCTGGAGGAGGTTGACGGCCAACATTCCAAGGGATGGTGCGCGCTATCGTGAGTATTTGTAGCTGGCTGGAGAGTAACCCGGAGACAGCGGCGAGAATCCATGACCCGCCAAGCTACAAGTCGACGCATGCAAGATTAGACATGCCATCATGGTGCGCGGTCGCGTTGCATTGCGAGCGTGAGTGTTGATAATCCGTCCACGCTAGCTGGCTGGACTTCCTCGCCCGTCACTATCAACGTAGTTCCCGTGGTGGTATTAGAGCTGCAGGCCGTACAGGGGAGGCAGGTGGATAGCCGTTGGACAGCGATATTTCCATGATCTGGAGAAGCTTGGCAGGGGGGCCGACGCGGGCAATAGGCAATGCTTTATCGATGGTGAAATTACCCATGTTCCCCACGTTTCTTTTTTATGGCGGGCGTGCTTGTTTTTCCTAATGCGGAGATTCCAAGATATTGGTGGGAGATTTGTTAGATGCTCTGACATTTCGATACGAGCTGTAATTTTTGCGATTGTCGTCGAGTTTATTCTTCCATCTTTATCGCGAGGACTAATATGCCTGCTACATGTTATCATGAAGTTATGTAAGGTCTAGGTGCGAGGTCCGGGGTGCTATCACACAATCTATTCCTACGCAGAGAATCGCGGAGGCGCGCCCGCTTGGGGTAGACATCCCCGGTTCTTCGACCGCGGCAGGTCTCTAGGATAATACGACCAGAGCACAAGATAAGGCCTTACCTGACGAATCCGAGGATACCCAGGTAATTACGATTACACGGATCTTCAATGCGCGTACGCTGGATAAGACAGTTGCATCGACGATTTTTATTTTTAACGCATTTCTTATATAAAAGCGTCGAGTTACTCGAGCCACAGAATTTAAGGGCAGTTGGAGTTCTTCAGGGCTCGGCGTCGGCAAGGCGTCCCGGCTAAGGGGCACCATGTTAACGATACTACGATAATAGTTAAGCGCCCCGAATAACCTGGATGGACTCTTGCAGTTGCAGCGCAAATGTCACCCCGCGCGATGTCGTGCTGAGACTGGCGATTCTGGGGTATATTGCGATTTAATCACGCGCACGAGGTTAATATACCATGGCAATGATGGCATCGCACAAGATGCGCGCGCAATATATCCGAGCCAGACAGCAATATATTCGTTCCCGGAGGCGCCGTAGCGGGGAACCGCCGCCGTCGAGAGATCTGACTTGCCTCATGCGACTTTAGGTAATTCCTCACCGGGGGTAGACGTCGTAAGAGCTGCACAAGATGCGAAATTCGACAATTGTAGGTAGGTATATCACAGTCATCACTATTTGTAGTAAGACTGCAAATACACGCAATTGGCCTATAATATGAGGTATCGCCCGCGACCGCGACCGAGAAGGGTATATAGAAGAACACCTCCCTAATTAGGGAATGGTCCAGGGCACTGGCTACGCTACGCCGCCGCCACGCATCAACGACCGCGCCACTACACCCTGTCGGCAGTGGGATTTAGGTGCTGACCTAGACCCCTTTTTACTAGCCCTTGCAGCCCATCTGCCCATGCAAACCATCCAATATCCCAGCGCATCGGTAGGGCTTCGAATCCAGAATCCTCGGCGGCGATCCTGCTGATTCTTGGGATCTTGGGATCTTGGGATCTGAGGCGCGGGATTGGTCGGTTGAGTTTAATTTCTTCCCTTTTGGTAATATTGTTGGTTGCAGTATTTTTTAACTTTTAAGATCCTGGGTTTTCTCTAGATCAGGATGATAGGATGTTGGTAGGAAGGGACAGTTGGTGTTTTAATAACTTCAATTGAACGACGTTCATTTGGTAGTTATTATTACAGGTGGCCTACAGCGCTGTCCTATCTTTTTTACGGCGGAGTTAGGCGCGCAGTGCACCTAATGGCTTGCGCTACATTCAACTCTTAGCACCTCCGGCTAACGCTAACTTCATGCGACAACTAAAACTGCCCGTAAGAAACCCCGGCACTACAAGCTATCATCATCCCACGGAGCGACAACTACCTACTTGAGGTTTTCTAATCCAATATGACAGCGAAATATGATGATGCTCTATTCAATCGAGGCAATTCAATATGGAGAGCCGTCATACCTGACATATTTAGCAGATTACGTAACTACCTGGTAGCTACCTCAGATCATCAGCCATAATCGGATCGTGGTTTCCGGCACGGAACGGCCGCGACCGGCACAATCCCGAAAGGGGCGGCTATGAAGTCGGGCAAAAGGAGAATGACCGCAAGCCGGCCGGATTTAAACTTTAAAAGTGTCTCATTGCCGTCCCGTTTACAATTGCGCATTTTCTCTACTCAAATTAAATGCGATTTGAAAAGTATGGCGATTGATTCTTAAATGGTCATGTCATCCATATCTTATCATTAAATTGCAGCACAGTCCGTCTCCGATGACTGCAAAGAATCTTACCAGCTCACTGGCTCACTCATCAGACAGACTTTCACGATGGATTTATCTTCACTACAATTCGAAAAGGCACCAAGTTTTGGCTAATATTACAATTTGATTTTTTTTTCTGTTTTATTTATGCTATTCTATGTCTATTATGCAAGAGGACTCGCTCAGCCCTTGTCCACCGCCTGCCCTATGTAAACCCTATGAGGCGACAACCAAGAAACCATGTCCGTCTAAAATGCTTGGGATATCTCAAAAGAACCAAAAGGAAACCAGCCGATTGTTTTAGGGTCAATCAAACCCTATCCCTCCATCCGGACACCGTTTTATCTATGCGAAGGAGGAAAAGATTTTCGAAGGAATGAAGATTGCGTAACGATAAAAGATGAAAGAACATCACACGTCATTTGTGTAGTCTCTTTTCGCGTTACCCTGCGGTAAAAAGAAGTATGTAGGAGGTGGAGATTGAAACACTTTTGTTTTAATGATCTTCGACGTCTTCGTCTCGCCCAGGATACATAATATCCTGTGTTATGACGGCTTTCATGTGGTTGAAGAAGACGAAACAGTACGTCAGAAATAAGCAGATGGACATTCCTGTCGCGACCCATTGGACCGCTGGGCTTCCGAACTCCTTGCTGATCGATATTGTTGCGAGGATGAAACCGGTGTTAGGGAAGACCATCGCCCACCAGCCCAGGTGGAAGTACTTAGGGGGCGAGCTGATCGTTGCGACTAAAGCAATGCCGAACCACCAAAGAGATAGTGCCCACAGGAAGACGGCACCGATAATTGCGAAAGTCCTGATCATGAAGACGTCGATGAACCCATCCATCTCCCGATCGAAATTGTCGGGCATTCCATTTGCCATTCCGATGAAAGCAAGCGCCGTGAAAGCTGGCGGGCCCACGTTCATGAATAGCCCTGGTCGGTGTTCGCGATTGGGAAGACCTATTCTCTCGTTAGCCAATCTATATTCTCTATATTTATGCGTTATTTTTTAATATTGGATTACGTACCGGCTGACATTAGACGTCCAACCATATGAGCATACATCATAACAGCGACAGACAATCCGAGACCTTGGCAGGTCATACCAGCAATCACTATCGGTACGGCTGTGATATCCGGTTGCGTATCGGCGATGACTGAAGCGATGGTTCCCGAAAGCATAATAGGGAAGATCGGTAGAATCCAAGTTGGCATCATCGTCTGTAACCCGAAGTTATGTGCCGCAAAAACGTAGCTGTATTGTCCGATCGCTAGAAGAAGAGTGATAACAACATAGCCCCAGAAGACAGCCTGGATAGCCCATTTTAACGCTACGTCGTCTTCGGGTATGGCGTATCTTTGGGTGCTAGTTATCAGGGTAGCGATGGACAAGAAGAAGGTCGGGAAGAAGAAGCCTTCTCGAGGATGTGTCAGGGATTTACAAAAGTCGCCTTGGTGAAGGAAGAACCGTGTAAGCATAGCAAGTACTAAAATGGTGAAGATAATAATGTTGACGATATAAACGAATAAACCGATTTGTCGAAGCCCTGGAAACTGATGAGGTTGAGCAAATATCAAAAGTGATAAACCGCCGGTGCTCATAGGTAACGTAAACCAGGCCCACGTGAAGTGGTGCATCCTTTGGCGGAGTCCAAGTTTCGGTCGGTTCGGGTCGTTAACGTCGATATGGTCTTGTCCATGCTCGTGGTTGCCGTGCTCCACGTCCTTCCCCCTGCCCTCCTTCATGGCGATAATCGAGTTTGCAGACGAACTGAGTTGCGTGCCGGGACGCTCGTCATCGTATGCATCTGGTCTCTTCTCATCTAAGGGGTACTGTATTGTTGTTTGTTCCGAGTCCGGAAAGGTAAACGAGGGTGTCGGCGACGTATGATAAGATGTGCTGCCCTTAGAAAAAGGGGCACCAGCTAAATTTCGCTCCATCTCCACGAAGGAAAGTTTTAAAGTATTACTTCTACAATGGCAAACAAGATAACGGAAAAGGGGGAAACTATGAAAAAGAGATCTATACAGAGAAACGGATGATGGTGAAAGTGAGAGGGGGGGCTAAGGAGAATAAAAAGAAAAAAAGCGGAAAAAAACAACCCAAGCTATAGAGTACCGGCCTCCGAGAGAAATGAAATCGAATATCGAACCAGAGGATACGAACGTCGGGTGTGAATTGAAAAAGATTTTAACAAATTACGAATCCTTTATGAGATTAACACCACAGCCCCCCCATGTTAGCCCGAGCCAAGACATAAGAAACATATGTAAATAAGAAACAATTAACGGTAGAGGATCTCTGGGCTCTCCCTGGACCCGAATCAGAACGGAGGGTCTCGATAGGGCCTACCGCCAAATCAAGGTAGCACGCAGATGACCGAGCTTCCATTACGATCTTCAGTGCTGCCCAACGGAGGGATACCTGCTATGCTATGCTATGCCATGCCATGCCATGGGTTCCACAGAAAACTTCACAGATGCACAGTTTTTCCAGTCCCTGAAGGCCGAGCTCGTGGTTGAGATCAGTCTAATCCGCTTACGATGCTAGCGTTCACTAAGAGATTCATGCCCCCCTGGATGCCGTGAGATGAGAAGAACGAAATAAAAAAAAAACAACGCTTAGTATTCTCAAAACGACGAACCCCCACGCGTTGAAACGACGACATCGTCGAAAATAGAAAAGTCGAATCTGGTACAGTCTGGTTAAGCGCACTCCTTGCGGCGGATCAGGAGCCAAGACGGAGGGAAGAAACAAAGAATCTCTTGTGATATCTCTTGGTTCCTAATAGGGTGTCAGCGAAGATGGTTAAGACATAGCGGCGACTTGGCGCGAGGGAGATCACCATGGAGCCTCATAAATGCCAAGATGGAAGCTCATTGGACTGTGTGGACGTCATCCCGGCCATTGTTTCTTACAGGACGACGTCAAACATGAAGTTGATTGAGGCCGGTGGGCCGGACCCAGTCTAAACAGATCTCACGGCCTTACCCTAGCACGGATGGTAAGCTACGGTTCACTTCCGTGGAACAAAGTGGATAGCATGAGCCTCATAGATAGCGACCCTTGGCGCCTGTCTTGGCTGTAGGCGTAGTGGGGGCCACGAAATATTATCGTAAAAGGGGTGTGGGTTTTTTGAAAAAAAGCGAGCCAAAAAGTAACCCGAAAACACCCGGACCATTCATAGCGTGTGTATGAGAAGTTCACGTTTCATCCGAACAATAATTTTTTGTTTCTTAATGAGTCAGATCGCAAGAAAAGTAGACGATCTTCTGGGTTGTTGTTGGCGGCGGTCGTGTTACAGTTACGGACGTACTGGAAGAAACTGCGCCTATATGTTGACGTACAAGAATTGCGCGTAATTTAGACAAGTTAATATGTGATAGACGGGATAGTCGTCGCCAAGACCTTTTGTCTTGGAACAATATTCAATAGTGGCTTGATCAATTTCTAGACTTGGCGCTGAAGAACGCCTCATTACACTGCCGGTACAGCATGTACAGCACGTACAGCACACTTACACAGCATTAATAGCACGCATGCCACGCACAACACAGCATAACTTTTAGGGCTCTCACGGGTCTGACGGCTCTGACCGGTACAGACTACAGAGGGAGTGGCAAGGTGGACCTCCGACCTCGAAGCCGGGCGCCATTGTCGTCACCGAGGAAGCCCTTGCAACACAAAAAAACCAAGATTGTTACAGCGTATTATTGTACATACAATAATACAATATCTATAATGTCTGCCTGCTGTCTACTAGCCTACTAGCCTACTAGGTATGTACCATTAGCATTAGTCTATTACACTACTACATACACTGCAACACTACAACACTGCTACAATAATACATAGTACAGCAAGGGAGCGACGATCACATGCGAAACAGACGTTATGGATCTAGGAGCAGCTCGATGATACACGGAACAAGATATTTTTATCCTCCCAGGTTTTATGCCACCTCGTTCGCCATTTGTTACTCCGGAAAATATCTTATCCAAAGGGTCCCATAGTGTCGACTTGGCAACTTCCTTACCGGTGTGTAGGTATTATGGTGTAGGTATTAGGTATGTATTGCGAGATTTCAAAATTCTGACCGCAGGTTATTACCTGTCTCTTTTTTGTCTTGGTTTCCTGGTTTTCTCGCCGCTACTGCTGCTGCTACTGCCATTGCTACTGTATGTTATGCTGTGCTAGTCTGACAACTGTCGGCGATACGACTCCCAGTCCACAATGCTCCATACGCGCGCGATCTTGCCTTCCTCGAAGAGGTAGGTGACATGCTCGCTGAAGCTGACGCCGCGGCCGTTGGGTTTTGCGCCAGCCATGATCCCCACCGGTGTGCCTGTGAATTCGAGGCGCGCGGCCACGAGCTGCGATCTCTCGTCCACGATGACGGTGCGCGGTCCGAAGACGATGTCAGGAACTGCCGTGCGCGCTTCCTGTATCAGGAGCCGGTACTGGTCTCTCGTCAAAGTCTTGGTGTTGTGGATCGCTTGGGGGTGACAGAACCGGTGCAGATCCGTCTCCATTGTTTGCTTGTTAATGCAACCGATGTATCTCCTGTATGTCTCTTCTAATTCGCCTGCCGACAGCTTAGCGACAGCCACGAGTTGGCTCGGCGGCGCCTGGAGGCTGATTAGGTCTGGGGTGTACCGATATTCAGGATCGGATAGCTGGCGCCGTATTTCGTCGCCATCTGCCAACGTAAACAACGTGGATACCTTCCCATCCTCGAACCAAATAAACTGCTGTTCAGTAAATGAGATGTTCTGAGCGGTCTCTCCGTTCGCATTCGCCTTTTCAGTTCTGACGAGTGCTTTCACCAGTACAGTTGCGGCGAGGCGTTGCGATTCTTGGTCGACGATGAGGGCATCCACAGTCAGCTCGACGGATGCTCCACCGCCGCCGAAAAGCTTTATCTCTGCGGCATAACTCTCGGGCGTATAGTCTTGGCCGTTTCTGATGAGGTGAGAGGACATATATCTTGGCAAATCCTCCCATCTCTGTTCGTTGACGCTTTGGATGATGCATCTGTAGATTTCTTCGATATCGGCCATCGTGTCGTATCGTGTTACATTCAATTGCTTGTTTTCCCGCCTTGGCTCTCTGTTCTCGAATATGCTTATTTTGTTCGATGGAACCACTTACTTCATATCTATCTACACACCTTAAAATATCTTACAATTTCAATTCTACCTAAGAGTATTATAAATTTATAATATTAAGTCTTACATACTTGTACGGCTATTGCGGTTCCTGGATTTCCCCTCTCTCTTGCTGCAGGAACAAGGAAGTTTAACAAGAAAGGCGTACATACGGGATCTACTAACGGGCCGCTTTAGGATGCCGGTTCTCAGTCTCTTGGCTGCAGTCGTGCATATCTTAGGACGTACTTGATTTTTCTCAAGGTTACTGCTAAGAACTGATATGTCGTATTCTCTCTTCCCTTGATACCTTATTACCTTACTGCTAATTAAGAAAGACACGAAGGCATTCGCTGATGTGTCTCTTCCACCGGTAGTGTCTCGACAGTAAGAGACACTTCATACCTACTTACGAATATTGTGGTTCGCGATGCTTGGCATCACATGGATGTGCAGGATGTGTTGCTGAATTTCGTCAGCAATAGATAAGAACCCCCTGTGCCGGACCCAACGCTGCGGGTCTGTAAGACTTCGAAACATACCGCCAAGGCTGACTTCAGATAGGTCAGTAAGGCTCAGACGAAACTTGCCGCCGGTTAACCCTTTCAGGAAATACCCAAGATCTTTTGCCTTATAAGATAAGCGTCATATACCGTGCCAAGCTGGCCAAGTAATAAGATACAGATGAGAAACATTTCTTCAACACCCGGAATAAAAATAGACGTGTCGGATTTGGCCCTTTAGAAGAATAGAGTGGGACTTTCGGGACTTGGGAGCTGGGAATGCTTGGTATTTTTGCTGTTTTAGTGTCTCTGCAGACTTCTCAAGACTGCTGCAGCCTATCCCGATGATGAGATTTGCTGTGCAGAACTCGTCAACCTAATCTAGTAACCTTGGAACACATTGATTATAGTCGCGACGCATTTTTACCGCTTTCGAGGTAATAATGAGGCCCATCACGACTTTCTCATATGAGAAAAAACTATAAGCTCTAAGCGAACCGCTCCGACGAAGATCCAACGCCCAAGCGTCGTATATAACGAACTATATTGATGCATTATACGCTATGGCCTACCATTCGCCAGGTGAAAAACTCTTCTCTCAAATCATAATGCACGCTTTATGGGAAGGGGCTCTCACTCCTATCTTCATCATGCTCACGAGATGTCGATTCATGTAGGCAATTAGAACTCACGCAAGAATTCGACTTATCATCTGATTATCACGATGCCGAATTTGCGAAGAATAAAGTAACCTGAGTCTACTCTGTACAACCTTTCAGATGTTAACCCCTGGCACCTATCGTTGGGTACCATCCTGAATACGACTTCCAACTCCTTAAATTTTAATACAGACTCTCATCACACATATTATGAGTACAGCTTCCGAAATATACCTACCTGCCTAGATATCAACAATTAGACCGGCTAATTCATCATGAATGAATGAATGCCTTCGAATAGACACACCAGCGTCTCTCGATCACGATCGACACAATCACGTTCATGAAACGTTGTAGACAAGAAGGCATCTTCGCAGAATGGGCAACTGTACGATTTAGGCCACGTATGTGAGTATGTGAGGATGTGTATAGTTGAGCTAGAAAAATAACGCGCGCCAACTTGGCATGTCCCACCATCTGTCCGTCGGCGTTAGGGAGTCGTGAAGAACCCATCCATTCCCAACCATCCCATCTATCCCACATAGGCACGCAACTATCCCGGTCTCGTATGAAGCTGTAAGTGTGAAATAACCGTAGGCGGTGTTGCTAGCGATGTTGCAGGGTACCCATCAAGGTAGGTAGGTAGTTTCTAATGCCTCAACCTAAACGTTCGCTTCAAAATCCAAATAGAATCGCTTTCTAAGAAAAGGAACCTCATGAGTAGGTGGATATCTAAAGTATTGGGTGAGTGGAACGGATGCAGGCAACATGTGTAGCAGATAGCTGTATCATCAGCTCGCCTTCCTACGGAAGAGCCCCTTACATGAAGCCGTCGAGTACCTACCTACCTTCTCAAAGATGTAAGCCAAAATCTAACGACAGCATACCTCTAAGTAGATGCAATCTTAGTGCCGGCTTCCGTCATCAGTTAATCAGCCAACACGATTCATCTCTAATCCACACAAAGCAGGTACATAACAATAAGCCGTACTTGAGATAATCGCAAAAGTACGGCCGAAAAATGGCAAAGGGGCTGTGTCGATATCAAGGCAGTCCTTCCGGAATATTTTCGTGCTCTCATAAGTTCGACCAGGTGGCGAGACGCAAGACTTGCCAGCCAAGAAATCAACAAAAAAAATAATCCACGCCTCGCTGCTTCCTACGACCCTGATTGATGAAGATCGATGCACAGAATCGGATATGCATCTAGTCCTGAAGGGATGTGGCGCGCATCGACGGATCGCATCCGTCGAGTTACCTTACATTAGCTCTTATCTAGACATCATCACCATCATCACCATCATCACCAACAATGTCAGAAGTTTAAAGGAAAAAAATAAAAAAAAGTTGCGCTTCCCGGGTATTCTGAACAGCATCACTACCCGGTCCGGCGTAATTCTTCGTGCGACGGAACTTTCCTCACTAAAACGACCTGCCTAAGCTTACCTAATTTAGGGAGTGGATTAAAATGTATATGCCAAGAGTCGCCGGCGAGATTAGCGGTAGCATTCTACGGACGTGCCGGTACAGGGGCGGTCGATTGAACCTAGAGGAACATCAAGGAAAACAGGACTATGGATTTAACAGTACTCATAATAATAGGGGGGCCCTGTCAGATTCGTGCCCAACCTATTGCTAGGACGACCGACCAGGACAAATTTTGCGTCTTAGAGAAGAAAAAAATATCTTTCCATGTCAATTCGTTTATCATTCGACTCAATTAAAAAATGCAGGTGAGGGAGGACAAGAGCAATAAGATGGCGAATTAATGTTGGTTACCTCCAGGTAAGAAGGTAGGTAAACCCATATCGAATTATCAACAGAGAAGGGGGGGGGTATCAAAGCCAAAATCTCTTCACTCCTTTCGATTCCTACTCGGTTTTCGCTGGCCTAACGCTCTGAGGGTTGTGGAATATATCGTTCGGATCCCACTTTGACTTCACTTGACCTAAGGTCTTGAGGTTCGGGCCCCAATATGATACTTGAGCATCTACTAAGGACGGGTCGACGTAGCCTGGATATGTCGTCAAGGTCTGCGAAGTATCACCTTGGATCGTGGTCATGATTCCTCCTATGAAATCCTTGGTAGCATTAGTCAAGGTCGGAATGCCGATGCCGTACCCCTGAGCGAACATAATCTTGTCACGGTGGGAGTATGCGGTCGCGTTCATAGGGATGTCGCTGATTGCGCCGCCAGTAGCGTCGAAGATCAGGAACCAGAGAAGCGTCCCACGGTTCGTGTTGTCGATGTAGTTCATCACTTGCGTGATCGTATCTAGGGATAGCAACTCATCCGACTTGAAAGCTAGGCTCTTAGCTGTAAAGGCACTGCGGAGATCAGAAAGGTACAGAGCGGCATCCTCGGCCTGCTGTGCGATAACACCTAACCAGTCATCCACAACGACAGAGACGTTCCCAGTAGGAATCTTCTCCGGGATACCAGTAGCCTTCCATTCCTCTTCTGTTCCGTAGAACGTGGCAGTAATGATAACGCCGAGTTCGTGCATAACAAACTCGGTACCAAATCGCCGGTCAAGGTTAGGATCCGAGATGAGATCTTGCCATTGTTTGAAAACGGTGATCAGGTCTGTGTGCTTGCCCAAAGATAGCGAGAACGAGTACTGCACGACATCGCCAGGTTCGGGATGCGTTTTGACAACAAATTCGGTGATGACGCCGAAGCCTGCGCCAGCACCTTTCAGGGCCTATCATATGTGAGTAAGAAGACCCCAGGGGAGGGCCATGACAAGCTTACGAAGAAAAGATCACTATTCTCAGTCTCGCTAGCTCGCTGAATAGTGCCATCTGCAGTCACCACCTCAACCTCGATGACATGATCGAGACATGATCCCCACATGCGAGATGCGGGACCAAGTCCACCCTTTTGACGATACTGTCAGTATATAGATATATCGCTCACGGAGATTCCCCCGACTTACGATCGTCGCATGGCCACCAATACCGACTCCGGGACAAGTTCCATGAGCTATTGCTCGTTTACCGTTATCGTGAAGCTTCGTCGTTACGTCGGAAAGATGAGTGCCACCTCCGATCTTCGCATTCCACGTACTCGTATCCATGCTGAAGTTCTGGAGGTTTACGAGATCGATAACGAGTTCGCCATCCTGTCCACCCAAACCTGTTATTCTCATATCAGTTCATCGTCCGCAACCTATATTCTTTGTGTTCGCGCATACCGAAATTTCTATTTTGGTATTAGTAAAACTGTATCGTATTTTGGATAGCAAATATTGATGCGCTTACGCATAAGAATGACCGCCGGACTTTGGTTGAACTTTGACGTTATTCGCGACGGCACATTTGATAAAATCCGACACATCCTGGGCCGTGCTCGGTCTCGTCACGGCAACGGGTGCTACAGGAATTTCGAGGTTATATCGGTTGACCCAGGAGATTTGGTAAAGCGGATTATCAGGAAATGCGACACAGTTGCCGCGGCCATTGCAAACGGCATTCAGACAGTCGGACAACGGGGTGCTCGGTGTTTGGCCCATAACGTTCGTAATCTTAAGGATGCTTATTAGGTACTAGGTAAGTAGGTGCGAGGTATTCTAGGCGAAGAGGATTTCTGAGCCTAAAAGAGACAAGAGACAGATCCTCTCAGGACAGGTATCCAAACTCGGCGATATAGTTGAGTAAGGGTTGTTTGTCGCGGGAGCTGTAGGAAACCGTGACTCCCGTTTGAGTAGGAGAGAGGCGGGTTTGTCAAGTTCCCGAGAAGTCGCAAGCAACCGCATTTTATTATTTACATAACCTTTACAATATACCCAGCAGTGATTGTTTCCAGGATCATTACCACACGTAGATGTTACTTGCCCAATAGGGATCCAAGGGAGCAGAGACCGGGGTCGCGCCCCTCGTCCAGCTCACCGAGTTCATTGGTGATCCACAGGAACCGATCGCCCAGTATGGAGAACGATTTTTAAATGAGGTCACCTCAGCTCAGGCTCTCAGGTGGGATTCGCTGACGGGCTGACGGGTCATTCGGTACTGGAGCTTTTCTTGGGGTTAATGGACCAATCCCGTCATGAGGCCACCCAACTAATAAAATATAGATGAAAGAAACAGGGTAATTTGAGCTGTCGTGTACGATGTGGCAAACGGTTTGACCAAGCTTTCGTCTTAAAGAGCGCCATAAACTTTGTGGCTTCGTCAGGCGATCGAAAGTACGAGGTGGATGAAGTCTTGGGTATTTGCACGGACAACATCTAATCGACCGAAGACGAGGTATCGTGCCACACTGCCACGCTGCCATTGCATCCGGTAGCTATGAGTCCATGACAGCCCAGAACCAAGAGAACTTAGCTGCTTGGTCTCGACCCGTGGCGGCATCTAGACCAATTAAAATCCACAAATGGCAGCTGTGAATTTCCGGGGTTGAATTTCCGCCATGTGATTCGTCCGATGGAGAAATGACCTCACTGGACGTAACGTTCACCCGCCTAAGGATTTCAACAAATAGAGGAAGCTAGCGGGGGAGTTGCTGGGGGGTTAAGGCTGGGCTGGCTAGGGTGCATTACAACCTCCCTATAATAGACGGAAAATTCCCTGTTCTTTCTATTCTCGTTATTCCAATGATCCAACCCGTTAATATACTTTCGCATTCGCCGAAGGAAAATGACTCTACCATACTAGCGGCGTAGGAGAATCAGGGGAATCTATCGTTTCTATTCTTTTTTTCAATCGTTTCCGTTGTTTCTGTAGCTATCGTGTGGAGTTGCGCTGTAATCCGCCGTCGATTGAATTGATTGCTACCGGCAGGCCGCATTTACCTACCCTTAACGGAAAAGAAACAGGTCATATAGAGGCTAGCTGATATGATGTCAGTGGTACTAATAAGAAGCTCCTAGATCGGATTAGCATGACATGGTGTAAGATAACGGTTCACATAGAGCCGCATAAGCGTTGAAGATATCTCTATAGGCATGTGGGAATTCACTTTATCGACATCGCGGAGGTGGAGCGTCAAAATATGGTAGGTATTAAACTGCGAAGTGGCTGGCGCACTAGAGGGTTACTGGGTATGATTTTCGTCGTCCAGCAGAACTAGAAGAAAAGTTATCAGTGCTCAGGTGATTTATCAGAATTTGATAGTCGTACAGGATGGCGTTGGATCTTTTAAGTCGCCGCTAGTAAAGCCGCTGTTCAACAGTTTTGTCCAATATAGTTTTATACATGTGATACTACCTAGTAAGTGAGTTTTGTGAGGTTAGGCAGGTACGGATTGCAGGTTTGAATAAGGTAACAACCTTGAAGTGCCTGCCCACGTAGTACACACCTCTTACCTACCTATATTCGTATAACTCGAGAGGATTGGAAAGTTTTATAAATCATATTTAAGTTCAAAAAGACCTCAGAAAGAGACTTGCTTCATGAAAACCCTGTGTAAATAATGTATGAGTAAGCTTATTTGAAACACTCAAGTGCTCGTAGAACAGTAGACAGGTACTTACCTACCTGCATGTAGTAGTATGGACCTGCGGAACTAGTATCTGACAGTTGACTCTCCTCAGCTTTACCGTATCCTCAACTAACTTCCTGCACAAAGTGTAACATAAGATAACAAAGGACCCGGGCACTCCTGGCTGCATCTGTCGGAGACATGACCTAGCAAACTAGGTCGGCGGGTAGGTAGGTAATATGAACTAAGTGGCTCGAGGTATGGCATTCGTTGCTTGCTCTCTCCAGCTTATAATAATCGAGAGAAGTCCTCTTTCCTCTCGTTTCCTTCTTCTTTTTTGACACAGAGATCGGGTTGATATTCCTTCTACCAGTCGAAGATTTCTCATCAGATTCCTGCTGCTATAGAGTCCAAGTTCAATGTTGGTAAACTCCTCGGTATATCTCGACTATTTGGTAACGTCTCACTGACTGTTACTATAGAACGCATAGAACCAGTCAACTTGATTCATCTTGTTCGTTATTCAGCGAAGTCACAGTTTGTCTAACAGTTGTCAGTTATATTGTCAAGTTTTAACACTGATACTTCAGAGGTTGTTTCCAGTTACACTGACGTTGGTGTTGTTTTCTGTCAATTTCCAGTGGCACTTACCAATTCCCTTCACTCCCTAGACATCATTCATATGACGAACTCGAACAAGAACAAATTGTAACTTGTCGAACATTACCGTATCTTGCCAATTTTAATTCCTTGAGCCTTCCTGATCAAAGTGTTTTCTCAACTAAAAAGAGAAGTTGTCTCCAAGATGTTGAGAGGAAAGTTGGGAAATCGATTCCCCAAGAACAAGCACGGGCCGCTATCATTGCCCCTGACCCCGCCTAAGTCGCTAGGGATAGCCCCTCCCCCACCTTCCTTTATATCCCCACACCGGGAATATCGGGTAGATGATCTTCCACGGGATCGCTACTACGTCTCTCGACTTGCACTTGCCGGACATGGCGGGGCCAAGCTAGAGTTGGCAAAGAAGGACCCCTTATCCCCCTTATCCCCATCGATCTTGCCTTCGTGGACCGAAGCAACGCCTCACAGTGGCGCCCGCCATCGGAACGGAGGGGCTGCCCTCGGCAAGAGATTGTCCTACCAAAATGTTCCTGGTGTAACCAATGGCCATTTCCTTCATCAGCCGACTGTCAATAGTCTCCATTATCTTCGTCGTCATTATTCTTGTCTTCATAAGGGCGTTATTTCCACCCCCACGACAAATCTTTCGAACGTTCCGTCATTTGTCGCCAGATCATCTAGATCATATAGTACCAAGGCTCCCACACATCTCCCGCCGAAGTCGAGATCAGCTCTCACAAGTGTCCAACAGAGGCACGTTGCACTAGATAAATTTAGAAGCCAATCACTTCATAACTTGTCGACTCCGAAGCCCAAAATGTATACGGCGTCGTCTGCCTTTTTTGAGGCGATGTGGGAGGCCGGGGTCACCCACTGCTTCGTCAACCTGGGTTCGGACCATCCTAGTATTATCGAGGCCATGGTCAAGGGGCAGAGGGAAAGCAAAGGGAAATTCCCACGTATCGTCACGTGCCCCAATGAGGTTCGTTCGTCACCACGTGGTCAGCGGCTCAGCTTGCATCCGCAACACCAATCGGAATGATATCAGCTAACGTCCCGGGAAACAGATGGTTGCCATGTCAATGGCTGACGGCTATGCACGTCTGACAGGCAAGCCTCAGTGCGTCATCGTCCACGTCGATGTAGGTACTCAAGGTCTAGGGGCTGCCGTTCACAACGCGAGCACCGGACGTGCTCCGGTCCTCGTCTTCGCCGGGTTGAGCCCGTTCACTCTCGAGGGAGAGATGCGGGGCTCGCGGACCGAGTACATCCACTGGATCCAGAATGTACCCGATCAGAGCCAGATTCTCGGCCAGTACTGTAGGTACGCGGGAGAAATTAAAACGGGTAAGAATATCAAGCAGATGGTCGGCCGAGCCTTACAATTCGCGACGAGCGATCCTCAAGGTCCGGTCTACCTGACTGGGGCTAGAGAGGTGATGGAAGAGGAGATTGTCCCATACTCGCTAAACCAAAGCGAATGGGAAAAGGTCGAACTCGGTGGCTTAACACCAAAGGCCTCGAAAGAAATTGCAGACGCATTACTCGGAGCTAAAAAGCCATTACTTCTCACGGGATTCTCAGGCCGGAACCAGAAAGTCCCGCCAGCCCTCGTGGAATTAGCGAATACCGTGAAAGGATTGCGTGTGCTTGATACCGGTGGCAGTGATATGTGTTTTCCTGCATCTCATCCCGGTTGGCTTGGGCTTCGATTCGGTATCGAGCCCGCGATAGAAGAAGCGGACGTCATTCTCATATTAGATTGCGACGTCCCTTGGATCCCAACACTTAACAAGCCGAAGGAAGGTACCAAAGTCTTCCATATCGATGTTGACCCCCTGAAGCAACTTATGCCGCTCTTCTATGTACCGGCTCGGCACAGATATCGTGCGGACGCTCTAGTAGCAGTAGAGCAGATCACATCCGAAGCTAAGACACTACTTCCGGCGTTCGATACCGCAGACATTGCGAAGAAATGGGACGCCCTTCAAGCATCATACAAGGAGCGTTTAGATTCCATCGAATCTAAGACGATCCCAGCAGAGGATGGCTCTTTCGGCACGGGGCACCTCTGCAAGACCCTGAAATCCTTATGTCCGGAAGAAACGATCTGGGCTGTCGAGGCAGTCACGAACACAGGGTTCGTACATGATAACATACGGCCAGAAGCCCCGGGATCGTGGATTAACTGTGGTGGAGGCGGACTAGGCTGGTCTGGCGGTGGTGCTCTAGGAATCAAGTTGGCAACGGATGTCGAGAACGGCGGTAAGGGTAAGGGCAAGTTCGTCGTACAGATCGTAGGTGACGGTACGTTCTTGTTCTCGGTCCCTGGCAGCGTCTACTGGATCGCGAAGCGCTATAATATCCCGACCTTGACTATTGTCCTAAATAACAAAGGTGAGTTCCCCCTTTCATATATCCCCGACCTTTTACGAAGATAACGTCGCTAATTAGTGATATAGGCTGGAATGCTCCGCGAAAATCGATGCTTCTTGTGCACCCGGATGGCTTGGGCTCCAAGGCGACAAACGAGGAGATCAATATCTCGTTCGATCCCGTGCCAGATTACTCAGGCATCGCCAAGGCAGCTGCTGGGGGCGATTTATTTGCCGCGAGGGTAGATAAGGCGGAGGATCTGGAGAAGACTATCAAGGAGGCTATCAAAGCTGTCGAGGGCGGCCAGAGCGCGGTTCTGGACTGCAAAGTCACGCTTGGTTCTTAATGACCTCGTTTAGGTACCCATTTAAGGTGGTTCTATAGCTGATATAGATGGTGACAAGAGAATTGGGCGAATATACAGAGTAACGAGTGATGATACGTAAATGGCTGCGGTATTAATCGGTCTGCCATGATTAAGAATTGAGTTCATAGAATGCAGTCAAAGAAAAATGTTACTGCTTCTGATGCCTCACACATGCATGCTGCTGATTAAAGCGATGGGTCGTATTCGCAACTTTCTATATCAATCACGGATGCCGTGAGACGTGTGAATATACATCTGACAAGCTATCTAGGATGGATTCCGGATGTATGTAAGAACAAATCGCGCCTCATCTGACAACAACATTCCATCCTCGCCACAAGCTAGTCAACATAATGGTGCTTATTCTGTCTTACCACACTTTATTCACCTATTTTCGTCATCCTAGGGTTTTCCTTGGTCGGAATATCTGCTGTATTACCCTACCCGCGATGTGTGTTGACCCAACAAGCCTAATGCACACGGACACTAGCAAAGAATTGCTTTGCTGTATTCTCACCGTGAAAGTTTCGCAATTTGCGACATGCAGGACGGGTGTTCCGGAGCTGCGTCTGCCCTGGAGGAATACCTACTGCTAGGTAAGCATAATTAGGATGTCTTACACGGCGTCATGGGGCGGTCATGATGCGCGCTACAGAAAAAAGCAACTGGTCCCATGCTTCGGGAGGACGGTTTCGCTGCCGTTATCTGATCCTGGTTCTTCGAAGGTTCGCGTATAGGTAAGTCACAGGCATGCGCATGCGAGAAGAGCCGGGTATACTAGGCAGACATGTCTGGCTCGAATTGATATTCGCCATCCCATAGGTTAGACCCTGCAGGACTCGGGCTGGAGTCCGTGGGGTTTGCGTTGACAGTGTTGTCGATCCCTGGTATATCTGGGGTAATGCCAAGTGATGGGGTTGATATGTATGCCCAAGCGAACAATTCGCGTTGACGGTCTGAATAAGAGCCGGATGGTTGTTTTGTTCGCTTGTGGAGGTTTAGGGGGAGGGTTGTGAATTGCCCTTTGAAATATGACATATGCCGGTTCTGTCATTTTATTTAGTGATGAAGATTAAGGGGCTAGGGTACTGATATACCCCGCTCGATTCAGCTAGCCCCGCGATATTATAGTGGTGGCACCTGAGAATTGGAGATCTTGGTGTCGTGGGAACCGAATCTATAACTAATAGGGGGTATCCCTTGGTGGTTACACTCATTTGCGATCATTTCAATACTTCTTACTATATCTATAGCTTTTTCAATATCTTAGCTATCGATCGATTACAATGTACATATGCATATACCTATTTCTACTGCGGGCTTATTGAGCAGTGTGCGTCAGCCCATCGTTCTATGATCGATTCGTTCAGTCGATCGGTTATATGGGGTAAGTCCGATTGATCTAGATCTAGCTTATGGACTATTGGCGAGTATCTAAAGCGATATAGGAGATAATGTTTCTGAACGAAGGTGAGATAAGCAGGTATCCATAGATCTCAAGCATCTCATCGATGCTCAGTCCTAAGAAATCCATACATGCAAAAGACTCTACACTAAGAAGCTTTCGACGTTGGATCGTGTTACCCACTTGCGATTTTGAATATCGTACATTTTATAGTGGATGCGGAATGTCACCTTGCCACGCAAATCCTTCGCCGCCCCTGGCACTTAATATATTACTAGGTACTATGCATTCCCTAAAGAGCAATAGGTTCCCCTCTTCTTATTTATCTCTTACTCTTTGACTTCTTAGCATTTGGAGATGCAAACATACTGCAGTGCCTCTGCAGTGCCTACCTAGGTAAGCAGCTAAGCTATCGTACTCCCTTGTGGCAAGGTGAACATGACCGATTGGTCTAATAGCTATCGATCGAGATTCGGTACGTGTTAGTCTTAATAATTCACAATTGGTTGTTATTATAACTCGTACATGCCTAGATACTTTGTAAAACCTCACTATTGAATGAATGAAGCTGTTAGATATTGACTGCTGTCACCTATAAACGGGTACTGTAGAGGGGTTATATTGGTGATAAGAAATCGAGTTGGACCACTGATACCTCGACACGGATATTCCTTTATCTTTCTATATTCGTCTTTCTGGATCCATTGGTGAGTTTCCTGATACCTATTCATAGATTCATCACTTACTAGCTGTCCTCGAGGTAATGGTTGAATTTGGATATGATGCCGTGGATAAAGGAGAAACGGTGGTGGGGGCCGGGACTACGGAATTCCAATTTAAGGACGCGCTAAATACATCCTTGAATAGGGTCACGAGCCTTCTGAACCTGCAGAAAATATTGCAGGCAGTGTGCAGGTAGCCCAGGTAGCTCTGGGACCCTTAAAGTACGATTGGGTAACCCCCACTATAAAGACATAAAGACCTTGTAAGAGTTCAAAAACATTTGATAACTTTCATTTGGTCTTAGTCTAAATCTTAGCTACTGCATATATCTAGTCGCCCATGCCGCCTGAGCCTCGGTCTTGGGCTGCAAGTTCCAAAACGTCTCGTGCTATTTAAGGTTGCCTCAAAGTTGCCGGTTGCCTTTGTTCTTCTTGACCCTAGCCGGTGCAGTCAGGACCGATTTGGTCCCCATATTTTACCGTTTCGTTCTGGACTCGATCTTTTTTAGCGTGAGCGGGGCACTAAAGTTTGTACCTAGCGGCTATTTGGGTACTTGCATTCATTAGTTTAATTGACGGCCACAAGCGGTCACTTACAAGGGAATCGGTACGAACGACCAAAGAAAAAAACTTAGACCGGCTTGCTACTTCTGTCTACCTCAAGTCTCGTCCCCTCTTCATTGTCTCTCTTACTCACAAGTATCAGGTAGATTTCTCCATTCAACCTTGGCCTCGACGTTGACCGCCCCGACCTCGTGTGTCTAGCTCGTCAGTCACGCGCCGTATACTACCACTACTTATATGACATAAACCACGCCAGTATTGGAACCCAACCGTACCCATCCCCTACACATTCTTCCTGATGAGTGGCGACAACGAATATAAATTCTTCGAGATATTTATCCTCACCATGAATCCATTGTCATTGTTCAGGTCTATTGGGTAGTTCTATTGGGCTACTGTAAACGAGCGACCAATACGCGGCTTCAAACGGCCAGTTGGTTGATAAACGGACCACGACATTTTACCCTTATATATGTTGGTTGATTCGAAGCCATTTGCGCCTTTGCCTCCACGAGACTCCAACTTGGGGAATGGGTCAGAAATAAAAACCTAAAATATAAGAATAATGTCTGGTAGTATAAATTAACACGCCGAACCGACGCTTAGAGATATTGAGTTTCATCGTACGAACGAATTACTGTAACTACGGTTACTATTACATTGCGATCGGAGTCGATTCTATTTCATACCTGCAATATTAGCCTATCGTGCTACTACGAGCAGCAAGAGATAGAATTTCCATATATCAGCCTTTGTTATAAGACAGCGCGCGCGAAAGAGAGAGAAAGATAGACAAAGAAGTCAAATGGCAGACTACGCAGACGCGCAAGCGTCACAAGCTGACCGCGAAAGGGGAAAAGAAAACACGACGCCGACCTCACCCCCTCCACCCCCGATTCCTTCGGCAGACCCGAAATTGTTTTGGCAAGCCCGGACACCGCCTCCGCTTCACGCCGCCCCGAGCCCGTCCTCACATGACCTCTTCAAGCTACCCCCGATTGCGGCCCTTAAGCTTCTATGCGCTGGTGTCGAGGCTCTCGTTCGAATAACAGGCGATATACCCCCAACGCCTCCTCCCGCGAGCCCAACTATTCCTAATATGCGTGGTATGCAGAGAGAGAAGGCAGAGATCGTCCGTTCCCTATCGGAAAAGAGCTTAACCCGCCTACGAGAGCAGGCTGAAGCCCAAGATAAGGCTCGAGCTCAGAAGTTGGCTTTGGATCAGACACCATCTAATCAACCCATAGATGGCGTCCACCTTAAACAAACGTCATCTCCGCCGAAAAGCACCCTTGGACCATACATTATTATCGGCGAAAATTCCCAGCCCCTGAACCAACAGCATAGCGCCATCACACGGAAATTCTTCAGCAAAAAGCCACCACCAATTAGTATTGAAGATTATTTATTTCGAATACACCGATTCTGCCCCATGTCGACAGCTGTGTATTTAGCAACATCATTTTACATCTTTCGACTCGCTGTGGAAGAACGTGCGATTCCTGTTACACGACGGAACTGCCACCGTCTACTCTTAGCCGGCTTGCGGGTAGCGATGAAGGCGCTCGAGGATCTAAGTTACCCGCACGCTAAGATCGCACGGGTCGGCGGTGTGACCGAGGGTGAATTGGCGAGGCTGGAGATCAGCTTTTGCTTCCTGACAGGGTTCGAATTGATCATCGGGGAGGAGGTTTTGAGGAATCATTGGGAAACGTTGAAGAAAGGCTATGGTTTGGTGGCTGCCCATGACGCCCTGTCAGATGACGCAATACCAGCCCTGAAACTAGATGCGCCACCAAAGAAGGGATGAAACTAAACCTGAGCGATCCGAATTACCCTTTAGTTGGTTTCTAGTCACTAATATCCATATTAAGCGATTGTTTTCGACAAGAGGCTGACTGGGGATATTAAGACTAGATTTGACCTCGGACACACATTGGAAGGCCGATTAATGTTTACGTTTATGTTCTAGAGGGCAAAAGAATATGATACGACATGGTAGCAAGAAACATGGTTATTGTTATTGCCCATACTCAATAATTGGGGGGGGAAGGAGGGAGTAAAAACACGATAACCAGACATACCTTAAACACACGTTATGGTTGATACAGCTCGGGGGAGGGTGCTAATACGACATGTGCATTATACGAGGCGGCAGCTATTCTATTTCAGCATTTTCGAAAGGTACCGACGAAGAAGGAAGCAGCATATTTAGGCGAACGCATTCATACGTGATACCCGAATCTCATTGGTTTTTATTATACCTAGTATATACTATACGAACACTTAATCGTATGGGAGCTTCTACAATTTCTTCTATATTATTTCGAGACGTCACATACGAGCTTAAAGCAGGTGCACTGGAGCCCCACTAACGCTGTTTAACCTGAAAGGGCAGGCAATTGACTTCTTATCTGATATTTGATTTGTCAAAGCTTCTTTAACCGTAGCAACCCGTTCCCCGCGATTGCGCCGTTCCTTCTGAAATATAATATCTTGAAACGTTGACTCTTTCTCTGTGATACCCTATGCTCTTAACTTTATTTAATAACGTTGGACCCCGCGTTATTGTTTCTCTCAAATCTCGGGAGCTATTCCAACCATTTTCAACCTACACACATCTCATCCGTAGTTGTGCTTCTCGGAATAATACAAGAGAACGTGTTGCCCAGAAGCTCTACACGGTCCCGAAAACTACCCCGCACCCACCTCCGTATTACAATATCGTCTCACGACATAGAACGATAGGATTTGCGACAAGAAGAATAGCTACGGCGTCAAGACCCACGATGTCGAAGGCAAACATCGATGTGGAGAAGGTCCTCAGTGGCAAGTATCCGGCCAAAGCGCATGCTAAACGCGTGGTCGAATACATCCGAACCAAGATTCCTGATGCTACTGGTGTCCTGTACCTTGAAGGACGCCCAGATAAGCTATTGGAGGACTGCGATGAACCTGTCCCCTTCAGGTAGGTTAAATACACAAGGGTTCTGCTGCGCTCGGGTAAAATTTGAGCGATACTAATCGCGACAATTGCATAGACAACGGAGACCTTTCTTTTATCTGACTGGAGTGGACGAAGCCGACTGCTTCTTCATCTACGATATCGAAACTGCGCACTCGACTCTTTTTATCCCTCCCATAGACCCCGACTCCGTTATCTGGTCCGGTTTACCACTTTCTGCCGAGGAGGCTTTAGCGAAGTACGATGTCGACGCTGTTCTTCCGTCTACCGAACTCAATCCAACGCTCGTTAGACTTGGAGGCCGACCCAAGTCTACCGTTTTCGCTATCGCCGATCGCGTTTCGGATGAAGTGACGTTCCTCGAGTTTAACAACAAGGACTTCACGATTCTAGGCGAGGCTGTCGACGAATCCCGAGTGGTCAAGGATGAGTACGAAATTGCTCTCATAAAGAAGGCCAACGAGATTAGTGGCGCTGCTCACAAGGCCGTCCTCGAGAACGTGAAGAAGGCCAAGAACGAATATGAGCTTGAAGGTGCTTTCATAGGCACGAGTATTCAATACGGGGCCAAGAAACAGGCGTACCCTAGTATTGTTGCTAGCGGGCGAGCTGCGGCTACTCTGCATTATGTTCACAATGACAAGGACCTGACGGGCAAGGACTTGTTGCTTTTGGATGCGGGCGCCGAGTGGAGCAATTATGCCGCTGACATCGTGAGTTCCCCTGTTACCATCGCGTTCTTCCGAAACCTATGAATCTGTTGGAAACAATTACAAGAGATGTATCAATAGGGCTAATTATGTTCTAGACGAGAACTTTTCCTATCTCTGGAAAATTCACAGAAGAATCTCGCGCCATATACGAGATCGTTCTTCAGATGCAGGCAGACACGATTGCCGTATTAAAGGAGGGTGTCTCGTGGGATGAAGTACACCTACTCGCGCACAAGGTCGCCATCGACGGTTTATTGTCTTTGGGTGTGTTGAAGGGCAATCGAGAGGAGATTCTCGAAGCTCGTACTAGCACGGCATTCCTACCTCATGGTCTAGGCCATTACCTTGGGTTAGATACTCACGATACCGGAGGTCACCCGAATTACTCAGACCCCGATCCGATATTCAGGTACTTGAGAGTCCGACAGAATCTACCTGCCGGGAGTGTGATTACTGTAGAACCTGGTGTAAGTCGGTTGGGTGATCTAGCAATCTGGGTAAGACTAATGGATTATTTAGATCTACTTTTGCGAATTCATAATCAGGCCATACCTTAAGGATCCGAAGCACTCGAAATATATCGACGAAAAGGTACTAGATAAGTACTGGGATGTTGGTGGTGTGAGGTACGTGAAATTTTATCTCTTCACTTCAAATCAAATTATATTAGTCAAATAGTCCACTAACTTAGACGACCGTAGAATCGAGGACAACCTCCTAATCACGAAAGACGGTTCTATTAACTTGACTGACGCCGTCAAGGATCCCGATGAGTTGGAGAAGATTATCTCCAGCAGCTAAAGATGACATAGTTATAAAACCCGTCAAAAGGGGGGAAATTATTAACGGAAGGAATGAATCATATCCTGGACAAGAAATTTACCAGCTACAATTGATGAATGGGCGTGAAAAAGATATGATACTAATGATTATTTCTCTAATACTAGCTAGCTTCCTAGTTGTGATCTTCCCAGCCGGCGATTACCCCTGTTCTAACAAATAGGAACCAACACAATTTTTGCTATTTCCTATCGATGGCTGACGATATCCATTTTGAAGGTATCTAAAAGCAAGCACGCAACTGCATGGAAGCCCGTGGTTGGTTGGTCGATCGGCAGCAACGTACCGTTTCCGCCATCCAGCACCGCTCGCACGCCATGCGACCCTTACCTATCCTTATCCCCGATCGCTCGGAATTCTATATGTACGACTACAACATGTCTGCAAGCCCTGTATTGCATATCAAAGTGTAGTACCGAGGTAGGTACAGCGTATTGTACAACGATAGTATAACGCAATTCTTTGCCCCCACGGCGTGACGCCCGACATGGGTTTCTGGGCGTTGTCGGAGACATCTTCCGGGTCGCGTCCCGGAGGCAAAAACGGAATGGCAGTCGATCTAGGTAGGTTATTAAGACGGTAAGGTTGCGCCTAGTTTTGTACCTGATCTAATTGTGCGACTTGACCTTCCTTCTTGAGCCTCACGCAACACGGAGCGAAACATCTGCCTGAGCGTAGTAATACTCGGCATCTGGCTATAGAACAAGAGAATACTAGGAATCATTGGATAACTAGACGCGCCCGGGATGTCGCAACTCGAGATCGGTGTGCGCGGCATCACGCTGGTGCCCCAATCCACGGGGTACGGGCTGCTGATCGGGCTCGGCGTCGCCTTCTGCGCCGTCATCCTCGCCGCTATCAAGATCCAGAAGGCGTACCTTTCGGAGGACTCGGGCACGTCTGAGATGTTCATGGTCGCTAACCGGTCCGTGGGTATCGGACTCACGGCCTCGGCGGTGTTCTCTTCGTGGATGTGGATCAATGAGACGGTGTTCGCGGCGGCTATGTGCTATAGGTTTGGCTTGGCGGTACCTTTGGTGAGTCTGGATTTACTTGGATTTTTCTGCGCTGCTTGGATATATGAGACGAAAGGGTAAAATGGATTATAATGTACTAACGAGAATGAATAATAGTGGTGGGCAACAGGCCTCTGCTTCCAGATCGCGCTTATGGCGGCTCTCGGAGTGTTGGCCAAAATCCGTGTACCGTATGCTCACACATCACTCGAGATTATTAAGATGCGGTACGGGAGGATAGGGCATGTTGTCTTTATCGTGCTGAACCTGAGTAACAACGTGTTCGGGTGTGCTTCTATGATCCTCACGGGCTCTCAGCTTATCTATGGGATCTCTGGGATGCACTTCGTTGCTGCTACTATTCTTATTCCTCTTGGAGGTGAGTTGCCATCTTAATGTTTATTTATTATCATCTTGTAAATATACGAGGGAAGACTAACTATAATTCTTATCAAATAGTGGTGCTCTACACAGCAGTAGGCGGTCTTAAAGCGACCTTCCTCACGGACTACCTTCACACAACCATCGCTCTAGTCCTCATAATGTACTTCACGCTCAGCATCCTAACCCACGAAGCCGTCGGCGGTCTCAGTGGGCTTTACGACAAAGTCATGGCTACCGCCGCCGAGAACTACATCCCGGGGAATTACCAGGGCTCGCTTCTGACCATGAAGTCTAAAGACGCTATCATTTGGGGCTTGATTCTAAAATTCGGCAACCTGGCCCTCGTTGTCATGGACACCGCGTTCTGGCAGAAGTCGTTCGCATCCGAGGTCAGCGCCACGGTGCCGGGCTACAACCTCGCAGCTGTCGCCATCTTCGGGATCCCATGGGGACTGGGAACTGTGATCGGGCTTGTGGCGCGCGCAATCCACAATACGCCCATCTTCCCATCGTACCCGGGCGAGTTCACCACCACGGAAGTTAATGCGGGACTGGTCATGCCGTACACGGTGAAGGCGTTGATCGGCGACCGCGGCATCGTCGCATTTTTCGTTCTGCTGTTCATGGCGTTGACTTCGACTGTGTCTTCCAGTATGATCGCCGTGAGCTCGATCTTGTCGTTCGATGTGTATAAGAACTATATCAACCCCAAAGCGGATGACAAGCGTTTGTTAAAGGTGAGCCATTTAGCCGTCGTAGCGCACGCTATTTTCATTACGGGCGTGTCGCTCGCGCTGAATTATGGAGGCGCGGATATGACTTGGATCGGATACTTCCGCCCGATTCTTTCGTGCAGCGGTATCATACCGCTGGCCTTTACGCTGTGCTGGTCGGGCCAGACACGGCTAGCCGCCATCACATCCCCGATCCTGGGGTTCGCGACGGGACTCGGGATCTGGCTTGGCACAGCCAAGGCACTTTACGGGACTATCAATTTAGCTACGACTGAGGAAGGGCTTCCGGCGTTATACGGTGCGTGCGGGTCGCTGTTCTCGCCGGCGATATACTCGATCCTGATATCGAGGTATCGCCCCTATAAATTTGACTGGAGGGAATTCCTCCGCATCGAGCTCGCGGACGAGTACCAAATCAACCCGCACGCATCCGAAAAATCGGAAGAGTCTTCAATCAACGATGAGAAGAAAGACCACAGCAAAATTAAAGTCGACGATGAGAAAACCCCTACCCCTCCCGAACCCGTATTCCTCTCCCTCGAACTCCCCACCTCCTCGTCCGAGGAAGAAGTCTCCAAAAACACATCCTCCCCCACCACCGCCACCGCCCACAACCCCCGCAAACCGCACACCCCAATCCCCCTCTCCGAAATCCAACACCCCTTCTCCGCCTCCACCCTGCAAGAGCTGCGACACTGGTACCGTCTCGCCTGGATCTTCTTCATCTTCATCGTACTAGTAACCTTTGTCGCATGGCCCATGCCACTATACCGGGACTACGTGTTCACGAAGCCGTTTTTCAGCGGCTGGGTCTCCGTCGCTATTGCGTGGCAGTTCTTTTCGTTTCTGGCGGTCGCGGTGTATCCGCTGTATGATGGGCGTAGGGAGATTGCGAAGGGGGGGAGGGGGGTTTGGAAGGCTTTGCGGGGGTGGAGGTGGGGGAGGGGTTGAGCTGAGGATTTAGGGGAGTTAGGGGCTGTGTGAGCGCTGGGGTGGGGAGGGATTGATTGTAATTTGTAAGGTGTTGGTACTGTATGGATGGATAGATTAGAGGCGTAGATTTCTTGATAATGGGTCTATCAATTGATGTGAGTATTATAGAATACCTACTTAGATGATCATTAGGTATATACCACAATCTAACTAAACTACATGGCAATTTTATAAAGACATCATACTAGAAAATCTTGAAAACCAGACACAGGAAGTAAAAGTTGACAATCACGTATTTCAGCCAGGTTTTTTTTTTCCAGTGCGCGATGTCTGCATCCATAGCCTGGAGCAACTGCTAGCCCGGAGACCAAATAGTGATTGTCCCGCTGAATTTTAGTGAGTGATTAGGGGACTCAACCACGGGAGAGGCGCCACGAAGTGCTAATAAAAAAACGCCATATTAATAAGCGTGAAAGCTTATATAAGCCGGGACTTGGGTACCATGCGATAAATGATAGAATCGCTACTGCAAGATACATCCGGTAATGTTGATTAGTTTATTTAATACATTAACGCAGCTATGTAACTATATAACAGATTAGAGAATTCGACAATACTCATATATCCGCGATAGCATCATTTAGTATATATCCATCTACCTCCCTCGGCGTCCAGGGCGGGACCTGAAGCTCTTCTTCATGCTTCGCTTCATAAGTACCGACTGTTCCGTCCATGTACCACCAGGCTGGTTCGTGGTGGTATCGTACGTGGAGTTAGCCGGCAGTACGTCCCACTGAACCGTCAAATTGCCTTGGCGGTACGTGCTCTTCTTCGTTCCTTCCGTTAGGTAATCCTCGTTTACAGGACCCTTTCCGGTCTGGATATCGTGGCCCTTGATGGCCCTCTCGAAGTATTCGAGGGCGGCGAGGGGCTGGTAGAATGGCACCTCGTGTCCGCTCTCGTATATACGCGTAAAGCTGAACTTGCCTGCCTGTTTTACCTGGCCGTGTGTAACGTTATCACTTGTGACCATATCCACGTATCCGGCTTGCGAGTACCCGGGGGCAGCGATCTCTTCCGCCACAGCCTCGCCTCCGAGCCAGTTGCAGTTGTAATCGGCGTCGCCAGCATATATGGCTACCGTGATACCCTTCGAGAGTAGGTAGCGAATATCCTCAATCGTACCCATCTCTCTGGAGTCATCGCCAGTGTTTTCAAATGCCTCGCCTACAACATTGTTACTGGTGAAGTTGATAAACGCGCCGATAGCAGACTGCAATTCCGGCGAGTTCAAGTAATCGGTGTAGAATCCGTATGGGAATGGGTCCGGAACTAATTCCCTCATATCGTACTCATCTCGGCCGAGCACATCGTCGTATACGGATTCGACTAGGTTCGCGCAGAAAGTGTCTGCGTTTTTGCAGACCTGATTCAGCCCGGTGGCCTTGCAGTCGTTCAACCTGTCGAGACAGTTTCCAGGACCGTACAAGTTATTATAGAACTGGGATTCTATGGATGCGTTGAAAGGAGCATAGTCGTATGTGTTCCCGGGAAAGACGGTGAAATTGTAGTAGGCCTGATACTGTAGTATCGGATCATACCAGCCATTGCCTATTAGTACTGTCTCTAGTTGAATCTCCTTGGCGCCTGGAATGTGCTTTTCGTTCTGTTCCTCAATGTACGCATTGAATACTGGCGCGTAATGTCCTCCATAGCTCTCAGTTGCGAAGTGAAATCCGTTTCTAGAATATTGAGGGAAGGCGCCCATAAAACCCTGTAGAGTTTTCCAGAAATTAGGCGCAGCATTGGTAGTGCTGTTCGCTGTGAGGGTGACGTTCGGATAGCTATACGTGCCGCATGAGCTCTCATCCGCGTAGTCTGGGCACGTTGCGTCTGGTAAAGATACAATACTACCGCTCTTGGACACCCACGCATTGACGGGTTTGGAGTAGGAAAACCCGACTTGGGTGGGTTGGTCAATGAAGAGCATGTTGCTCACGTTAGACCAAGAGTACGGGTTATTGTAAACTTTGCCGAAGTAATCAACACCGCAGGGTCCGAGTTCCTCAAACAGGCCGATCATAGAACTCGAGCCCGGTCCTCCATTGATCCAGACAGTCAGGGGAGCCTCCGATGGGTCTTGGTTGCGAGCTTCGAAGAACCACCAGAAGATGTGTTCATTCTCTGCCACGTCGGCGTATCCCGAATAACTCTTTACGTTGGGATCCAGCTCACAAGTTCCAGCAGGTACCTCCTTATACCTGACAGGAATTCCAGCGTAGCCAGTCACTTCTTTCAAAGTTGTTGGCGGGGTAACAAACTGAGCTAAGCCGCGACTTGCGGCCGCCACAAGAAGAAGTGGTCGCACAAGAGAAGACATCGTGAGGGCAATTGACTTTTTTCACGATTTTCACGGCTTACAACGCGTAGGGAAAGAAGAGGAAAACAAAAAATTGAACGATGCGTCGCGGCTCATAAGAGATCTTGTCGACTTCCAGAAGAAAATTAGAGCTACGACACTAGAGCTGCAATCTTGGCGCTCGGATAGCTGGCATGGATTAATCTTACGGGGGCCAGGATTTCCATCCTGCCCTCCTGCCAATTGTAGCCATATCAGGTAATGAGCTGTGATAATAAGCTGACGCCATTGGCGGTGAAAGTAGTCCTATCTGCGATGTCGTGTTCGTCCGGGGTCCGCATGGTCCGCATAGTGTAGCGACGACCTAGCTTGAATAGGAATCTCCCTATGACTTATCAACAGCGATACCATGCGGGGGTTCCTTAATGAGGGTTCCATTGCTGATTGCTTCTTCTCGTCGTACACGGCATACGCTTTCCGAGTTGGAATGAGGAATCCAAAACATTTTTGCGACATTGTGTTTCTTACTTACTTGTTTGCGTAGGGCGGTGAAGAGTTTATAAAAGAGAAATGGTTAATGTTTGTATTCAGAAAGAGGAAGAAAAGATAATTGAGAGAATAAACTGGGAGTTTGGCCTCCAACTTCCAAGCAAAGCTTAACTTCGATCCCTGATTAACTAATCCCGTGCTAAAAAGCTTATATAATTTCTGTCAGCATCCCGATTAGCATATATACTCCTTAGATTCAGGTATAATATGCGTCTAATAAGCATCATGAAAACAGTATTGTTTAAATGCAAATGATGACATAATAATAAATCTTGCTGTCGCGTTTCATGCAGCTTTTATTTTTACATTGCTCAACACTCTACAGACCGAGTTGCTCGCGATGAAAAAAATCACCAAGACAATACGAGTTCAAACTCGGAAGCCCCGTGCCAAAGTAACCCGATTCATAAACATATAATCATAACTACCTAGATACATATTATGGTAATCTATAAACATACCTAACCATCTACAAGAAATCAAAATAAGAAAAAAACCAACTTCGTTAAGAAACCGTCCTAGTCCCCTGAGTCTAGTCCTCCGATCGGCGAATAACTACGTTGCCACATAATCCAGGACTCTATTCCCAAAGCCCTTCATTTTCCCCATGCGAAATGCCATAGAGAAGATGCGCCGTCGTCCGAGATATCCTCAAGAGTCTCATTGTCCCGAAACTCAGAACAATAGGTCGATGATACCGACGACCAAGGCCCCACCTAGCAGCAACACGATAGATTCAGGTCTATACGCGCCACTACCAGATGAACCAGATCGCGTGCTAGTTGTGCTTGTGCTCGCGCTCGTAGCCTGTGATTATCCGATTAGTACCCCGTTTACATGAACATAAGAACAGAAAGAGCGGGTGAGATAGAACTCACCGTAGAACTAGGCTCCTTAGTAACCGTAACCGTCGACCCCGCAGCCGACGTATCCCCCGCAGTCCGGGTAACCGTGACAACCTGTCCCGTAGACGGGTCACCAGTCGAGTCAAGCGTCAGCACAGTAACAGAGCCCGACTGTGTAACCGTCACCGTCCCACCATTCGTCGCGTCCGCGGCCGACACGACCTGCGCGCTTGCGCCTGTCCCGGACGCGATCGTGCCCGTGGATGTGAATGTCGTCGTCAAGGTTCGTGTTCGCGTTATTACGGTCGTGTATGTCGATGCGCCTCTTACGATTGTCGTCGTTGCTATGGATCCTGTGGTAGACGTGCCGGCGAGCGTCTTGGTGCTTGTCTTGGTGCTCGTGCTGGTTCTTGTGATCGTGCTTGTCTCGGTGTCCGTGTTGGTGCTGGTACTTGTCCTGGTCCGTGTTATCGTCACTGTAGATGCACCCGTTGACGTGCTTGTCGTGGTGCGCGTTTTAGTTAGAGTGCTCTTTACCGTGTCAGTGAGAGTAGACGTCACTTTGCTTGTCAAGGTTGACGTGAGTGTTGTCTTGGATCCTGATCCGGTAATGGTACTCGTTCGCGTAGCTGTAATGGTGGACGTATAAGTAGACGTTGTTGTTTTTGTCGATTTCGCTGGAGACACCGTAGTTGTATCCGTAGATGTGAACGTAGACGTCGCTGTGGTTGCCGGGCTAGTAATTGTTTTTGTAATAGTCGACGTACGCGTCTTCGTCGCAGACGCTGTTGAGGTGCTTGTTGCTGTAGTTGTGAAAGTTGAAGTCAGTGTAGTACCCGAACTAGTGTATGTACTTGTTACGGTTGAGGTGAAACGACTGGCCGATTCAGTCGATGTATCAGTCGCCGTTGTTGTGAAAGTAGATGTGATCGTGCTTCCAGCGCTTGTATATGTACTAGTAAGAGTCGTCTTCAGCGTTTCCGTTGATGTACTCTTTAAAGTGCTTGTAGCTTTCTTCGTAACGGTTGACGTAAATGTGCTGCCTGCGCTGGTATACGTCTTTGTAGAGGTAGACGTATAAGTCTTCGTTGATGTATCCTTCAAGGTACTTTTATTCGTATCCGTAAAAGTCGACGTCTGTGTACTGGCTACACTAGTATATGTGCTCGTTTCAGTAGACGTTAAAGTGCTAGTGACAGATTCTGTCGCCGAACCTCCTATCGTTTTTGTGAAAGTAGACGTAATTGTTGTAGCTGGACTTGTGTATGTGCTAGTTTTAGTCTTAGTCGAGGTATTTGTATCCGTTGTCTTCGAGGTTGTTGTCCTAGTAGTTGTAAATGTAGATGTGAAAGTGCTACCTGCGCTCGTATAAGTTGATGTTTGAGTCTGTGTTTTAGTAGTAGTTTCCACCAGGGTACTAGATTTCGCAGATGACGTTGTAGATGTAGTTGAGGGACTAGTGGAAGATGTTGTACTCGTAGACGATGGGCTGGATGTAGACGACGTCTTTGTACTAGTACGGGTAAGTGTAATCGTTTCCGTCACAGTGCCTGTAGTCGTAAAAGTTGTTGTATCAGTGACTTTCGAGTAGCTTTTAGTTGATGTTGACGTTGACGTTGGTGTCGATGTTGATGTCGATGTCGACGTAGATGTAGACGTAGTAGTACTGGTACGGGTAATAGTTCGGGTGACGGTTCTTTGACTGCTACCTGAAGTCGAGGTCCCAGGTACGAAGGTGGTTGTGATAGTAAGAGTAATAGTTGAAGTAACGGGGGTAGCAGAAGTAGATGTGCTTGATGCAGCGTCTGCTTCTGCGTCAGCATCAGTTTCGGTAGATGCCACGGTAGTACTTGTCGGGTCTATACTAGTCGATTCGGTGCTGGTCGGTTCGATACTTGTTAAAGAAGCAGTCGTCAAAGTGTCCGTGAAAGTTGAAGTGTACGTCGTAACAGGGCTACTCTCAGTCTCCGTACTAGTGAATGTCGCAAAAGAAGTTATGAAGGTATAACCAGTTCTTGTACTTGTGAATGTCGACAGAAATGTACTTCTAGCTCCGGTAATGGTACTTATAAATGTTGATGTATACGTAGAAGGGAAAAAGCTAACGGTGCTGAATATAAAACTCGATGTAAAACTCGATAAAAAGCTCGACACGATGTTCGAAGAATAGAATGTGTTATACGTGATGTACGAAGTAAAAGTCGACCTGTATATACTGGTGGAGGGGATTGGGGAACTTATAAAGATTGTTGTGAATATTATTGTGGGTGAAGCAGGGGCTGAAGTTGTGAAGACGTTAGTTATCAGTGTTTGCGGGACTGAGGAGCGGCTCATGTCAGTGTTAGTCAGTAAAACCTAAAGAGTACGGAGTCGTACCAACAGTGATTACTGACCCGAAAGTGTTTCCAGCTTCACCTTCGCCTTCATCGGGGCCCGCTGGGGCCGTTGGTCCTAACCCGCCGCCTACGGTTTCAGGCGGAGCAGCAAATGTCTATTCAATGATGTTAGAGTGGGTTCCTAGAATATAGATATACATATATAGGCATCGGATAGTAGGTTGTAAGATGCGTGGTTTGGTGGTGGATGATAGATATGTGTTACTTACAGGTGTAGCTTGCAACGCAAATGAGGTAAACTTGAAACAAAAATTAGTCGGAAATAATCCAAGATGAAATTATAACGTAGTTACTGATAGGAAATAGGATATCCTTGAGCTGATCGTTGGAAGCCTAGGAAGTAAAACTTACTGCTGGGGCGTTTCCGGCATCCTGATATATAGCTGGTGTCAGCAAAGATCAATTGTAAACATACTTATGCGCATGGGAAAGGGCATGGCTTGCATCAAGAAGTGAAATAATCTCAGAGAAGTATAAAAGATATAGAGAGATCTTTGAATGAAATTCGACTTACAATACAATTACCGAAGCTAAAAGCATTAGATCCGTGATTGAGAAAGCTGGCTATTCCTGAATCCAAGGAATGTAAGTCGCTGAAGCCATGCCTTCCTTGGATACCATGGGCAGAACTGCCTGAACCTATGTGGTTCTTGATACCGTCGAACATGACTCGGGTCGAGCTTCGTATTTGATTTACAGCGCCCTGTACAGCACGACACCCGCAGAGTCTTGCGATTGTATCTTTCCTTGCCACTAATTGAGTGACAAGTGAGCCGATGGATTTATGAAGGGGTTGGATAGCTGCCTTTAGAGATCGAACGTCTTCGGACTTGAATGATTCAGCCCCGGCAATGTGATGAGAAGTTGTTTTGATGGTGGATGTTAACGATTGTAATGTCGAGTCGAGGTGTTCAATGGTGCCACCGGTCTTGATGCTTCGTATAGCAAGATTGACGGTGTGGACTTGCTCGTCAGCCGAGTTTATAGCATTAACGATGGAGTCGATTCGATATGGCCCATGAGTATTACTTTGTCCATTCCCTTGGGAGTTCGCGAACCCAGACCCTCCTTTACCCCCAAAGCCATTTTGATCCGAGCTTCTGGCTATGGAAGGTGCATGACCTCTGGCTCCCTCAAATCCAAACCCATTTGACCCACCATGGAAGTTTCCAAAGGCGCCTACAAGGTGAACGATGGTAGGAATTAGACAAATACAACGAAAGTGCCTCATACTGCCAGACTTCCTACGTGGGAGTTGGGAAGGGAACTGTGGGAAGAGATAACTGAATTCCGGCTGAACTTGTCATGAGGCCTTCAAGTATTCGACCATCGACAAGTAGCGAGTTTTGGGAATTAGGCAGAAAAATATACAAGAACACACTCCGTGGTCGTCTTGAGGTTCTTAAGACGCCTTCATACGACAAGGGGTAGCACATCTTGCTGTCGTATAATATGAAGAATGCCATTATTGACTTAGTTGATGAAGTTCTTGAAACACAGCTAGGAGTGTAAAAGGAGTATTGTATGGGTTGCATAAAGAGAACCAGCATCATCATATAAATCTTGGCAGCGAAATAGGACCTATATGAAGGTCTTGGGGAGGGGAGAGAACATAAGCGCGCAAATAAAATAATTAATGAACAAGCATAAGGCTCTTGCAACTTATCGATGAGCTCAGGTTACGCATATATCATCCATATGCGAATATTTCCTACCATAACTTCATGGTAGGGCTTAGCTAAAAGCAAAAGTAAGTTTCGTAAGACTCGCATTTATACCATCGCGTAACGAGAGATAGGAAGAATTAGGTAGGGCGAGTCAAAGCGCTAAACCAATAGATGGGTCACAAAGACCTGAGGGATTTGAGATAGAGAGCTTCTTTTTACCTTCTTAAGAATGTGTATAATGTGAATGGCGTTTCAGGCTAAGTTTGTTCCTCTTCCGTATCTAAATAGGGGGTTGACGACGATATGGTATGGCCAATAGCTGTGGGAGACGGGATCTTAAGCTGCTTTTAAACTTCCAACGACTCTATCCGCACAGACGCGTCGCTCTACAGCAGCGTTTTTCTACGCCTCAAGTAAGTTCTAAACGATTCGTCTGGGCAGCCATGTGTGTCTTCAAGCTAAGAGCTTCCTCCGGATGTGGCAAATTAATATCGGATACCGGTCAACGGAACGAACGAATCCCGGACACATAATTGGGTAATTCCTTGATGGATTTCCTTCGGACAAACGATGTCGAATAGGTATTTGAGATGGATGTCTCCTAGTTCATTGCTGCTGTTCTTCTAAGACATCTTGCGATTGCCCCTAGGAAACCCCAGATCTTGTATTTCCTGATGTTATTAGTGCCCTCGGGGCGATCTTCTACTGAAATTTCCGATTTATTGCTGTGGCTGAGATAAAATTTTCGGTGGGCGCTGTAAACCCACAACTTCATGCAGTAAGCCGCTGTGGGAAGCACGGGCGTCGCCCACTGTGCGTAGAAATGTTTGATAGGTGGCGTTTTATGGGCCGGTATAGCTAGTCGGATTAGGTGGCATACGTCGATTGATCCACGTTCTAATTGTCTGCCCTCTCTCCACCTCCTTGGGTCGAAATACAGGTACCTACTCAGAAATAGGCAAGTAGTCAAGTGCGTAACTTGCTCCTCAGTTAGGCCATAGACAAGAAATAAAAAAGAAATTGACTTAAGTTTGTTCTTTAACCATGTTCATATTCCATTAAATCCGTCGCAGCATGTCTGAAAAACACCTCAGCGAGAGCGAGAGTGAGGGGGAAGAGGATGAGCCATGTCCAGTTTGTCGTGACTTCGACCCCGATTTGGCACCTCGTGTGCCCAAACCCAACCAGACAATTTTCTCACCCGACCCTTTCGGGTTCACCTTAGGAGAGAAATTGCCAGATCCAGATCACCCTCTCTCCCATCCCGTGAATGAAGATGGAGTTGAAGTCCCAGCAGATGAAGAGTCTACTCGGGATCCTCTCCTCTACGAAATAGATAAACCATTGTCGGAAGTTTGGGACCAAGCACGGCAAGGTTGTAAGACATGTCAGCTTCTCTTCATGGCACTTTTCTTTTCATGGAGGACCAGCGACGCGATTGAGCCCGAGAAGCGCTCCGAGAAAGCGTTCAAGGAAGCCGTACCATCACTTTACCTCCACGCCATGCTGTCGCCTGGAAGAAAGGTACTTGTTAATGTCACGACGCGAAGCGGGGGACCAAGATCTATCTCTCGTGCTGTACTCAATTACGAACTTTTCGCGTTGGCAAGTAGGTGTTCTCGAACCATTGTATCCTCCCTTTATTTCAGTTGATTAACTCTCTTGTTTCTGCTTATCTCTCGATAGACAAACCGAACCCTTGGGAAATCATCGGCCGACTTGAAAATTCGCCGGTAAACGTTTTGAACGATCATTATCGTGATTTCGTGCAACGGTGGATCTCCCAATGTTCAGAAGAACATCCATATTGCGGGGGAGTCATCCCAGCAGCAATGCCGAAGAGGCTTCTGAATGTAGATTCTAGGCATGGCGATGTCATTTTCTTGGAAGAGAATGTCCCGGGACTATCTCCGTATATCGCATTGAGTCATCTCTGGAAGTTTTCCCAGCCACTCAAGATGACTCAAGATAGGCTGAACCGGTTGGGAACCACCATTCATCTCGATGAGCTTTCACCCACACTACATGATGCCGTCCAGATAGCAAGGTGGCTAGATGTCGAATATCTATGGGTTGACTCACTTTGCATCATCCAAGATGACAAAGAGGACAAGGAAGAACAATCGGTTCAGATGGGCAACATCTACAGACAGTCCTACTGCACCATAGCAGCCCATGTCGATACCAACAACCCATCCCCAACCCACGGATGTTTCCTCGAGCGCAAGCACTTCCGCGAAATTTCCCACCAAGATGACTCCGGCCAGACCTGTACCACCCTGGTGCGAGGAGACTTCACCCACGAAGACGAACCCATAGCCCCAGTCGCCCTAGCAGGACGAGGGTGGTGTTATCAAGAACGACTTCTGGCCTCCAGAATCATCCATTTCCGCCCCGGCGAGATCACCTTCGAGTGCTTCGCCGGCACGAAATGCGAATGCGACGAGCTACTGCCTCACCGCGGCCTTCCTCTGACGAGAACCCCTTACAAGTCCTTCAAAGAAGCGTTCGCGGAATACGCGACAATAGTAGAACCGTACGAAGGCTCCCCATCAGATATCCTCAATGGCTTAAACGGCGGCAATGCCTGGCTAGCGTGGCGCGATATGGTGTCGGATTACGCGATGACTGATTTCACATTCAAGACGGATCGGCTGCCCGCACTTGCTGGCGTAGCAAGTCGGATGCCTAAGCAAGCATTCGGCAGCTACATGGCCGGGCTTTGGACAGGCGAGCTCGTAAGCGAGCTTTTATGGCGCCGCTCTGGCAACGCCAAACGTTTCCGCGACAAGCCCTACGTTGCGCCTACATTTGCCTGGGCGTCCGGATCGGGGTCGATTACATGGTGGAATCCGTGCAAGCGACCCGGAGAGCCTGGTCTCCTGGCCGTCGCAAAAGTGCTCGATATAAACTGCGAGCTTGCGAGCTTAGAACCTTTCGGCCAGGTCCGAGATGGATCGCTCCTGTTATCTGGGAGGGTTGCGCCGGTTAAACTACACATCCCCTTCTTACAGCGAATTTCCTGGATCCTCAAACTATCCCCGCGAATGCGTGGAGTTGACTGGTTATCTAAAGCGACGGAGATAACTCGACGGATTTGCTACAAACTGCGTCTATTCGCACGAAGACTAGACGGTTACCGAGTACTACATCCAGCGCGAGACTTCATCCGGTATTTGGCAGAGAAGCTCAACGGCCACGAAAACGATACTTCAGCTCGAATAGTGCAACTTATAAGGAAAAACAGGTCTTTCGGCGACTTCGACAGGTGGGACGGCTTAGCAATTCCGGATACCGAAGATGACTCTCCGAGGCTGGTATTGGAAAATCTCATCGCCATTGAGCTCGCCGCCTGGACACCAGACCTCTCGAATATAGAAAACGATGAAGGGCGTGTTGAGGTTGGTGGATTGCTACTAGCGCCCTCGAAAAGAAGAAAGGGTGCGTACGATCGCGTAGCCCAAATCCAATTCTGGAAGGATATTAAGGGCGATAAGCGAATACGGTCTGAAGACGGCTACGAAGCGAATCTAAGGAGATTGAATGATTGTTTTGACGGATGCGAAGAGAGGGAGGTCATGATAGTATGAAAATATGATGATGTATTTAACGAAAAGGAAGACTATGGGGATAAGTACAAAAGATCAGATAACTACCTAGTAGTACCTATTTACTTACTAGGCAGGTAGGCACCTATGAATATATGTATCTAGTGTATATATGTCTACTATGCGATCGCCATAGTGAACGTTACCTTGTACATATCATAGTGCATTTTCATCGCCAATCAACTGTTGAGAATACAAGTTCAATCTTAATACTGAGAAATTCCTCATATTAATTGGGCAGCGGCTATCTAGGTACATTACGCTATCAAATCAGATGAAAGCATCTGAAGTGTAACATGGTTATGACCACTGCTATGCTAAGCCAGTTTTTCAAATATCGACCTGGCAATAATAATCAAGGACAATGCCATTCCATCGAGTCATCTCAGATGAGCGTATTACCCCTATGGTATCCCGATTATTAGTAGTCCGTGAATGGACAATGAGATAAATATCTTGGTCTCTTCGATAATCCAAGGAATATCTATATATTCAAGTACGGCGAGGACGGCTAGGACGACTCCACTAGAGCATTCGCTTCTTGCGCGCGAAGGCACAGCAGCCCACACAGAAAAATACTAGGCATCCCACAATGACAAAAAAGGCATTTGTGTTGTCGACGTCTTTGAAAGGGACCTCAACGTTCATGCCGAATAGACCCGTCACCACGTTGAAGGGAACAATGAGACTTGCTAGGAACGTTATTTTGGCCAGAACCTTATTCGTCTCTGTTCCTTGAGTGATGCTATCGACCGTCAACTGAGCAAGGTAGTTACTGTGAGCCCGGGATAGGATCTTCTCGAAGTGCGTGAGATTGGTCATCATCGTTACGACGTGGTCCTGGATATCGCCGAGGTATAGGCCTATGTCCATGCGGGGTGTGACTTTATAGTCCTCATTGCAGCGCTTCGTAAAGCCCTTCAAGATATCAGCCTTGCCCCCGAGTCCACGCATAAGCGCTAGTGTATTTTTGCGGACGCCGCCGATTTTGCGCAGAAACATGTGATTGTCTTCCGGACGAGCGACGAATACAGAATCTTCAATAGCCTCTGTGAGCATCTCGACTCTAGAAAGTGCAGGAGCAAAGGAATCGACAATATTATCACTATAAACTGTTAGTGCTCGTGATCCTACACATTCCCTTGCTAGCTACACCTAGCACTTACATAAAGGCGTAGCAGATCCAGTCGCTACTTAAGGACACGTATTCCTTGAGACTTGAGATTCTCTTGCGGACCTGAGAGGCGTGGTGGTTCGGGACAAAGCTGAAGCTCAAGGTGCCCTCGCGGAAGACGATGACATAGATATTGAAAGGTTCATACTCGGGACCATCGTCGTCCTGAACAGCATTAAATGACCGGAAGGATGCAAAGTAATATGAAGAGAAGATTTCAATCTTCTCTCGGGCCTCTTGTGTAGTGATATCTTCGATAGTGAGAGGGTGCACTCCAAAGGCCTTACACAAAGTCCGGACCTCTTCATCTGTTGGCCTGTTGACATTCAACCACCAGACACCATCGGGTTCATCTCGAGGAAAGGTAAAAAGGCCACGCAAATCCTCACCGGGGAGAACAAGATCACCAAACTCAGCGGCATGAATGGTGGACTCCCAGGCGGAAGAAAAGAAACTGAACCGGTTTGGGTCGAGGTGCGGTTCCTTCTCTGCCGGCTTTGAAGCAAGTTGGGTTTCGCTTGCTTCTTCTGACTTCTCATGGTCGACATCTAAGGATCCAGGTGGGAGGTTAACGAAATCACCATCGACAGTAACCAAGCGTGTAGGTTCGGCAACCGAGTCTTGCGTTAGGCTAGGGAATGTTCGAAGGGCTCCTTGCACACCAACGCTGTCTCGTCGTACAACACTTTCGGATGCGACAAAGTTCTCGAGGTAATCAAAGTCAATATGTAATTGATCGTGTCGGTGTTCATCCTGCATAGGAAAGCATACGTCGTCTTCCGCAGTTTTGTTAGTTGCCAAGCTTGCTCCATCGTCAGCGACATATGTTGCAGGTTTGCTTCGTCCAGATCGCTGACTCGCTTGGCTTCTGCGGCTAACGGAAGAATACGTCCGATGAAGACCATCATCCTCGTCCTGTTTCTGTGCTCGACCATCGGTCACCGAAAGAGCGCGTTCTCGACGACGGGCTTCGGCAAACGCTTTGACGGAGTTCGGCGGTGATACAGCCCGCTGTTGATCAATTGTTGAATCAAAGGTGGGTCTGCGGCTATGAGTAGCCATGGGTGATATATTTCCGTCCTCTTCATCAACGACTGCCTCTTCGAAGTCTCGTCCCCTGGCATTAGAAGGCGAGTAGGGACCAAGTGGTTGAAGATGTTGGCGGGATCCATAAAGGGTATCAACGGTACCACGGCGGGCACGTTCTGTTCCAGTACGCTGTATGGATGAGATTTGATGACGATGATCATCAAGCTCCGGGACCGGGGTGTTATAACCCGAGCCAGAAGCGACTTCTTCGTGGTCAGACATCTCGTACGAAATACCGTTTCCGTCTATGAAACGTTGAATTTATCTGACAAATGACGATGCAGGGAAATCTATAGGACCGGATAGAATTGAAAAAAGACTGAATAATATACTCCGATCAAGGAAAGCCTTCCGCGTGCTAGTTATGGGAAGGCGCGCATACTGGGTGGTGTACTCAGACTACCAGCATCAGAGATTTGCAGTAGGCGTGGCAGCACGCCGACTGCAAGTGGACTTGGTGTGATGTTCAGACCAATGCTGGGAATGAACACCGAGGTCGGATTCCGGAATACGACGAGCCTATGCAGACGAATTGGCGAGTAGGGGGAGTTTGTGACCAAAATGGCAGACGCGACGGTAAAGTTATGGTGGCTTCTTGTTGACGCCGCTGTAGACCCAGCAGAGGGGGCCAAGAAGCGGTCGAGAGAATGAGAACTGGTTGGATTTGAGGCCCGCCAATTTGGTGGTTTCTGAGAAGTGGCGGTATTTACCGCAATGGAATCCTCGACGGGATGAGGGAAATAACGCAGCTATCTAAGCTCACCAAAGATATTGGTTGGTCGATCTGGTGGTGTTGAGCTAGTTGTTGGCCTAACGGGATCGAGTCAGGTCGGCGATGAGTGTGCGGATGAATAGTAGTAGTTATCCGATGATTTTTTTTTGTAGTGCGTAGGTAGTTTTGGGGGGTTGTAGTCGTCTCTTGTCGTGATCAACCGTCTAGATCGACAAAGGTACTCGTGGTTTATAAGAACGAGTTACGTTCCCAACTAAAGACCAACTGAAAGCGATTCTCCGAATTGAACAGAATTGAATGGCTTAATTGGTTTTTGCTGGAAGGAAGAAAGTAAATTGCATGCGCAATATTAATCTACAATCCAGAAAAAGTTGATGTTTTTTGTGAGAATTTAAAAGATGAAAAAAGTGTTACGATGAAGTTGAAAGAATCGACGAGGATGGAAAGTCAGGTTTAAAGCAAGCTAACCAAATTTTTTAGGTTCGTCTGAGCTTTGGCCCTATGAAAAGAAGAAGAAAAATATTAGCCTATTTAACTGGACCCGGCTAGCCAGTCAAACAGAGGGGAATTAACGTTAACTGCGTTAAGAGGCGAAAATTCCTGCAGGAAATCTCGACCTTTCAAGACCCACAACATGAATCTTAGTCTTTTGCGCCCAATTGTAATCCACGGATCTTATGCTCCTAAGATAACATTAACATGTAGGTATGTATATATACTGTATGTATGTACATTTAAGAAGAGTCACATCTCAGATTCGGATGCAATAGGATCTCAGCTGCTTATCTAGAACCCCCTCAATGTTTTAGATGATGAGAAAGCACATAAGAACTGAAACCAACAGCTTAACAAACATCCATATTAAGCGCACAAATAATGACATGAAAACGCTTGAATTGGTATTAGCAAACTAAGGAACCAACTCCATTATCTAGGCCGGCCTAATACATGGATTTATTCACTTTCCAAATACGGGCTTCATCCATCATGTCTAACATAAGAAACTTAACCATGTACATATATCCACCTATGTATGGTAGGCTTACTGATAACCTGCATACCTACCTACATTCATGGATATAATATTGATTATCAAGTGACCTTGCATAGGTCAGCGCCGTTGAGTGAGGCCTCAATTGGCCTCAATTCATATATAGGTACATAGGTACATACCTTATTCAAGATTGCCCAAGTGGAGATGCATGTGCTTGTTTCCATGTGGCTGTTTACGGAACTGTTGTGGAAAGTGGGAAGAGCGGGGAGCATCTCGGCTGCTAGTACGTACCTACGTACTTCTGCACCTAAAAATTACCTAAGTTCGTCACCATTTCCTGATTGGGTACCACCTACAAGGTACCACGTCGCCTGAACAGCCGCAACTGGGTACTTCTTGCCAGGTAGACATCTTGGACTTTAGACTTAAACACACGATAGCTTCGAATTAACCACAACGTTGAGCGCGCCATCATCGGCCAGAAGATAATCTTCAAATATCAATTCATCTTCATACGGAAAGCTCATAAGAGAGCCTCTTTTTCTACGCGACTATGGCGGACCAACTCTTGGAACAAGTACGAGATGCAGTAGATGGTCAAATTGTTCGTTGCTATTTCCATACTTCTTAACTAGACGAATTCAAGCAAACCACGATTATTAACCAATGATCTATTACATACAGGATTTCGAAGGCCAAAAACTAGCTGAGATCTTAGCCACAGTCGCCCTCGTAATTGTCGGGGTATGAGAAAACTGCTTCTTATTGCTATCCATTCATCAAGTACAAATATTAAATCGTTCGTCTACTGACCGCCAATATCATCGAATAGGGAGTTTCCTTCCTCGTCGGCTTCTTTCTACAAGACATTGCTCTTGCGCTCAAAATTGGCCTCGGCGGCACAGCCCTTACCTTCCTCCTCGTCGTTCCTCCGTGGCCTTTCTTCAACAAGCACCCAGTTAAATGGCTTCCTGTCGGAGGCGAACCAGCGATTACAAGCGCGCAACAGAACATAGTTATCGACGAGAAAATGTTTACGAAATAAATGGCAGGGTTTATTCGCACCTAGGCGGTATATCTATGGACTTCTGGAATGCAGACAGAGGCTAAGGTTAAGAGTGGGATGTGATGCGAATAATACTCAATTCTGCAATACTACCACCATAAGTGTGGCCCAAGTATGTGACGTGAAGCATCCTTGTTGCATTCTAGGCGATGATGTCACCAGAAATAGGATGGAATGATGATTGAAGTCGAAATTGCCCTTACGATACTGCCCGTGTAGATATATCCCCTCCAACCTAACGTCCGTATTTCTGGAACTCCCAGTCTCGGTTGTCTAGCGGACAGACTTGACGTGCTTTAAGCCATCGTGAGATACAGTGGAAGTGGAACGCGTGCTGCAAGTAAGTTAGTCTACCAAAGTATCTCGTATCGATAATCATCGACAATCATCGATGTGACTTACGTTGCAGATGCCCCAAGCCACGGTACACTCCTCGCTGGCAGCAGAGGCTTGGTTTGCCTGGCATTCGATGCATAGGTCCATGATATGATTACGGCAGATGGCACAGTTGTCGACAACTATGTCCCATGCCCATAGAGCTACAGCGTTCCACTAGCCCCCAGATATTAGTACAGATACACTACCTCCAGTGAGTAGTATGACTAATTCCTAAAGCTTCCTCACCTTTTTGACTTCAAAACGTTTCTTCTCTTCGTTCTTGCTATCCGTGTCAACGCCCTTGCGACCCTTCTTAGCCACCGCGGAGGTGCTAGGTGCGTCGGTCATATCGATGTCCGCCATGTTGTGTAGATTAATTTGAGTAAAGGGATGGTGGTTATGGTAGTTATGGTGCTGATGGTGTTGATATAGTCGGAATGTTCGTTATCGTGATAGCTTAGTCGATAGTGGGAATGGTCCGGTCGTTTGGTTTGGTTACGGAGAAAAGGTCGGATTTAGGGACTCCTGATGTTTGCGATATCTCAGTACCCCTCAGTCCTGCAGTGCTGTTTGTGACTACTCGGGTTATGCGAGGTGCCTGCCTACCTAATAGGTATTTCTATGGTGATAGAGCGGGCTGCGGGAGCCTTCAAGGTTGCAGGATGCGGGTCGCGGGACAGTGGAGGTTACCTAAGCATTGACCGTTAAGGTGGAGAGCCGGGCCGTTTGGCAGGTGCGAGCTACTCCACCCGGGTCTCTTTTTTTAGTTTTAATGAAGTACCAACGGAAATACTTCCAAGCAACGTTTCTCTCCTTCTAATTTTCTCTAATTTTGCCCAAATTGCAAAGTCACGACCAAGTCACTTTACTATTAAAATTCGCTTGGTTTTGACCAGGCTTCCACCAATCACAATCCAAAATTCGCCTGGTATGCTGGATCCCATTCCCACAACGGATACAACGTATGGATTTGCACAGCCACATTTTACAGGTCATCTAAGGGAATTCCTTGGATTAGTTCGGGGGGCAAATCAACTAATCAAGTTGTTCTGTCGTTCTTTGGCTATTGAAAAATAGCAGTCACAGCCCTTTTCTCCCAATCATCCTTGTTTTCCCCCAAAGCTTGACTGCTATTCAAAACAAGACCTCAAAAATACAGTATGTTCTCATCGCTAAACACATCCCCGCACTACGTCGTCGCATTGACATTTACATCACAATCCTCAACAGCCTTGTCGGGCTCTAACTTCTCTTCCACTTCTACTTTTACTTCTACTTCAACATCAAATTCACCCGAACCCGATCCTTCTGAATACATGACGTTCAACCATGCAGCGTACATCGCAATCGAGTCAAACACCTAACCGCCGTCGTCAAGGTGGCCGGCATCGAAATACCCCTAAGAGTACGACTTACGCATCTGAGAATGATGTCTCTTCACTCAAGTCACAGGTTGTTGGAGGCAGTCCAGATACACCCGTTCAAGACTCTCGCAAGTCGCAGCGCGCCAGTTCTACCAGTCAAAAGTCGCGCAATAACAAGAAGACTAAGAAGCCCAAGGCTAAGGATGCCGCTGAGGCATTCAACTCATCCAAGTCCGATCGCACTAGTCCGTTGCTTCAACCTAAGAACAATGATGTACCTATCTTTGCAGGCTCAACATTCCACGCTTCTCCTGCCCCGTCAGAGTTACCGATTCCCAGCTTCTTCAATACCTCAGCCGTAGACACTCCCCAGACAATGAAGACGAAGACCACCATGTCTAGTCCCGAGCAAGGGCTCTCCTGTCCTACCACCGATACAGAGGGAACAAGAAGCCCAAGCCCTGAATCCATTCCTCGGGCTGAAGATTCGCCCCTTGAATTACTCTTCCGGGCGGACAGGGCTGAGAAGGCCAGAGTTCGTAGAGCGAGTTCTGCCCATGCGGAAGCGAACACTCCTAGTCCTTTCTCTCCACCTTTGGAGACTCACAGTTACTCGGCGAAAGAATACAGCGATTTCCCTACTGCCACTATCCCTAGCCACATGCGACGTCCGGCAGCTAATCTTAAACGGCCTGGAAGCATGGGGATCTCTGCAGATGAGCTAGATGGTGATCCGCGTCTACCAGTTGGCCCTGCGTTCTCCACACCTTTCCATGAACGCATGCGAGCGGTTCGGTCTAATCACATCTCCACCCCAAGTGCGCTTGTTAATCAGGACACAAGTTCCTCGGACGATCTCAAGCGATATCTACTTACTGGTCGCCTTTCTCGCGATGACGAGCCGGTTAAGCAACTATCAGACTCTGCACGCCAGATTCCGGAGCAAGCCTCGCCCCCATTTCATAGGCGATTACATCATCCCGACTTGCCACGTCGCATGCCTCGTGGAATGTTTCCTGCCTCTGTTCTTGCTGGAAATGTGCGAACTGGCCAGCCGTCAGTCTCACCAGTACAGGCAAACCTTGCCAATTACCAAGCCGACCAAATCTCATCAATGGAAGATAGTCTTCGACGAGTGCTCAAGTTAGATTCTCCGAGTCAGTCTGTATCGCTACGTTAATGACCGCATTCATTTTCACGTTCCTCCGAACCAATCTTTCGCAAGGTGTTACTGGCGTCTAGAGACAGATAATGGCTACATCAACAATGAAACTGGTCCTGTCCATTTCATCCACCATTTTCCTTTGTTAAGGGTACTACGGATACTACGAGTACTACACGACCACACGCGCACCTCATCTTCATTTCGTCTCTTGTTTTCTTCTCTAATTTTTTCAGAGGGACGGAGTCTGCTGTACTGTGATACTTAGGAATAGTCACGGCTGGGCATTTCGACATTTACGCATGATACAAGAGACACCAGGGCAACTCATTCTTGTTTTTCTTTTTCGCTTTTTTTTTCTTTTATTCTATTCACACGGCAATGTATTACGGAATATGAGGCACGGCGCCTCTTTCAGTTAAGCCCAACTTGGTAGTTGGCAGCTTGGCAATTTGCTTTAACACTTCCTGAAAACTTGTTTTCATTAAGGCAGCTCTTGTCGAGTTGGAGTTATGGAATCACCACGTACATAATCGACCAGACTTGGTGTCGGATCGGGCGTCAGATCTGGGGTTTAGGCTTCTGGATGGGAAGATGGATCGGATCCGGACCTTTAGAGACGGTACAGGCATTCGGAAAGGAGTGATGGTTCAATACTTCAGAGATGATGAAAAAGGGCAGAGGCGATTTGATCGCTGGGTGTCACGAGATTTCAGGGGGAGAAAAAAAGGTTTTTTTTTTCTGGTGATATATTCAGGCAGTTGGGTCTCACGGAATGTCTACCGATGACCTCAAGCCATTAATATGACAGGCCTTCATGGTCGAGATATATCGTCAAATCTCAAACTTGAAGATGTGAAGTCATATGTAATGCCGTAATGACTAGACCTGTTGATTCTCTAGTTTCCCATGAAAGGTATTTACCTATTACTCACAGGCAGTTGAATGGTCTGTTTCGACCATCAATCATATCTATGGATGCCCCTAAATCGATACATCTATCGATGTATATCTGAGCGGGTAGGTGCTTACGTACATAGGTACATTCGAGTGATGTCATGTCAGGTTCTCCGAAGCCGGAAAATGCCAAGGATCATCACGTGCTAGCGTGCTGAGGTCGCGTTCTTCGTTACGGTCCTTCCTACGTCAATGCTTCAACCATGTAGATATTATCTAGATAGATAGCCCTACTAATAAAGATCCATATTCCTCTCCAACTCCGAATTTCGAGGCTATTCTACTAACTCTATTAGTTTTCGATTGTCGTTCAATATGGATGTTTGGGATGCTTTTGGTGGCGACGAAGATGCTGCATTACGATACGCGATAGCTTTATCATTGCAGGAATCTAGCGGTGCCTCTCCCGATAAACCCGTTGAACTTAGCTCGGACGAAGATGAAAACGAAGACAATCCGGAACAAAAACCCAAACCCCCCTCCGCTGCGAAAGAAGCCAAGGGTTTCCCCACGAAACAAACACAGAATGCATCGTTGAAAGATACACCATCAGATCCCCAGCTGCCAACATCTATGGCACCAAACATCTTCACGGCTCAAGGGTTAGCAGGAATGGATAGGAAGAAGATGGAGGAAGAAAGACTTGCAAGATCACGAGAAAGATCGGCGAAGCGAAAGATGCCAGATTCGCAATCTGAAGAACAGGGCCGTCAGCAAAGACCGAAAGTAGATGTTGAGATACCAATCAGCTTAGCTCCAAAGGATACTCCTCGCCTACCATACCCAAAGGGCACAGTCAAGAAGACATGGGTCTCAGGATATCCACATAAAGACGATATCAAGATCGAGGAAGTCCTACAGAAGGACGAGCTTGAACTCGCCGTGATCAGCTCATTTCAATGGGACGAACGATGGATGTTTTCCAAAATCAACTTCGCCAAGACTAAGGTTGTTCTAATTGCTTTTGCTTCAAGCGAGGCGCAGGTATGGCCCTCACCAGATTTATAGGCACTTCTACATACCATAAAACTAACAAGGCCATTCTTCATTGTAGCAAGAAGAAATGAAGGCCAACGTACCCGCCAGGGCAGCCGTCAAGTTCTGTTTCCCGCCTATGATGCCGACCGGAAATATGCATTCAAAACTACAACTACTAAAATACCCCAAATACCTGCGCATGGTGGTACCAACCGGGAATTTCGTGCCCTACGACGTAAGTAGAGGTATCTTTTCCCTCCGGTATTCTATGTGGTTTCTAACTTTATGTGATGTAGTGGGGCGAGCCCGGAATTATTGAGAATATGGTATTTCTCATAGACCTTCCTCGAATCGATGATCCCGAATTACAATCTTCCAATAAGCTCGGTCCTTTCGGCGACGAGCTCTGTTATTTTCTTCGGTCCCAAGGGTTGGATGAAAGCCTTATAAACAGCCTTACGAACTATGATTTTTCCGAAGCAAACCATTATCGATTTGTTCACACAATGTAAGGCCTAATCAAGAATTTCTTTTTTTTAAATACTAACACCAGTGTAGTACGGCATCACATGTAGGCGATAAGTGGCAACGAACAGGATACTGCGGGCTCGGTCGAGCCATAACCTCTCTCGGACTCAATACTACTGAAGGAATCGAGGTTGACTTCATGGTTTCATCACTAGGATCAGTTAATATGGACTTGGTATCAGCCATATACTATGCTGCTCAAGGCGACGATGGCCAGAAAGAATACAAAATGAGGGGTGCGAAGGGGGGCAAAAATCAGGGGTCGGCATCTACCAAGTCAGATATAAAGGATAATTTTCGAATTTACTTCCCGTCTCACGATACAGTGGTAAAAAGTCGTGGAGGAAAGGATGTGAGTAGAAGCCCGAGGAACGTTGGAAGAGAGAACAATTGGCTAAACTTATCTAGGCAGCAGGAACCATTTGTGTCAATTCTAAATGGTGGGATTCCGCTACGTTTCCTCGGGAATTGGTTCACGATTCCAAAAGTGTCAGGACTGGCATTCTCATGCATAGCAAGCTCATGATGGTCCGCCATCGTCACTCAGATAAATCCAAGGCTGCCTATGCTTATGTTGGAAGCGCAAATTTATCGGAAAGTGCATGGTAAGCATACTTCCTCCTAAGATCAAATCACAACTAATGTGAAACTCGGGCATTCAGGGGCCGCTTGACAAAAGAGAGAGGGACCGGTAACCCAAAGATTACATGTCGTAATTGGGAATGCGGAGTGATTGGTAAGATCCGGAGTTCCTATATCCCTTCTATCCCTTTTATCCCCGCCCGGATATGCAGCGCTCCTTTAGTCCTAAGAATCTGTTATACATCGAAGTTTTACACGATGATGATTAACCTAATGATGAATAGTTCCCATGCAATCTCAAAATTCTAGCGATCTATCCGACTTCAGCTCCGTTATTCCAGTGCCAATAGAAGTCCCCGGCGATGCATACGGAGCTACAGCGTCAAAGCGTCCTTGGTTCTTCCTCGAGAACTGACGTCTGACTAATTGCGCTAGAGCCTTACACCCCACGGTACTATAATCCTAGAGGGTAAAGCATGAGCAATTAATGGATGGAGGCTTAATATCTAACGGGACCGATATTATGTTAATGCCAAGATCATCCCTTCGCCGGGTGATCTACGCTAAGTCTTGTTAAAGCTTAAGTGGCGACAGTCGCATATGCCCTACCTAGCCTGTCGATTCTGAATATGACACATAGATACCATCAAAGCGCATCTCGTGCGTATACTGACCAGTTTCCCATGACCATGCTCACTGTTAGTCGCTTCCAGCTTCTGTGCCCAACATTTGCTAACCTTTACAAATTCTTCACGAGATTTAGGAAAGGAAAGACTAAGATTTAAGCACGTAAGGCGGTAGACATGCGGAGCAAGTGGCGCAACCCCGCGCCTTAATGCCTGTCTAGATCACTAAGTGTCCTTGAGATCCGCTATAGCTATAAAGCTAGACGCTAGCCAAATTTCACATGAAATAGCCAAGCGGCACATAGAACTCCACGCAGGGTATTTCCATGTCATCACAGCCGTGCTTTAAGGTTTGCGGCACTCATCGGTGTCCTAGCAGCTGCCTGGGTCGGCCTGGTCACGTCTATTAGGCCGGGAATCGTCCCGTGGTACCCCACTGAGGCTATCACGGCTCTCCTAACCCCTATTCAGCTGCCAGATTGGATGATCAGCTATTCCTTTTCGGGAGCAAGTCTCGCGGATTCTTGCTTCGTGAGAACTCATCGCACGTCGTTCTTATGCAAGTTTACCGAGCCCTCGGTTGGTTTGGGACGAAGGTAAGCATATCTCTTTTTCAGTTTGCCGGCCCTGTACCTGCATCTGGGTGACATGCTATCAAATCAACGAAAATGAGCTGATAATAGGGCTAGTTGGAGAGCTATACAGAAGCTAAGAAAAAAGATCACTTGTACGGACGTATCTTTCCTTGTTACAATACTACATATTTTCCTCTGCCAGGGTGGCCAAAAAGACTCCCTAGGACAGGCCCCAAGTCACGATATTTCTAAGCAGATTCAATGCGACCTCTTCCCTTATAATTATCCAACGTGAACATGCAGTCTTTCGTAGAGCTCTATTAGCTCTTGATGGATTATTTCTGCAATTGTCCTCGACGTGCGCTAATCTCTGTACCATCAGAATTTGGCGGGATGGCTTTCAACAGAAAAAAAGAAATACAATGAATTGAAGAAAATGGAGGCTGACAGGATACCCCCTACATGATACGCCTCAAGGTTGAATATGAACCTAATTTTTTCCAGAATTAGCTTGGCCTGTCAACAGAAATTCGTCGTGTCAGCAATCCTTGAGCTCGAAATTCAGGCTAGGGAATAGCATAAAGCTTAATCCCTCCGAACGCCATCGAGATCCCAAGCTAGAACCGCGCTTAGGGTGAAAAGATCGGTCCTAACCAACTTCCAAGCGTGTGAATACAATTTAGGTACCTAGGTAGGGCTACGAGCTCCTACAGCTAGGACACTATCAATTGAACATATGGATACAAAAAGAAATAAAAGAGAACAGGTTGGCCTAATGCTACATCCCACAATTATCGCCTGGGAAAGTCTTAGGGTAGAAAGGATCGGAAATCATTCACAAATACCTACACTCGGAATCCCGCTTGGACTGTCGGTGATTACGGCACGTGCCCGGTTAGGTATGCGGAGCTTCAGACAAATTCATATTATAGATTTTTATGTACTTTACCTATGAGGATCATCATATTGCCTAGATTCATCGAGAACTAGTCTTTAGATAGGTTAGACTGAATAAAACCAAAATAGTTACCAACCGGTTGGCATTGGAGTTCCCAGTATAGTCTATGTCGTCTAGAAGGCTGTTCCCTGGAAATCCATCATCTATTCGTCATGTTACATCAACAACTCGAGAGCTATAGCTATATAGCACGAAGAAGGGGGGTAAATTACATATCTAATGTTCATGTTCGGCTATACGAACCCGATTCAGGTGTCATGGTTTCCTGGATACCAAATAGGGGTATTCGAGAAAACGAGAAAAATCTTACCACTGTGAAGTCCTCGCATACAATTTGGCGTGGTCATTTTATGATTCCTGTAGAATAAATGACTCTTGATTTATATTACCGGATTCCTTCTAGATATTCTCGTATCTAGTCGGCTGCCAGCTGAAACTCCCATGATCTTCAATCTTCAGATATGGGAGCTAGAAGTTTACGAAACAATACCTTAAGCTAGGAGAAAATACAACTTATAGATCATGGCAAATGGGCTCCGCATAAAATATCCGCCAACGGGACCAGAAAAGTAGTGACATGTCCAAGTAACAAGAATTATTTCATCTAAAGACAAATAATGTATCTAGAAGAAAAGCAATAAAAAGACCGGAGAAGAGATGAACATTGGAAAATATTCGATATCGAAGTGGATATATATAATAGATCGAATACATGTATATGACACTTGTAACTAGCTAGTATGTATATGACCGTAGCTTCTATATACCTAAACGTGTTGGATATGTGCGCCTACCACGTCGGTACTCTGTATGGTAAGAAGGAACCACCGAGTTTCATAGCTACTACCAGCTTATATATAGGTAGTATTGATCAAGTACCTAGTAGGTATACTCCTATGAATGAATATACCAGATGCAAGTACTGGGCATATTTATTGTCATTGAGGTAGGTACCTATCCATGGACGCAAGCTACTAGGATGCACTACGAAGAAGTAGGGTGAGGTAAGGTAAGCTGCTCAGTGGGCACTAGGCGAGTAGAGGGGATACCTAGAGGGATACAGCTATGGAGGACTGGTCCTTCCCGACTTATTCGTCTCCTTCATTTTTCTTCTTCTAAGTATGGTCCTCGATTTCCCAATCTATAAAACGGCCTTAGTCCATGCACCATCTTTCCTGTTATAAACCACATCATCCCTTCCTCGTCTTCATTATCGTAGTCATCTACTTCGACCAGAGGGGGCAAGTGCTATCTACATCTCATCATTACTAGGGAAGCCAGCAATTACAAGGCAACCATTTTATCTTCTCTGGAAAACTGAGCTGCGGTCGGTACGTGCCATTCCAATCTTTCTCAATACCAATAACTACCGATTTCCTCCAACATTTCACAACTTTTCAGAACTTACAAAAAGAACCATCGAAATAAATCAGAACCACATCAACCCCCAATTTTAAACTTCGTACTTCAGTTGTCGTTGCCCATTTTGTACAAACTCATTCCCGACATCATAACAAAGTTCAGAGCCTCAACTCAGTGTTGTCGGCGCTAACCCAGGTACCTCGTCTACGCTCCTTTAACAGGAAGCTGCCCCTTGTAAGCCACAACCTAGGACAGCCATCGATAATCCCTTGCGATGTTATCGCCGTTGATCTTTCATATTTTCTTTGGCATCTTGTAGATGAGATTGTTTTCATCATGATTAACTAATCTTAACCGTGTAGAAAATTCCAATTCCAATCAAAGTGTCCGTATCCTTCGTTCGACCGCCGCCCATCCTCAGGTCACTTTGAGGAAGAAATACGAAGGAACCTCCAGTACACCTATTCGGAGTCCGTCTACAATTCCCCTGCGTATCTGAAAGGTTAACGAAGCCAGTTGACGCAACTTGGACCTCCATTTCAGAGCTCCGAGCACACCCACCTCTACTCCAAGTATCTACCTAAACGCAAGTAGGGGCAGGTTGTAGCTTTCTGAGGCGGCAGCCACGAACTCAATCGTTGCACCGGCTCAAATTAGTCTACAATACGCCTTTTTCGGAGATCTCAGCCCCCCCAAGAGTGGAAGTACTCTACTAAGCATCTACGCCGGTGGTGTACTAATTTCCTCCCTCTTCATTAAGGTTCGCTCGGTCTGGGTTTACTCAAGAGTCAAAATTCACAACTTGGAACCAGGTCCGTGTACCAGCTCTACCTAGTTGCCACAAAGGGTCTTTTCCCTTCTCCAATCGACACAATCTTCAAAGCGAAGCAATAAACTCCAGTGGTGGCAGCCATTCTATCTTGGGTTGCCAAAGCAGCAGATAGCAACAGGTCGCATGGTCTTCGAAAGGCATCTCTGGTATAAATTGATGCCCCTGCAGCCTGTTATCCTTTTTTTAGCGAAGCTTGTCCACCTTCTATCGAGTCTCATTAAAAACTGTAAAACAATTCGTCTCGAGGTAAGATTCTGAGAATTCCCCTACGCTCTTGCTTCTTTCACTTCTTCATTCCAGCTTACAATTCACGCCAGGTCCTTTAGACACTTCAGATCCTGCACCTTAACTCTCCTGTCAATAACTGGGTCTCGAGTTGCGAGCATATCTGCTCCTACATTGCGACCAACAATATCCTACACCTGGACGCGCCGTGAACTATCCAACCTACGTGCTGGGACGTCTCCTTGGAGATATAGTTTACTTCCGCTTAACAATACTCTTTTTAACTATCATCGCGAAAGCTTTCATCACTTAAGCTATCACTTGCATCTCAACTGGTTAGAGTAAAACTTATCATCGAGCACGCTCGACCATCGACGCAGCCATGTCTTCCGGCGGTATGCTAGCTGGAGCCGACCGACCTACGGGTCCTTCGGGTTCGCTGTCTTCGGGGCACACGGGGGTGGCAGCAAGCCCTCTACAGCCAACATTCCGCGGTTACATCGCAAGTACTATGGATGCTCTTATACTATTCGAAGCATGCTTAAGCGGTCACCTCTTCCACGTACCGAGACGGCCCCACGACAGAGAACGAGCAGGCCTCATCGTCAGCGGCAACGTGTTCATCTACGAAGAGCATTCTTCGGGAATAAAGCGCTGGACAGATGGCGTACCTTGGAGTCCCAGTCGCATACTGGGAAACTTCCTTTTGTATCGAGAGCTCGATAAACCTTTCCAACCCGGCGAGAAAAAGAGAGCTATGAAACGATCTAAGCCGAACGAGGGTGTATCGAAGCCTGCTACCAATTCGCGGTCTAACTCTGTCAGCAATGGCATGAGTAACTCATTGAATGTCGGCGCGCCTATGTCGAACTTCGACAACATGGCAAATAGCCGTAATGACGCCGAAAGAGCTCTTGTCGGATCCCTCATCGATTCGTACCAATTTAAACAGGATGGGTTGGTAAAGAAGACTATCAGTGTTACCTACCAAGGCATCCAGCACCACATGGTCTCGTATTATAGCATTGATGATATTATCAGTCATAAGCTAATTACTCCAGCCCATGATCCCAGTCTACGGGGCATCACCCCTCGTGGGCCTCTGATTTCATCGGGTAGCTTCAGGGCTCCAGTCGACGACCAGGAAATATTGATGACAGAGCCGCACTTTAGACACGCCATGATAAGCCACCCGTTTCCTTACATGAACAGCGCGAGTGCACGATCGATGTCGATGCCGACAATGCCATCCTTCACACAGCCAACTTGGGGAACAGATCAATACGTCTCCACCTATACCATGGCTCCAACGATGGCCCCAACCTTGCCGCCACCTGTTAACTACGCCCCACCCGTGACATCGACTTATAATTACGAGTCGAGCAGTATTCCTTACGGTATGACTCCACGATCATCCGTGGGATTTCCTCATTCTGGTTCCCTGGCAGCTCGTCGACATTCCAATGTGCAAGGAGCAAACGGAATCAGCCACTTAGATTATAACGGTCTCGGCTCTATTGACAGGGCTCCAATGGGCTCAAGCCAGTACCTCGGGAATGGTTCCAGCCTTGCAAACCACGGAATGACTAGTCAGTCATCCTACTCTAATGGAGCCATGTTTGAATCATCGGCAGCGGCGGCGGCGGCTGCTGCAGCTGCAGCTACTCCTTCTTCGAACCACCACCGCGAATCCTATGATCACAATGGAACAAGCCAGAGCAATGAAATGTACACCACCGAGCCCTCTGGACGTCACTCGGCTGGGTTCGTCAACCAACTCGACAATGGGTTTGATTCCCGGGGTACTCACCAGGCACCTGCCGACTTCAGTGCCTCTCTATCCGATCATACCGCCCACAATGTCTCATCTAGTCAGGAGACTACGCCCCCAGCCATGCCACTGGGCCTCGATAGCACCGAGTCTCCATCGAACATGGTAGCGGAGCAGGGATGGGCAAGTGGCTTCATGGGCAACGATAACTTCTCACAGTTAGTAGTCCCAAATAATCCCATAGATGGTTAAGGAAATGTTAACGGTGATCAGGATTCCTAAGTCGGAAGTTGGTGGCTTACAGAATGTGCTACAGAACATGTCCATGGACGAGTTGAACAACCACAAGCAAACACGAATGTAATTCCAAAGCCCGGCGAATACATAGAATGTTCTTCACGCGTCTATCATTCTATTCTGAAAATTTGTCTGCTTGGTGTTCCGGCAAGGCGTTATGGTACAGTCTGGTTTTTTACAAGACACTCTTAAACAAGTCTTGGAGGGGACGTAAGTACTCCTGACTGTGGAATCTGGAAGATGGGGAAGATGGGCAAAAAGAAAAGGTTTATTTCGAGTTGGCGTTGGCGTTGGCGTTTAATGAGGCTAGACAATGATGGGTTTTCGATACCTCGGGTTTCTTCCCCTTCGTCCAGTATCGGTCATGGAAGATCGCATTACTGGCAGGGGGAAATTAAGTATTTGATGATGAGATTGCTCTTTCGACTCATCTTTCTCATGTTATTTCTTTTGTCAGGCGTTAATCGTGGTTATCTATTCGATGCTGTCGGGACTCATTAGACGTCAAGTGGATGAACGTCAAAGGTTCCTTTTCATTGCGCCGATTGCGCCGATGGGGATAAAAGTCGTTAGTACTAGTTTCGCTACAGACTAGCTATTCTTTGCTAAAGGAGCTAGGTGGCTTGCAGAAGAAATAGTCGCTACATCTATAGATGCTTGTGATAAAGACACATCAATAGAATGAATCGTTAAACTTCGATCCGGCGTGGTGAGAGAATGCAAGCAAGTAACATAGGAAGTCTAGGAGCTGAAAAGATAAAATCAGGGGTAATCGATAAGACGCTTGACCATGTAATTTGTTACGTAACCATTTTGCAGATCTCAGTGCAAATCAATTTATGCTTATTACTAAGCAAATTGCTAATATAGTGGGGCGATAAATGACGTCTGACTTTACTAATACTACTTTAGCTCAAACACGGTGCCAGAAAGAACTTTTTTCAACTGTGGATGTACAATCGCCAATCTTCCCCTTCGCATTCTAATCAGTGCTTGAATTTGATTCTCGGACAATAGTCGGCATATCTTGGCGCATTTTACGATTCATCTATAATATGATACACTCGATATGAGTACACGGGCAATACGCGGTGGCGCTCATGCTTCCCGTAGTTGTCCGGGCTTGAGCTCGAGGCCAAGCCTCGGCAGGAATTCGTTTCCGAATGCCTTCATAACGAATGCAGAGAGTTTGGTTAATCCAACGTCGTGCGCATGGGGGAGGCGTTTATATACCATGCATACCGGTCCTTTGAGGACTCCAAATGCTGATATGAGTGCAGCTGGGTATTATCCTAGGGACAGTGTGCGAGGATGGACGTGCTCACAACTCAACGTGGCTTCGAGAGGTAGTCTCAAAGTCAATGCATGGCATGGATATGGGTTCAAGAGATGCCTCTCCCAGTCCAACAGGTCTCTCCAGGAGAAAAAGGAGAGTAATAGTAAGGATCAGTACGTCGTCCTTGCTACGTTGTCATTCTGCTTAGCCCATAAGCTCATCATGTTTCCCACGATACATATCAGTAGGGTATTCCCCAATCTGAACCTTTAACTCTTGAAACGTGCGAAAATACCTTACCGTAGACCCCTCCAACTAACTAGCATCTTAGAATACCTTCTCAGCCGACACAGTCAGAGCCGTTATCTACAACCAAACCTCGAGGAATCCGAAATGTGATTCCGAAGGTGATACCTGTGTTGACGGCCCATGAGAACATATACACAGTGCCTAACATCCTAACATTTTCGCGCCTCATAGCAGCGCCGTTCGTCGGTTATGCTATTGTTCATGATGCTCCTGCGTGGGCGCTAGGTCTGTTCGCTTACGCGGGAATCTCGGACTTGCTTGATGGTTGGATCGCGCGCCGGTGGAAGCTTCAGACTGTCGTCGGCAGTATTGTCGATCCGATGGCGGATAAGATACTCATGACTATCTTGACCGTGTGTTTAGCTTATAAGGGGGCGTTACCAGGTAAGACTATCTACTCCAGATTTTCACGGGATATGCTGTGCGAAATTATTACCATATCAACTATCAGATGCTACTTTGTTCCATTAAATGCGCTAACTAAAAAACTATTCAAGTTTGGCTTGCCTTTATAATCCTCGGGCGTGACGTCGGTTTAGCGATTTCAGCCATATACTATCGATGGATATCTCTCCCGCCGCCGAAGACTTTCACGCGGTATTGGGACTTCTCTCTACCATCAGCAGAGGTAAAACCTACAACTATCAGCAAGTACAATACCTTCTTACAACTAGGGTTGATGGGGACAACCATGTTGACGCCCTTCATAACTGCGGATGTCAGCTTAGCTATGTCAGCGTTCCAGTATGTGCTCTCTCAATGCTTATCTAATGAATTACATAAGAATTTCAACAATTTGTCATCATTGTTACACAAGCTGACAAAGCAATAGATATTTAGTGGCCACGACGACTGTATGGAGCGGTCTGAGTTATGTGTTTAGCAAAGATGCTGTGAGGATCCTCTCACAGAACAAGGACAAGCCTAAAGGTCAATAGCGTTTTATGAATAAGTCCTAGACGGTGGCATGGAATGCTACACACATAGTGGTTCCAAACTCTACGGAAAAAAAAAGAAAAAGGAGTTGAGGTCAGCACATGGTCAATACATGGTTTTGTAAATTACGGGGGATTATACTTAGCGGTTGGGAAAATGCATTAGTGTTCACCTCCTCCTCGTATGGCATTTCGCATGACATGGTACTAGGTGGTAACCGAGACACATTACTATTAGTTGTGCTTCTTCATCTTTAGTATCCACTAATTTATGAGATCTGGGACTATGCCCTCATAGTTACCTCAACCTTTAAATCACCAAGATGAAATCAAATAAACGTTGAAATAAACAGTTGCTTCAAAGTTTCAATGCCCAGTGCTTTTAATATTAGTAAGCTTAGTCATCTGACTAATTTCTTACTAATCGCGCTTTTGAGCTTACCTAATGAAGAATGTGCAATTAATAGATCGGGCAGAAAATCGACCACTTACCATATTTAGCATCAAGATCTACACCGCTTACTAGTTTGAGCTTAATTCCTTATCGTCAACCTCTTATCGAGAAATTTGCTTTTTTAGGATGACAAACGACCGACAACGATGCTGGATTGCGATATTTACGAATTGGATTCAGTATTCGGTTCATTGCTTCAGATATGAAGAAAGCATGGAGACCCAGGGGTTTAAGTCGGCCTATTGGCACGGCTCACAGACGACCCCTCGCCTCACGTCTTCAGCGGAGTAATTTCGCCACAGTAGCTCAAGATGCGAGGTATGTAACTATTATAACTTAACCTTGGCACTCTTCATGGGTCAATGCTGATTGACAAAAAATTAGACCGTTTGATGTTATCGTAATAGGCGGTGGTCATGCCGGATGCGAAGCAAGCGCTGCAGCCGCTCGATCTGGCGCACGAACAGCTCTAGTAACACCCAAACTTGACAACCTCGGAGTCTGTTCGTGTAATCCTAGTTTCGGTGGAATTGGGAAGGGAACAATAATACGTGAAATCGATGCCTTAGATGGAGTTGCGGGGCGAATCATCGACAAGGCCGGTGTCCAGTTCAAGATCCTGAACCGGAGAAAAGGCCCTGCCGTCTGGGGTCCCCGCGCTCAAATCGACCGAGCGCTATATAAAAAGCACATGCGCGAGGAGCTACAATCATACCCCAACCTGTCTATCATAACAAACACCGTATCAGACATTGTCTTAGGCGAGAAAGTAGTCGATCCTGCTAGCGGTCCGTCTAAGAGCAAGATCACGGGCGTACGCCTCGAATCCGGCGAGGTATTACCAACCAGCGCAGTAATCATCACCACGGGAACCTTCCTAAGCGGAGAGATACATATCGGCCTCGACGTCTTCCCGTCAGGGCGAATAGGAGAGAAAGCGACTTTCGGGCTAAGCAAGTCCCTAAGAGAAGCCGGTTTCAAGCTCGGCAGACTAAAGACAGGCACGCCCCCACGACTACACAGGGGAAGCATAAACTTCAAGATCCTAGAAGAGCAACTCGGCGACGATCCCCCCGAACCATTCAGCTACCTAAACGACCGCGTAGCGGTCCAAGAGCAACTCCTCTGCCACGCGACCTACACGAACGACAAATCCCACGACGTGGCGCGCGCCAATTTCGACAAGACGGTGCATATCCGGGAGACAGTGCGAGGGCCGCGGTACTGTCCGTCGCTAGAGTCGAAGATCATCAAGTTCGGGCACAAGGAGCAGCACATCGTGTGGCTCGAGCCCGAGGGTTTCAACAACGACACGATCTACCCGAACGGGCTATCGATGACGATCCCCGCCGAAGCGCAAGAGCAGCTGCTCCGCACGATCCGCGGGCTCGAGAACGTGCAGATGACGCAGCCTGGGTACGGTGTCGAGTACGACTACGTCGATCCGCGGGGGTTAAAGTCCACCCTCGAGACGAAGGCGATCGATGGGTTGTTCCTCGCCGGCCAGATCAATGGGACGACGGGGTACGAGGAGGCGGCTGGTCAGGGGATCGTCGCGGGGATTAATGCGGGGAGGAGCGCGCGGGGGTTGGAGTGTGTGCAGATTACGCGCGCGGACGGGTACATCGGGATCATGATCGACGACCTCATCACGAAGGGCGTGTCGGAGCCGTACCGCATGTTCACGAGCCGTAGCGAGTACCGCATGAGCACGCGCGCGGACAACGCCGACTTGCGGCTTACGGAGATGGGCCGCGGTTGGGGTGTTGTGGGGGATATACGGTGGAGTAGGTTCACGGATGATAAAGCCAGAATGGGCGATCTCACGCGGAAGTTAAAAGAGTGTGTGCGTAGCGCCCCGGCGTGGAATGCGGCTGGGTTCGCGAATCGAGTCGATAGCAAGGTCCGGTGCGCGCTGGATATCCTGCGCCTGCCGAACGTCAAAGTCGACGATCTGCTCCTCGAAGTCCCGGATATAGCGCAGTACCCCCCACGCATCCGGACGCGCGTCGAGATCGAGACGCGGTACGCGCCGTACGTCAACATGCAGGCCGCGGAGCGGGAAGCGTTTTTGCGGGATGAGGGGTTACGGCTTCCGACTGATCTCGATTACGATACTGTGTTTGGGCTTAGTTTTCATGAGAGGGTCGCGCTGCAGGAGGCTAAGCCTGAGAGTATTGGGCAGGCGAGACGGATCGAGGGGGTTACGCCTGCGGGAGCGGTGAGGTTGCTTGCGTTTGTGCAGAGGGGTTTGCATGGGAGGGGGATGGCGGAGGTGGAGGGGGAGATGGCGCCGCTTGCGGGGGAGGTTGATGGGTTGGATGCTGAGGCGAGGAAGGGGGAGTTGTGAGGGTTTCGGGGGATAAAGAAGGGTTTATATATGATATGGTGGGTGGCGGTAGGTGTATTTATACGGGATAGTGCATGATGAAGGCGTTTAAGGGGGAAAGACGTTGGCATGATGTAAAAGCATGGTCTGATCTACTCAAAATATACCACCAATACATAAGCATTCGAAGTACATCTAAGTCTCGTTATTGAAACGCGTAGGGCATCAAGTAAACCTCACGAAGAATATAAGAGCGGGAACTCACCCGTGACACCTTTTCCGGTTTGCGATACACTTAACTTCACCTACAGAGCTAGGCATCTAAATAAGCGATTCACATAAAGCAACATCCCAATGCCCACAAAATCACCTATTAATTGACCAACCTATCCTATCTATGCGTCTTCCTACCTCCTTCCAATCTCCTTCCTCAACCTACCCGCCGTCGTAGCCGGCGGCGGTTCCGGCCACGAAGCCACAGCATCATCGACCTCTTCGAGAAACGTGGCCGCGTTATGAATGCTGGTACCGCCAAGCACGACCCTGATACCGGGAGACGAGGCGTTGATGGTAGCGATTGTCTTAGCCTCTTCGTACGTAGCACCCCCAATGATAAAGACGACGATGTCCTGCGGCTTGTCACGAGTCGTGCCGCCGCCGTCCACGAACGGATACTGTTGCTCTCGTAACCGGCCCTTGATTAGGTTCTGGAGCGTCGTTTCCAAGTGCGGCGAGTGCTGAGTATAGACATTTTCGACGCCTTTGAGCCCCTTAATAGCCCGCGCCCCGGAAAAGATGCCGCCGGACTCGAAGATATCCGCGATGCCGCCCGCTGCTTGGGATTGCTGTAGGGAGTGGTGGTAGATGAGAAGCTTAGCAACTAGGTCTGCTTGTCGCGCAGGAACACCGCCTGCAGCAGACAATAGATCCACTAGCATGGCTAGGGAATTTGATGGATGCTTCTCGTATCGTAGAGCGTACAGAGCTACGAGTCCAACCTTGTTATCGGCAGTGACTGATGGGGACTGTATCAGCTTCTGAACATTCTACGCCAAGTTAGCATCGTAAAAATATGATTAGGAAACCAAGTGATATACCCTTAGATCAGTGGCATGGTTATCATTACAGGCCAAGCTCTGCTCGACCTCGCTGACCTCCAACAAATTCTCAGCAGCTACCCTCCGACTGAGTTCCGAAACCAAGGTAACGTGTTTGCTGACATTCCCGGAGAGTTTCCTAAATTCGGGGTACTCCTCGATGAATCGTTTCATGTCCGTTATCGATTCGATATTCGCATTGTTCTTCGTTTTAGACTGGTATTGCTCCACGTAATCCTTGATATTTCCACCAAGATCGCCAAAATTCAAGTACATATTCTTCTTGAAAAACGGATCCTGGTCTTGCGATAAGACGATTTCTTTGAGTTCTGGCCGGACGTCTGGGACGTCGTCTAAATTGACACGGCCGTTGTGAATTCCCAGTAATTGATGCACCATTGCTTGATATGTCCATTGGTTGAGTAGCGGTGTGGCAGGATCTTCTCTCCTGTCTAGAATCAGAAGCATCGGAGGCGTATCAACCTTTCGAAAGTCGAATAGCTGTTCCTCCTGTGTCATATGGTATCGTACTTCAGTAGCTAGCTTTTTGGCAAGCAGGCTGTTCCTCTCATACCGGATGAGAGGCTTCTTTTTAAGCGACAGCAAAATAGCTATTAATCCATCCGTCGTCCGTTGCAACGAGTCTGGATTCCACATATCCGGATTGCCGCTCCATATTCTCTGCTGCGGTAATGTGAGATTAAGTGAAAAGAGGTCGGGGTTGATGACGAGATAATCAGCGAAGTGTTCTTGAACTTGTTTGACAACTTCGTGGTCGTCAGCTTCTGCTAGTCTTTCCAACGACGATTTCTTTACGACGTTGCTGAAGTACAGATAATATTCTCCATACTTAGGATCCCGCAGTTCGTCTATCAAGAACTGGATAGATTCTGGAGATGGTCGGACAAAACATAGACATCTGAGATGGCGCATCTTTTCTCGGTTCGGATTATCCAACCGATCTGTGAGATAGACTTCATGATTGAGTAAAGACGACTGTGTGATTGCGGTTGAGACAATTGGTACTGTGTCCTTGTCTAAAAGGAGTATCTTCATCTTTGCCGACGGAGTTCCAGCTGCGCTGTCTCCGGCCGACACCATCTTAGAGATGTAGCCGGAGACGGCTTGAACGACATCCATCTTGTTCGGCTCAGTGAGATACAAATGACAGTTTTCAGAACTCCGACGTGTTCAGGTTGAGATTGTATTTAGTTTGGCAGGACTCAAGTTTCGGTTTATTCTTCCAGTGAAGCTATAGATTTGGAAAGCTATAATTCGTAAAGTTTCAGGCGACGGTTTAAGAGTTCTTTATAAAATGAAATGAGGTGATGAGACTCGAGTTTAAGCTCTTGGAAGCTTCAACGTTCAATTGAACATGCCGCCTAGAAGGTAGTACCATGTACCGCCCTAGATCGTCACGGAGCAGGGGTTTGAATGCCAGATGACGTTACGGTACCAGATACCTCATTTCCTTCATACCATTGGTGTGGAGCAAGGTAGTGATTACATATCCCGATAAGATAAAGAATTGTACATACATAAACCGACAAGCTCTAAAGCTCGAAAAGTTCAAGAGCAAAATGATTCATTCCTACATAAATCTACCAATTTCTTCAATTCCATTTCCCGATTAAATGTAAAAGTCGGTCCAGGGCACCTGACCCTGGAAGCCATAAACCGAAATGGCTACGACGGATATGTGTCCGATGAAACCTGAACCGACGTGGGAAATCCCGCCAACTTTCTGCTTTGTACCTTTATAAGCCGCGCTGTGATTGACTAACAAGACCGCCTAAACAGTTTGTCGTTCACCCAAGGGCTCATCGTCGGCCAGATCTCCGTCGTACTCCTCATCGCTGCTTTTATCAAGTTTTTCATATTCGGCGATGCCCCGTCTCCCGAGGTGACCGCCACAATCCGGGCCGCCGAGCGTCGATCTCGGACACTCGCTCACCGGCAATCCCTCCTCACCCTGCGAAGCACCACCCCGAATTCTGCGAGGCCCGGTCAGCCGACGTTAAATAAGAAAAAGTCGAGCATACTACGGAGTCCTCCCACGCTGACCATCGGTTCCATCCTCAACAAGACGTACTACAACGTCGACAGCCACCAGCCCGAGTCGCTAGACTGGTTCAACGTGCTGATCGCGCAAACCATCGCCCAATTCCGCAGCGACGCCCAGCAGGACGACGCCATCCTAACCTCCCTCACCAAAGCCCTAAACGGGACCTCGCGCCCAGACTTCCTCGACGAGATCAAGGTCACCGAGCTAACACTCGGTGAAGATTTCCCCATATTTAGCAACTGCCGCATCATCCCCGTCGACGAGGTCGACCAGGATGGATTAAGCCTAAACAAGGGACCGCACGGGGAAAAGCGTTTCGACGCGAACAGCTCGCGAGCGAAGCGAGAAGGGTCGCGTCTACAAGCACGTATGGACGTCGACCTAAGCGACATGATCACCCTCGCACTCGAAACCAAAATCCTGCTCAACTACCCCAAGCGACTAACCGCCGTCCTCCCCGTCGCCCTCGCCGTATCCGTCGTGCGGTTCAGCGGCACCCTCAGCATCTCCTTCATCCCATCCAACCCATCCCAATCCACGCCCACAATGATGACATTCAGCTTCCTCGACGACTACCGCCTCGACTTCTCCGTCCGCAGCCTCGTAGGCAGCCGCTCGCGGCTCCAAGACGTCCCCAAGATCGCACAGCTCGTCGAGTCGCGCCTCCACCGCTGGTTCGACGAACGCGCCGTCGAGCCCCGCTTCCAAGAAATCGCGCTGCCTAGTCTCTGGCCGCGGAAACGCAACACCCGCGGCGGTGACGACCCGCTCCTCGACCCCGCCCACGGCACCGCCGCGTCCTCCGTGTCCAGCGGCAGCGCAGGCAAAGGCAAGGGCCGCGAGATCGCGCGTGAGCTCAAAGAAGAGGCTCGAAAGGAAGTCCGTGCCGAGGCTGCCGCGGGCCAGCGGAGGGATCTGAGAGATAGGGAGATAAGCCCGCCGGAAAACCTGCGGTATAGACGCGCTAGGGGCCAGCGCGACGGCTCGGCGATCAGTGAGTTTAGTATGCCGGGGAGTCTGCCCGGGATGGGGATGGCGCTTGATTTGCCGCCTTGAGGGTTGGGGGGTGGGATGTTGGGTTAGTTATGAAGTAAGAAGAGATGAAATGAGATGAGACGAGATGATATGAGATGGGATAGGATGATGTCGACGATGTTGATGAGAAATATACCCGAGCCTACCGATTCGCGTGTTAGGAGAACGCGGGGCCAGTCGTTGAAGTTTAAAAAACAGGAGCGAGAATAAGGGATACAGGGCACAGCGTCCGGTAGTGATTCCTGCCGCCTGGTAGATCGTGCTTTATGAGAGGCGAGACGAGGCGGGTAGGCCAAGTGCTCGGTCGAGTCATCGAACACTTTGTAAGATTGGTCATATGCGGTATTAAAACAGAACGCAGACCGCACCTCTCCACGGTTGGGTTATGTATAAATTGTAGACTATCAGTGTAGCCAATACATACTAGAACAAGCCCGACGACGATCGGAGGCAGATATATCACCACTAATCTAATACACTAAATCACGAAGTCTTCGAAATGTACTGATTGATGTTTCAAGATTACATTTAAAATTATATTCAACGTTCATCATAGCTAGTCAATTCGTGATCGTGTTCATCATATCTTTATAGCAATCAAAGCATTAGAGCTCTCCGTCAACGAGCCCAAGTTCTTATACCAACCAACTGCGCCCGCCACAAGCACTATATAATAAATTACAGTCCACAGCACAGAAGGTCGGGAAGAATTCCCTCTCTCATCAACAACGATCTCAGGTAGTACGCGACCCCAGACACGCGGCAGACCCATGCAGTTGCAGAAAGCATGCACGACGAAAATAGCCAGCAAGCTTCCCGAACGGAGAAATAGAAAGGTGGCGTAAGCTCCGAACAACGTTGTGAAACCTAACTGCATAATGGAGCGTACTAGGAGGAATGACGTAGGCACGTTAGGTAACGTGACTCGGAACTCATAGAAATGGTGCAGATGCGAGAGCCCGAAGACTAGCGGCGAGAGGAAAATAGTCGTCGTCACGGACGTCTGGGCCGCGAGCATCAGGGGTACTGCAGCAGAGCGGAAAAGCACCTCCTCAGTGAATGGACCCTATTCGCTTTATAAGTATGACATGACCCCCAAATGAATGGAGATTGTGGGAATAGGAACGAGTGAATGGGTAATATAATCAGAGTTGCACAAAGTGCTATTGTAATTATCCTCATCTGACAGGTCTTGAGTCTGCTCAGAAACACGGACCAATGTTTCTCATCATGAAGTAAGGGTAAAGTAGTTTGAATAATCAAACACGAATAAAATCGACGATATCACGGTGTCTCGGGTGGTGAAACGTGTGGCTAGACACTAAACAGAAAGGAACTTACCGCGACGATGTTACGCCATGTGGTCCATTCAGTGAAGAGAGCCGACAGAGGCCGGAGAGCCAACCAATCCCGCCATTCCTCGTCGACGATTAAGTACTCGTACAGCGGTCCGGCAAAGAGGATGGCGGTGAGTAGCAAACTCTTCCCCGCCTCTGCTAGGCCGATCGGCCAGTACCCAAGCGCGTGGAAGGCCTCAGCGGTCGTGGCCCGGTCTTGGGACGTCAAAATGACAAAAGTTATGGCAGAGCAGACAACAGAGGTCAATGAGACAGACGCGATGCGCGCGCGGATTACTGACGGCGCGTCCCGTGATAGGGTACTAGACGGCCTCGTCTTGGACGACAAATAAAACGGCACCACATAGATGATAGTATATATTACCTAGTGGTCGGTCAGTATCTGCGTCTACCCGCATATGTGACTGGTACTCACGAGCAAGAAGATGGCGGTACTAGTACTGATTGGAGGTGGTTTTGCTGGCGCGGCTAAGTTAGAACGGCTGATAGTACCATAGATGCATTAGGCACAACTTACGTTCGTCCTTAAAGTAACGGGTTATGAAACCCGGTAACGAAGGCATTATGTTCAAGGCCTAGGCTGCTAGGTTGATTCTGACGCCTTATCTGCGTGATTTCCCCAGATCTCCTTGAATCACGTATGTTGAGGCTGAGAGGCTCGGTTAGATGGTGACAACCTCAAACCAAGATAAACCTTGGCAGCTATCTATAAGCTGACGAAGTACTTTATGCTCAGCCACTCTCGATGAAGCTTCTTGCAATCATATATCGAGAGCTTATCTCTAGTAATTCTTAAAGCATGAATATACTCCCCCGGATATCACATGGGTTGAGTGAATCGTCGGGAATGCTGGAAGGAAATTATCATGCTCGATCGGATTATGCCTTAGAACTTTGAAGTGTGGGTGAACGAATGGTCCGTGGGGGGAGGATTTACCTTCCCTTACCCCTTGACCTTGTCGAATTCTCCGCTGACAGAATTGGAATTGGAGTTGGATCTGGAGCTGGAGTTGAACTTACAGGTCAAACGTCTTTGTTTGACTAAATGACATATTCTGCTGCAAGATTCGGCTTGCTGCAGCAATTGAAACTGGAAAAGGTAGAGAAGTCTACACTTGTCATAATAATATGGAAAGTACAAAGAGAACACAGGCGGCTAGGCCGCTTTTTTCAGACCCCAAAGTCCGAAGTTGGCGCTTCAAATGCAGGAGGCGTCTTGTCGACCTACAGAATCGTGCTGTAAGCGCGTGAGGCTCTCAAGTCTAAGGTTTCACGGCTTTGAGGCAAGACATGAGCAGTATCAAGGATAAAAAAGAAATCAAGAATAATTGAGTGGAAAGTTGGAATTTTCATGTGGTCCGACAGTTTATGAAAAGGTCTAAGCTTCAGGTTGACGAAGGTTAAATTTTGCACGCGCTAGGCAAGGGGTCCCTAGAAAAGAGGCTGGTAGCTGCCCTGGCTGGCCAGCTGTTTAGCGCATACAGTTTATTTAGTAAAGATTAGTACTGTAAAGCACGGTCCTTAGAGAGATCCTCAGGTGGAGAAAAACGACCCGCGGGTCTACGGGTTTGTGAGCGCCAAAAAGAACCTAAAGAAAACCGATTGACTAAATGGGTTTAATTAGAATAGACAAGAACAAGGATTGCGAGGCGAACGTCATATCGCTGACTATTTCCTTCAATTCGCCTGAATTCCAGCTGCATTGAAGAATAAACGTGGAAGCGGGATTACTGCCTCTTTTGGCGACGAATGGACTATTAAAGGGCACACACGACTATGCGAATTTTCCAAGTATTTTTACGCGTTTATCAGTTGCGTCGCGTTGGATTCCTGATAAGAGTCTTAGAATCCCAAATATACGAGGTACAAAGTGAGAAAATTAAGTAAAAGTTGGCACCTGCATCAGTCCAGTATGGGTCCACCAGATTCTAAGCCACGTTCTTTTTCTGGCACTTGCTCTCCTGAGTGATTGCTAGGTCCCTGCTAGCTCCTTGCTAAGTCTGCTAAGTCTAGGCCAAGTCCTTGCTAGAGCCTAAGAAAGCTAGGGTTCTATTTCCCTAATTAGTCCTAGCTTACGTCTTTTTGGTCCACTTGGCCCTGGCCTCGGAATTTTCGGCTGGGTCCGTGATCTATGATTTTCTGGAACTTCCAGGTACAAATCCCCAGACTGCTAGATCTCACCCAATTGAATATCGCTATGGTCAACGTTTAATTTGCACATCTCTTCACCGATTTTTTGCCCTTGCTGAAATGTTTCGACTTCAGCTAGTCTATCATATTGGACAGATGTCTCGGTACTTACTGATTTATTCCTGAAGTATGAAGTACGAAGTACGTACTACGCAATACAGTACAGCCATTGATGCTGAATACAGTATTATTGATGTATTACAGCGTCAGAGCATCTCCGTAATGTCTCTGTCGGGATATTACGATCATGTCGCTGCGATGTGGTCGGATGAGAAAGAAACAAGAAACAAGAGAAAAGAAAAATCTCCGTCTGGGCAGAGAATATGTAGCGGCGCCTTCTGAGACGAGGCCAGCCTTTTAAACGATTATTACTAACGAATGGCTCTTCGACTACGAGCCAAAATATTAGGCGATGGGACGTTTGTGCGGCGTAACCCCCCTGGCTACATGCTGTAGCCTTTAGTCTGCAATCGTGGTAGGTTCCTCGACCGCCTCGCCCCATATTCTTTTTTAACCTCATTTCAACTTACATCAGTAGACCTGCATACTGCAGGCGGATCCAGGATCCGCCGCTATGATTCCTCTAAGACTGAGAAATATACTGGCCGACTGGATAAACAAAGACACGAACAGAGACCTTAGTGGATCTCTTGCACATCACTATTGTCTTCCGGCGGCTTGTTGATTCGATCACTCTTGTCACTCGAGTTGATCGGTCATTAATCCTTTGCATATCTGCAAATCTGGAAGAGGTATGGTCTATTACCTACAGTACATACATACCTATGCGTAACGGTTACGCGGTGAGGTGTCAAGGACTCAAGGCATAAGGGTACTGGTACGATTAACTAGTACGACTACCTTGTCAATGTCAGCCTTTTGCTAGACCCATTTTGGTACCTAGACTCCGTGAAGCTTCTCCCTGTTCGTTGCCATCTTCCCCATGGCTACCCTTGTCCTACTTTAGTTCGTCAGTTCGTTCGATGGTACCCTAACGCTCCTTTTCGGCTGCATTGCATAGTCCACATGCAGCCGCCATTAGATGGCTGACTCCAGTCGATAGCCAATCGATCTTAACTCGGCACTCTGGGGGAACATTTCAAGAAATAATACCCTCCCGTCTGCCCTCTTACCAGCTTCGCTGCCTCTCCCTCCTTCCGATTTCGTTTTGCCTCTTGCAGATGTGTGTGTTCTGTATGTAGCGTAGGAATTGTCTGTCTTTCTGGTCTCTCTTTGTCGACCTAGTCCACTCTTTTGAAACTTCTATTATTCTTCATCTAAAGATCTATAGTTTGCCCGTCTTTTCGACCTTGCTTAGATCTCACCTCCTTGTCGGTCCTCTTTGATAACTATTTACCGAATTTTTACTTTATCTCAAAAACTTCACGTCTCTCTTTAGACTGCTTCACTGCTTGTTCTGGTTTTTCGATTGATTTTTCCTCGCCCTACCGCGCTCTTACATTAATACCACACGCTGCTCGTCCTTTGTGACCACCACGATCTCCGAATCGCTCGGACTCCACACTCACTATCGTACCCGCTTATACGTTGAAACGAAAAACGAAAACGAAAATCCACGTCGAATTATACGCCGAAATTTCACAGTTTATGAAAATAGTTATGGCATATGTCGAAACGTTATCTTAGTTATAGGAATTAGGTAATTACCTATTTAGAGAGAAAAAATCCGAGGAATTTTTTCCGCAACTCCGGGCCGGGCCCGCGGCAGAGGATGTCATCCTCGACATCATCATCATTATCCTCCCAATCGCCAAGGCCGCCGTTGCAAGAAAGGTCGGAAGCAGAAAAGAATAAGCTGCAAATTCGCATCGTCCCTTACTCACCTCCGAGGCCAGGAGATGGCGAAGATAGTAGCAAGTCTCACGCGCAAGATCAAGAAACTGGAGATGTTCAGAATAACCCGAGCACAGCCAATGACCGAGAAGTTATTACGACGCCACAGAGGAGGAGAGCCACGAGTTACGGGACAGATGAGTATGGCGCAGAATCTCAGTCTTCATCTCCGGTATTTTCGACACCAGCCTCGCCATTGGAGAGAATCAAGGGCAAAGGTGTTTCAGGGACGAAACTCGCTTCTGACTCGTCTGGCCTTGGGCGCACTGCCCCACCATCCCCTGTCGATAGAAGCTATAGTAGGTCTGTTAATGTCCAGCCCGAGCCATCGTCGTCGCGCCACGATGACAGATCAGCTTCGTCGACGTGGAAACGGCCGTCGTCGAGAAGAGAAACTTTCATCAACGTCCACGCCGATAAGACTTTCTCAGTTGTGCTCAAGTCGACGCGTCAGCGGCAGTCCGACAGGTCGGAATCTACGAATGCGACATCTATTCACCCCTCCAATACCTCCATTGTCAGCTCGCATGAAGAAAGCTCATTTGTCGCATCTACCGAAGATCGTCACGGCTCCCCATTAAGTTCCGTACCCGAGCGTAGCGTCTCGCCTTACACATCAATTGCACCATCGACAGCCACAGCGGTACCTGAAGACCAAGACACCGAATCTTCTTCGCCCTGGAATTATCGCATGGTTGGTGGCTTACGCAAAGTCCCCAAAACTCCTGATATTAAGGGTAAAGGCAAGGCAAGGGAACTCTCCGAGTCACCACTACCATCACTACCACCGTTACCAAGAACAATTGTCACGCCACCGCAACAACCATCTTCTCCTCTCGCTGCAAAACCATCTTTCGCCTCCGTACAAACTGATTCGACCATCGAAGAAACGACAAATTATAAAATTATTGGTCGTAGCTCTCCGCCTTTACCTGATACAGAAAGCTTCGAGGAGTCACCCTCATCAAGTAGCTCAAACATCAAACTTCTTGGTCAATCATCTCCCGCGCAGACCGTTGCCTCGTCTGCCGCTGCTCCGGGATACGCCGACACACCGGGAAGCAAGAATTATATTGTTTACGGCGATACTTCTCCGCTTTCCTCATCTGCTACTCCTTTCCGAGGTCACTACTACCATTCTTCCGACGAGAGCTCCATTCGACAGCTACGGGAGAAATACTCACAAGAAAGTCTCGTTGTACCTCCCCTTCGACCTCATAAAAGATCGTCATCCGAGGATCTAGGCTACCATAAACTTTCATCGAAAGAGAACCTTCGAGGACGCGCGAATTCATTCTCGTCTCTTTCCAGCATTGTCAGCCAGGATACCGCGTCTCTTTTCGGCGGTAACACCCCGAACGTTGTTCGCTTGGCCCACACACCTTCCACTTCATCTATTCCACGATCTACATGGGTAGGAACAGCAAGCATTCCACAACAACCACGGGTACGGATGGATATACATCAATGGAGCTCACAGCTCTCGACTGTGATGTCCGAGTACGAAGGTAGCGATCCCGGTTCTCAACTAGCTTCCCAATCGGGTTCCCATCCGGGCTCCCGTATCGCCTCCATCGGTTCAATTCCGGAGCGAGTTAGTAGTGCTTTTGGGAGCAGAGACAGCAGACATATGCGAAGCATATCGTCGTCCCTAGGCCTAGAGAATATCGATGTACGAAGATCACACTCGAGATCCCATTCTAGATCGAATTCCCAAGGCGATTCCGTGGAGCGTCCCGGACCTGCGTATGCGAGGAATGGACAACCCAGTCCTCTCATCCGTACCGTTCGAGATCACGACGAACACGGTGATGGATTGGCGGATCTCCATCAATTGGACCACAAGCCATCCCGAACTCGCCTAGGCTTCTCTAGACAAGCCTCAGATCGGAGTCTCCGTTCATCGGGTAGCTCCCGCGCCGGAAGCTTGACAGCATCTTCTCTACCGACTTGGGCAAGGCTTTATTATGGTAGCGGGGAGAGGCGTTGGCTCGCACCCGCTTCCATCAGATCTATGTCCGACGCAGGCGATAGTTACCCGTCTAGCCCCTGGATTGGTGGTGGTGGTTCTCCAGCTCACGACCAGACTATTTACAACCCTCGTCGAAGACCCATGGATATTGACCTCCGTGGCCAGCGACGGGGTTCGATGGACATCGAACCCGTTGGCGAGACTGGCGATATCCGCCTGGCCCCTAGAAAGAAGACTTCGAGTATCTGGTCACCTCACCTTCGCCTGGACACACGAGCTAGTGGCTTCAGCGCATGGAATGCCCCATCCGTCACTTGGTCTGCTGACAGTGGTGTATTTGGGAGACGCAACATTCAGGTACTCCTGTTTGTGGCGGGATTTTTATTCCCATTTGGTAAGTCTAGTTGTTTGTAGATAGATGAATGGTACAGTTACTAACCTAAAAAATAGCATGGATGATTGCGGCATTCCTGCCGCTACCTCCGAAACCAACGCTCGCCATGGACGAGCGAGATCGAAGCACGACGGAGTTTGCTTCCGAATCAGGGGAGCCTCCACGAGGACAACATGTTCTCATCGACGATTCACGATACCAGAGCGCGAGATGGTGGAGAAATGTGAACCGATTTATGGCCGTCGCCGGACTGTTAATCCTTGGAGCAGTTGCTGCTCTTATAGTAATAGGCGTTCGACAGAAATGGGCACAATAATGACGACGATAATGGCGACGAAGACGCTCCCGCGCGCAACCCCCGAACACACGACATAACAACATTTCTATTTTCACCTTCTCAACGACGACTGTACGATTTTCTACGTAATATGTAATGACGATTTCACGAGCCATACGGCTATCACCTCCGACCTTAGACCATTCCGGTACGACAACCGACACTTATCATTTTGATGCGGATCTACGAAAAAAGTAACGTTTTCGCTCTTACGCATCCACGATCTTTTTACATTTGCCATCAAAAGCTTTGCGATCATTTACTTCACCATATACTTCTTCACATACTCATTAACCGCATCTTACTGTACTTCATTTACCCACATCCTCATCTTTCGCTTCGAATTCTCATTCTAAGCCTTGTATAAACGCACTCTTAATCTTAACACCACTTTATTCGATCCTTTTTACTTGTATCTTTGTATTAAAAAATAGATGGGAACAGACGGGACATGATACCCCCATATCAAATTGCTTGCTTGGAGTCGGGACAACGAAACGGAGGACCGAATCTGACGACGCAGTCTCCCCGGGCGTATTTTATTTGCTTTCTTGTCGGGACAGTCGATTTGACTTCGTCCACAGTTTTGTAGGGGAATGGGATGGAGCGGGGAGGGAGGGAGGGAGAAGGACACGATTCCCAATTGAACGAGGAGTTGAAATGGGATGATATCCACACCACGTCTTGTCTTGCGGAGGAAAGGGAGGAAAAGGGGAGACGACGCAGACACAGAGACGGTCTTTTTTGCCTTCGCACACTCGAACATCTCGGAGCAAACTGGATGGTCTAGAAGTTATTCGACGCCTTTGAAATGTGCAATGAATGTCCCTCGCGCTTGGTTTTAGCTAGCGGTTGCTGCTGCGGCAGATAGATGACATCACGCATTCGATGACGAGATTTTACGAATTAAAAGTTTTTTACAACTATGTTTATATATGTTTTCCCGTCGTGTGATGTGATGTGATATGTTGAGTTTTGATGTTTGAGCTGATCTGTATTCTCGAGGTTACCTATGGGATAGTTAAGATTGGACCTTCGCCGGCCTTAGCTACGACGACTTGTTTGAAAACATTACAAGCTTGTAAGATATCATAGACATCACGAAACATTGTGATCCTTTACTTGAACAGACGCCTCATAAGGTGCCTGGCAGTGTAAGGATGACCATTGCAGGACCTTGAGCCATTGTAGGAAAAAGCAATGGACTGTCTGCTTGTTATTGGTACCTACTTAAGAAGCTGTCCTATACCTTGCATTACCTAAACAATACCTATATGTTTCTATATAAGAATTGCTAATGTCTCTTGTTTTCGAGTACATCTGAATTAATAACTTCCAAGGTTGCGATGAGTCCATAAAATTCTGTATACATGGTAAAGTTAAAGGTAATAAATAACCTTGAAACTTATCTCATAACGATTTCCCTGGAATACCTAAGTAACAGTAGTCGAATAGATATATGATATGATATTTCCTGTCCTTATTATTTTATATCACATCTATGTACTTATATAGAACATGGGCAGAAAGTCGTTTCTTCTAGGTAGAATATCGACCGGAAGTTTCACCACCGGCCATCGGTCTCCTCCTTACCATCACCATACTCCCTCCCAAAGCACTTCGATACCCAGACACATATAACCGACCTCACATTCCCATCAACCCAGAGCACCGCTCCATATCACCTCATGTCATACGAATACTTCTCGAATTTCTCATCTATCTCATCTTATCTACACCGTATTACTTAATCCAAGCCACCAAGCCACCAACCTCATGTCTCAGATAAGACCTCATTACATCCAACCCCCCAATTCCCCTCCACAATCACACCACTACCTACACTCACTCCCCCTTCCTCGCCCCAGCCCTCCCCCTAACCCCCACCTCCAAAGTCCCCGTCCGCGCCCTCTCAACCTCAATGCGAAATTCCTGAATCGCCTCATCGATATCGCGCCCGGGATCCTCGCTAACACCCAACACGGGCTCCCGTCCCCTACCCGTAACACTATCCGTGCTAGCGCTCCTGACCATCTTCGCGCCGGCATCCTTCGTGCGTTTCTCGAGCACCGCTCTGAGGTGTTTCTTCGCGGGGGAAGCGAAAACGGCCATGCTAGCGCCGGTGGTGAGGATGGCGTAGAAGTAGACGTGGCGCCACGCGAGCAGGCTCTGGTCGAGGCGGAGGATGACGAAGGGGGCGACGACGAAGGAGAAGGTTGTTTGTGTCGCGAGCCAGGATGCGATGTCGTAGTATTTTTTGCTCGGGAGCGGTTTTTGGGTTACGGGGTCGAGGAAGAAGGGGCGGATTGTGCGGCGGTAATCTGGGGTTGTTAATAAGATACAGTCATAGAAAAAACAAGGAATGAGAGGGGACTAGACGTACTCTTCGCAGCCTGCTGCACGAAACTCGCAAGCACAAAAGACATGTAATACCCAGGATAAAACCCATGCCAGAAAGCGCTCGTCACGAACGTCGCCATGCTAGCGCGGAACCCGGGCTTCCTGTTGCGCGGTGTCACACGTAGGTAAACGTAGTATCTCAGCCACTTATTCGTGTTCATGTTCCAGTTGCCGAGGTAAGCGCGGCTGTTCTGCGCGGTCTCGACGCCCCAGGGGTTGATATTCTGGAGGCGGTCCCAGGAGATCTTGCCGGTGACCGGGTCGACGCCGTTGTACCCCAGGCCGGCGAGGATGCACGAACCCTCCGCCATCGACCACACGCCGTAGTACTTGGTCCGCGCCGTGAACCCGACCATGTGCATGATGAAGACGCGGCGCACGAACCCTAGCGACATGAATTTGTCGTCGAGCAGCACCTCGTGGCTGTAGTACTTGATCAGGTTCAAGAACAGGTATACCCAGATACAGCCACTCGCGAGCTTCCACATGGCGGGCGTGGCGCTCCTCGGTATCTTGCGCTTCTTCCTAGTCGGCGGCTTCTTGGCGGGGTCGATGGTCGCCGGGACGTCGAACATAGTGCAGTCGAGCCATCCGCGGTACTCGTTATAATCGAACGCTGGGCCGGTCAGCAAGGACGGGAAGAACAGCACGTATCCCGCGTAGTCTAGCAGGCTAGGTAGCTTGAGTATCCTCCTCGACTTCTGAAAATCGCTGAGCTGGTCCTCGGGCAGGGTGCCGTCCGCCACGTTCCACGCGAAGGCGGATAGCTTCATGACGAGAACCATCTGGGCGCCTGTGATATCGATCTCGGCTGGGTTATCGGCGAATTGTCGTGTGAGTTGGTTTGCGGCCATGTGGCCCATGAGGAAGACGAAGGCGATCCATGGCATGTATGCGGACGTTCGTAGGTAGTGGGCGAGGCCGTAGGTGACGGCGGAGGAGATGAAGAGGGTTCTGACGCCGGCCCATAGGGAGTATAGGCCTACTAAGTAGAAGAGGCCACCACTATTATCGCAACAATCATTAGTCTCTTGATCATTCTAAGCTGCTTTAAGGAGGCGTTCTGAAGCTCCAATTCACACTCCATACCTGATCACAAATGCATTTTTGTATTCGGGACGAGCGTCTGGGACACGTTTTAAGAGGCCGGCGAGCGGATACGATATGAAAAAGGAGAAAATGAGCTTGACTATCGATTGGCGATCTTAGCAACCTCATAGCTATAGGGTGAAGTCGGATTAGGGAGAACCTACGCTCATCAGGGGAAGCTCCAACGACCCCAGACAGGAACTCAAACGCTACATCAAGTCAGCGCAACGTATTTACCACCAGCAATCGTGTCTAATCCTACGTTTATTGATGTAGGGAAGCATCCTGTGTACGCGCGATTCGTTTATTTCGAGGATCTGTCATAACTCTAGGAAATCGAACAACCGTACAATCTCTTCGAAAGGAGGAAGAAACTTAGGATTTAGGAACGGCGAAAGCGAAACACGGCTATGGCCAAATGGTACACATTATAGGTAATAATAGTTACAAGCCTCAAAGCCGGATAGAAGAGATAAATAAGGAGGTAAGTCTAAGACCCTCGTCCCGAAAGCATAACCAGAGGCTTGGATTTTGGATGGTTTAGACTTTAAAGCTTCTGAACTTTACTGGGTGGATATCCATAGCAGAAGAAATGTTGGGATGCGAAGCGGTGATGTCACCCGTAAAAGTGGATACCATCGGGCATGTGCCAGTTGGCATGTGCTCGCTTCACTGGCTACGATAAAAGGAGATGCTTATCAGGTATATATGTACCTCCATATAGACACGCAAATGCAAGTCAGGAGGCCAAAAGTCGACCACACATCGTACAGCATACGCTTTCTGCATAATGTGCAGGATGTAGGTACCTAGTTATTAAGTGGCTTGTTCGCTTCATCTATTATCACGGAAACATACTTCAGATTAAGCAGTCAGATAACCAACCGGGTTTATAGCTTCTTTATTATGACTGCTAAGGTAGACAGCTCACGCATATTCATATCCGTATATATGATATGCCCTATTCACCCTTCAACACCGATTCAACATGCTTCATTCGCATAGTCAAGAATCGAGGCCGCGTGTGGCGTATGGCCTCTTCCCGAGTCTGGCTATTTCTTGAAATGATGATGCCTCGAACCCCCCAAAACAGGTCTCGAGGTCTTCGTTCCTGTCTTGCGCCGTCCAAAATATGATGAATGACTTTCCCCATATCCGTAAAGCTCCGTTTTCTCATTATAAGTTAAAAAGTCTATACCTGAAATCAACTGCCCTTTCATTTCACACCACCTGCTCGAAAAAGATGGGTAAATATTATACAGTAGTATCTAGAGGCCGAAAAGGGGGCGTTGATGCATAGGCGCTTGACCGTCTCGCAGTGTATGCTGCCCGTTTAGAATTGCATTGGCTCAAATTGGCCACGGCTTTTGCTACTGGAAGCACAGCCACATAGCTCATAAGGATGATATATTCTCCTTGTTTACGAGTTGGCGGCATCGCGGTTGCTCTGAGAGCTTGCGCTCATAGTAGGCTGCGTAGTTGGCAGCGAGTTCTTGGCCACCTGCGACTGGCGCACCTTCGCCCAAGCGTATACGATACCACTGACGAAGCCGATGAAGATAGCAGAGACACTACCGACGGTAACGGGCGCAGAGAAGAAGATAAGACCACTGACGGCAATCGGAAGCTTGTTGAGAGCACCGACCATAGAGTAGGTGGTAGAAGATGTAACTCGAATGCACCACGCAGAGCAGTATGAGATAAAGATAGCAGCCATGCCGGAGTAAATCATGCCGATGAAAAGGGCATTCCGGGACTCCGGCGGGAAGTTCTTGCTGAGGTTTGCGCTAGACCAGTCTTCGGCGACAAGGGAGCAGATGATTAGGACAGGAATGGTGAGGAAGTTGTTGTAGAACATGGCTATAAATTTGTCAGCATGCTACGGAAACACCTTTGTCCATAATAACAAAACTTACTATCCCAGTCCTTAAAGTTCATGTTCTTGATGACCTTACGCATACCAAGAACGTATGAAGCAGTGCAGAAAACGTTCAGTCCCATCCAGGCATAACCGGCGTTCAAGGTAGCGAGGGCGGCGGCAGCCTCGGCGGTTTGAGCAGCGCTGCGGGTGTCTGCCCAAGCTGCGACGACGGAGCTAAGAACCATAAGACCAAAGGAGAGTAGCGCCAACGGTGTAACGCTTCCACCGAACCATAGAACCTCGCCATATGCGATGACGATGATGGTCAAGTTCTTGAAGATTGTGTACACAGGAACCGATAAGAATTGTAGCGACTTCGTGCTCGTGTAGATCATGCCGACTAGGAGAAGAGAGATGGGGAACCCTGTGGCTGTGTCAGTATATGCAAGGCTATCAAAGCAACCGGATAAATAGACACGTACATCGCTTTCCCTTGTTTATATCGAAGGGTGCGAGGTTCTTGATTAAGCCCAATTGCTTGCAGGCCTCGATCGTCACTATACAAACGATTGACTATCGCACAATTGTTAGAAAACCGGTCGTCCATTTCGCCAAGATATTGGGATATAGTACCTGAACTGCAAGGTAGAAGAAGTTCAAATTCCATTCGGAACCGGAAACGACGTATTTGTTCACGACCGTCATACTGATGGAAGAAAGGCAGTATGCCATAATAGACGTGGACGGGCTGTTCTCGATCTTGGACATCTGACCAGAGAGGTTATGGTGAGATGCGGCTCTCGATGGGCGAGGCGGGATGAAAGGATCCTTCTCTCCTCCATAAGGACTTCGCATCCCCGAGTCGGGCATGCGAATGGTGTAGTCTTCATTCTTCTTGTCCGACATGATTGCGATTGCGATGTTGGATGCTGATATTATCCGCCTCGAGTTTGAAACCTTTTTGCGATTGAGTGTTGGGAGGTGGTTTTGTTGGCGATATCGTATTCGAAGAAGGAAGATCTGGGAGGACTGACAGAAATCAGGGGAAAAAGAAAAAAAGAATGGGTGCTATCTGAACTGTGGTATTGTGCTATCTGTTAACAGTTAAAGCGTTAAAGCAACCTACGACGCTGCGCCCGGGGCTGTGGAGCCGGCTAACGCGTTGATTGAGACAACTTGGCAGTAGCGACTTCAAGAATCGTAAAAAAAACTAGAAATCAGATTTGCCTCTTCCCGGAAATCGATAAATTAATCGAGGACTTTTTGAATAGAATAGAGCACGAGACCTTGAGAGGAGAAAAGAAGCTCTGCAGAAGTTTACAAAGTCAAAAAGTCTCAATGTTCATCGACGCGTGTCTATGTATTTTTATTACCTCCAAAAGTTTAATCATGGGTAATTTGCCGTAGGATTAACATGGGTGTGGCTAGTTGGCTATGACCGCTAGGCAAGCTGGGTAGGGCAGCGCAGGGCAGGCAGAACTTAGCGATAAAAAGGACAGGGGACCAACCTTGACTCTTTGAGCCAGCTGTCCAGGCAGTAGCAGCCCTGGAGATTTGTTCAGATTTCTGGCTTGGGCGGTATGCAATCTTAGTTCGGTCTTGGCAAAGTAAAATTAGAAACTTCAAAATGCAGCCAATCAGAATATACGAATTGATCCTTCCTTGAATTTGGAAATGCATACAACTCCTGATATCTGCATATTGCTTATATATTTCTCGTCTGAAATTCACAACGGGATCGGGATCCCCTGAAAACCGCCAAAAAGCTTTTTTTCTTTTCAGATAAATTGGATGATCTGATCTGATCCAGTAGTTCGGATTCATCGTCAAAGCCAAAGCCATAGCCATAGAACAGTTAAATCGTTGAGTCTGTGCTATGCCGCTATGATAATACAGAAGACTTAAATCATCCCTGATCCAGCATTCAAGCCAGACTGCCAGATATCTCATACATTAGGTACGTTTGGTAGAACAATAAATCATGTAGTATCCATCTGATCCACCCCCTCAGCCGTCGAATCCCCCTCCTCATCATCCTTCTCGCCCTTCTCCTTATCCTCCTTTTCCTTATTCGCGTCTTCAGTCTCGGGAGCCGCGGGGTAGTTCAGATGCTTCCAGTCCTCAAGCTCCTCGGTAACGGACCTGAGACGGTCCCTGATACTTTCGATGGCATAGCTACCGAGCACAAGCCGCAGGGGCGGGTATGAGCAGTGTGCGAGCTGCCAGACCAGCTCCGCGCATTTGACCGCGCTAGTCGGCTGCCGATCCCCGAGCCACTGCACCATGCGCTTGGCATGCAGCGCCGGCGAGGTCGAGTGTCCGTACGCCTCGCTTGCCGGCTTGATAAGGAAATGTCCCCACGTCGGCAGTGGGTTTTCCTGAGAGTCCGGCTCGTCTCTGCGGACTAGGCCCGGTTCGACGAGTGTGGCCTTGATGTTGAAGGAGTCTATCTCGTAGAGCATGGCTTCGATGAGACCTTCCACGGCGTACTTCGTAGCGCAGTAGGGGCCTAGACCAGGTACGCCAAGAGCGCCACTGGTGGAGCTGAAGATTAGGTAACGGCCGCCATTCTGCTGGCGGAAGTAAGGGAGCGTGGCTTGGATAATATGTAAAGTGCCCATGAAGTTTGTCTCAAACTGATTGCGAATTTCGTGTTCGTCCTGGTCCTCGCACGCGCCGATGACCCCATAGCCGGAGCAGTTGACGACCACGTCGATACGGCTGAAGTGGTCGAGTGTCCTCTCGACGACTTGCGCCACGCTCTGCCGGGCGCGGACATCGCACAGCAGGCCGAGACAATTTTCGTCGTGCTGACTCGCCATCTCCTCCGGCGTTGTTTCGAATGTCCGTCCTACGTCCACGACAAGATCACCCCGAGCCAGCGCGCATTTTACGAGCGAGCGGCCCATGTGACCTGTACCACCGAAGACCTTGACAATTCATTCATTTAGCCATTAATATACTTGACAGGCGCCCCAATGCACAAATGAAAGTAATAATGATATACAACGCAAAGGATGGCTCTTTGTAATATTTAAAAAGGAAGAAAATACTCACGATCCATACGAGCTGTTTCCTAGGCGCGTTCGGCATTGGAGGCTCGCAGCTCGCGGGTAACAGCAATTTCCCCCTAAGCAAGCTGGCTGTGCTTCCCGCCGGCGACGGGTGGGCGACTTCGGACATCGCTCTAGAATCCATGATCTCGATTATTATTGTGACCGTAATTGCCACTTAAACAACAGCTCGTCATTTCGTAGACTCTGTTTTTACTTCCTGGGTTTTCTCTGTGAAAGGCATCATTCAGCAAACCTCTAGCAATTGATTCGGCAGTTGAGGGAGAATAGAATGGGGTTGTAAGCGGAGTTAGGTATACGAATTAATAATAATCCCCGCAAAATGGAACTATGGATTAGTCTGGATGACCAAAAGTTACCTATGGACTACCGAGAGTATGGCTCTAGTCCGATATCCATACTAGGAAGGTAAGGGAATATAAAGATGTGAGGACTTTGTTTGTATGAATTTGCTTCAGATCGCCGTGATATTAAATAACAAAACCGCGAAGTTACACAAGTAAAATATGTAAAATTTTTATCTTTCCTTCGTAATATCATTAAGAGACTTCTAAGAACAAAAGGACCGTCACATCAAAGCTAAAGTATTGCTACCGCCAACATTCGCTAGATCACCCCCAGAGGAAATATTTTTTGACCCGTATCCTAACCCCCTTTATTTAACCCATTCATCCCGGCCACTTTAGGCCAGGTAATGCGTAACGTACTCCTTGCGGAACTGATTTTCGTCCAGCTCCCCGGTTCTGTTCAGTGGCGTCCACTTAGGCTCATCTTTAAAGAGACGCATCGCCTGGATATACTGCAGCCACGCGTTAGTTCAGCCCATCTTCCCTTCACCATAAGATAAGTAGTAGAAATACATACGTTGCTCTCATCCGTAGTAAAGCGATGGTAAATACCGGGCGGCAGGATAATCAAGTCGTCCTTCTCGAGCTGAATGCGGACCCACTCGTCGCCCTTGCTGCGGACGTCGAAGTAGCCCTGGCCGTCGCGAATATAACGGATCTCCTCGTCCTCGTGAAGGTGCTCGTGGAAGAAAGACTTGACTTTCTCTTCGTAGACGGCGCCCATCTTCTCGGGCGACACTGTGATCTCGTCGCGGTTCTTGTACCCGCGGTTGCGCGCTAGCTCGTCCACCGCCGACACCTCCGGGTACTTGAAGTACAGCACGCCTAACTCCTGCAGCGCCGCCGCGTTGACGTCCTTGCCCGAGTCGTGGGGTAGGCGTTGGTCGCCCTGTCGTGCTGTTAGTGCCATCTCCGGAATAAAAAGCGAGGCTGCGCATAAGAGAGGGCGGGCGCTTTCGCGATTATCGCTCGCGATGGTGTAATGAGGGGCACTTTTCCCTAGTTTGGGCACTTACAGGAGTGTTATCATACCAGTAGGCCCTCATCTTGAATTTGTATTGTATTGCGCAAGTCAACTTAAAAAGTGGTAGATTACAAAGATGTACGGATATTAACTTAAAAGACGGGAATGAAAAAAGTCTTGGGAGGGAAGCTTATTATATAAATATTTTTCTGAGTCTCGCCTTCCGAGTGAGTGCAAGGTTTGCGCTTGATAATTGGTTGATTGCGATGGCGCCAGCAGCTCAAGGGTGTGACGTCGGCCGCCCGGCTTTATTTTTTCTTGGGGTCTTTGGCGGGGTATCCACGTTGCTAGCTCTTTCTCTTCGGCGCACGTCACGCCGTTTACAAAAGGCTATCGACTAACTGGTGGGATAAGCTAATCCACTCCCTTACATGCATTTGGAACGTCGACGGCCATCGCAGAATGCTTCCTAGTCCATCGACCCGTTGTAACGTTGATACAATCATGTATCAATATTTTATGGAGGTTGTAATATGTGGGCGATGCGGTGAGGTTAACATCATATATCTGTGAGACTTTAGTAGGATCCACTGTATGAAGCCTTCACTACCAACTGGGTGGTTAAGTGTATGTGGTGTGACTGGGGATCGACAATAGACTTGGGGGCGACGTCGTCTACATAAATATCAGACATCCCTCTCGTGAAAGTTAGAATACTAGGCAGTGTAACAGACATTGTGGTACAAATGGTTAGGCACATATATCAATCTTCAAATAATGATAGACGTGTGTATTCTAGCAAGTACTTCGCAAAGTCTAACCTAAAGCCTGCCTCTGTATGATGTTGAGAAGGCTGGAACACATTTTCTGCATTCCCGTGGATGCTCAATGATGAGCTGCGAGAGGCCTTCCGAGGTGTATGTACAAAAGGTCGTCAGCTTCGCCTGCCGCATCTCAACCATAAACGCCGTCGTAATGTTCCCTATGAAGTGCCACCGTAATAGGTTGTCGTAAAAGTCTGCTCCCAAACGCCGCAAATGAGGGCATGATAGTCATAAGCACCATCGCCAAGCCTGCTTGTCACCTTCTGCTTTTATCGCATTTCTGCCGCGGCAAGCTCCGGGCCTCCCGCTACCGCGAACTCGTTATGGATCGCATTAGCCGTATCGTCCCTCTGCTGCCTGCGCTCGAATAGGCGGCGCCACCACATCGGCGGGTCCAGAGGCCTCGAGCCGTTGTGCATCGGGGGATATACGTCCGTGAAGAAGTACCAGATGTGGCCGATAACAACACCCATGATCTCATCCTTGGGGACAGTCCCGTGCATAACGAGGCTGAAGGTCATCAACACCCAGGGGAGGTAAGGTGCTGTGAACTCAGCCAAGCCTAGGAAACTCAAGCGAGTGTTGGGGTTCCGTCGCGACCAGATGTAGACCAGTGTTGACGATAGAGGGTGTCCGAGGAAGGGCATGGATACCATCGGCGAGAGGACGATGAGGAAGGCCATCGAGTACATCAGGAGCCATGAGAAGTGGGCTGGCGATCGTCCTGACGACTCTTCGAGGAGACGGGCATATCTTTGGAGGAAGTAGACGTGGAATAGGAGATCGAGGGAGAATGGGCCGAAGTATAGAAATGTGGATAATAAACGCCAATACTATAACAAAAGTCAGTCAGCCGTCCATCTCGGTTTCACGTTGGAATATTAGGATTGGATTCTTACCTCTCCCTTCTGAAATACAGTGCGCACGCTGTAGAATAGCTGGAACGGGGTGACCATTTGGCATTGAACTAGTGCACTTGTCACTACCGTCGCCGTCGTCCACCATCGTGTGCATATCGGCATCTCCCAGAACCACGCCTCCAGCGGGTTGCGGCCGCCGTCGCCCGGCATCATTTGGTCCATGTTGATTGTGAGCGGAAATCGATTGTCGCAGATATAATGATGGAACAATTAATTGTGTTACTTCTTAATCGTGATGATGATTATGCGTGTCTTGTATTTAAAATCAAATACGTAGGATGGTAAACACAATGTACGGATCTGTAGGGAGAAACAGAAGGCTGAAGAGATGTTGTATGTAGAAAGTGGACGGCGATGGCGGGATCAGCTCCTCAGCCCACTGACACCCGCGCCTTCAGTGCTAATCTGGCCTTATCGGAATGGTTAAATTTGATTGGTGGAGGCGAGTGATTTATCGTTTGCTTAAATCAGTATTCGTGGATAAATGAATTAATATTCAATCCTCGTAGATGATGACGTGATCATCATCTGCGCCGCGCGTAACCAGTTAGCCACAAGCTACAGATGTGGCTTATATGCAATTACCATTTAAGGTTAGTCAAAGGAGTCAAGTCAGGTCAAGATATGGTACGTGCTAGCGCGTTACAGGGATTTTAATTGAAATGGCTGGGGCGCGTCTCGAAAGGTCGTGCTTCAGTCGCGTTCCGCCAATTGACAGGACTTGGAGCTAATTGAACGGGAAATGGCCCATGGGAAAGTTTCCCAGCCACTTTGTTTTTTCGCTAGTTTTCACATTCTCATTATTTTGAGTCGTTGGCCGGGTGCGGTTCTTTCTTCCTTCCTTCTTTCATGGGAATGCGCTCTTTTAACATTGTTCTCCATTCAATGACACCCAACATTTACCTTCTCTTTCACAAGAAACCTTCAATTGTCTACAATTATACTTCGACATAACTCGACTCCACCAGATCCATACTCGAGACATATCACCTCCCCTATATTACACCCAGTTGCGTAACTGTCGCTTGATGAGTCGGAGCTTTTCGCAGCTTCTTCACATTTACCTAATTTTACAAACCTTACTTTTCGCATTATAATGACGGGTCGTGGTGGTGCACGAGGAGGCCGTGGCGGGCGTGGAGGCGGGCGCGGAGGTGGAGGTGGAGGCGGAGGCGGAAAGGGTGCAGTAAGACGTATGTTTATGAACCATTGCTTCTTCTAAGTAACAATACTGACGTATTTCCAGCTGGCGATCCAATTCCCTATCCTCGCAAGAGAAGATACAGGCCAGGAACTGTTGCGCTGAGAGAGATTCGAAGATTGCAAAACAACACAGATCTACTCCTGCGCAAGTTACCATTCGCTCGACTAGTATGTCGCTTCACCTATCTGGGAAATTTCATGGATAAGAGATGCTAATTGGAAGTAATAGGTTCGCGAAATAGCTTTAACAATGCGCCCGGCAGATGAAGGGATGCGATGGCAGTCGCAAGCTCTCCTGGCGCTTCAAGAATCTGCCGAGGCTTTTCTCGTCCACCTCTTCGAAGACACAAATCTATGCGCAATACACGCAAAGCGAGTCACAATCATGCAGAAAGACATTCAGCTCGCCAGACGAATACGCGGTGTATGGGGTGGTCTAGGCTGAGCGTATAAGAACGACTATACCATATTACTATTTTTCGCATACGAAGTTTTAATGCATTCGGGTCCGGTAGAATCCCACTTTCACCATCTATGCTATGGTCGAAAGTCTGTATAAGATAAGATGAACGACGAGGAAACCGAGATACCATTGAAAGGCGTTTAGCTGGGCTGGCTAGGAAAAGGTGAGCCGGCGTTCAGGAGTTGGATGAATCGATTAAGGAGGCATAGTCAAGTCCTGAGTTCAGGTTTGATACCATGATACTATGCCAAAAACTGCGTCGAATTAGAACGCATCAGATTAAAAAGAAATAATAATCAAAACTTGTCAAGTACAAAAGTAAAGAAGCGTGAGGCTGAGGTGCAAACAGATCGTGCATACTGATATTAATTACTCCGAAACTCCGTGAATTTTGGGGCATATGGGGGTTGGTTCAGGGATCCTAAATGTTCTATTCGCAGCTATTTAGCGGCTTCCTGCAGTACAGCTGTGATTAGTGACGTCAATGGCTAAGGAGGCGCTCCGAAGGCTTCCTTTTTATTAAGCAAATTGAAAATTCGCCTTCAGAATTCCTTCCACATATTCGTAATTTAGAAACCGGAGAAATTCAATTGATCACCCAATCATCCATACGATAACCCCAATCTTTACAAGATGTCTACAAGATTGCTATTAAGAACCCGTTTGCCGAGGCATGCTCTCGGGGCCAGTATTGTCGGGCTATCCCTCGGCACGAGCTTGACAACGTTTAAACAATCTAAGCTCCGGCTGGACGCGAGAGAGACGCCGCGACCGATTAATAGCCTCCCTCCGGTCAAGGAGAGATTAGATCCCGAACTTTTAAAACAGCTTTCCGGCGGTAGTATTACAGGTATGTTGTCGTTTGTATATACAATTGAAATTGTGACTAGAACTAACGAAATTTTAGGGTTCGTTTCTGGAGTTCTCATTAGCATATTCTCGCGTACGTTGGTCTTGCTTCTGGGGATTTCTGTAGTCATTGCTCAGGTATGCACCTAATCAAAAATATCCTCCGGGACGTCTTCGGTTCTAATACGCGTTAGGTGGCTTCGAGATATGGCCTCGATCTTGTACAGCAGCTGAAATTGAAACAACGACTGGGAAATTCACGGGTATTGGCTGCCTTGGAGAGGGACCCTGCGTTTAAGTTGTCATTTGGGCTGTTCTTTGCAATGTCTGCTTTCATGCAATTCTAATACTATAGGTAACAACTAACGCAATGCATCATCAAAATGAACTGCACAAGTTTTCCGTCTAGAAGGTCTGCGTTTCCCTCTTAAGCCATGCCGTTGTTACCTTATCGTCCTCAAAATAGCCCTTCGTCTTATTCCATATATCTACATTGTAGTCGTTCAACCAACCCTTCTCTGCGTCCGTCAGGAGGGTAGAATCGATGAGCTTACGACAGTACGGCACCATCGTGACGTGCTCAAAACCGAGGTATGGCTTGTCACCAAACTGGTACTTGGTGTTGATCTCCTTAACCATGACGATATTCTCGATGCGGATGCCGAAGGAGCCGTCTTCGTAATAGCCGGGTTCATCGGAGATAACATTTCCAGGAGATAGGGAAACTTCCGAGTACTGTACCCTGGTACCAATACCGATCGGTCCTTCATGCACATTCAAGTACGAACCGACTCCATGACCGGTGCCATGACGGTAATCGAGCCCATTTTGCTAGAAGTACCAGATAAGCAAAACCGCGAATTATCAATTTTTAGAATTGGACATACCCATAAATACTGGCGAGCAAGACCATCAAGCGCAAAACCCGTTGTTCCTTTCGGGAATACGGCTCTATCTAAGGCGATGTTACCCTTCAGTACAAGCGTGTAGGCTTCGATCTCGGCAGCGGTAGGCTCGCCAAAGTGCAGTGTCCTTGTCGTGTCTGTAGTGCCGTCTAGGTACTGGGCTCCGGAATCACATAGGTAGACTGCCTTAGGGTCGACAACCGAGCAACTTCCACGTTCAGGCTTGTAGTGAATAACAGCAGCGCTAGTGATGAGGTTAGTACGTTAACTGACAGTGTTAGAGGGTTTGATAGACTTACTTTGGCCCCGTAGACGAGATCGCGGGAAAGGAAAGGCCAACAAAGTCCTTCTGTTTCGCACGCAGAGCTTCGAGTTTATCCGCAGCTTCAACTTCGTCAATCGTTGCCTTCTGCACTATTAACTGATCTTCAAGCCATGCGAAAAACTCGATTAAAGCAGCGCCATCTCTGATGTGGCATTGCCTCATCCCTTCTAGCTCGGTCTCATTCTTCACAGCCTTGGCGTCACCGATAGGACTTCGGATCTCCTCAACCATGCCATCTCCACCGAGCGCTCGTTTCAGAGCCCACGAAGCCTTATTTGAGATCAAGAATTTCTTGCCCTCGTTGCCTTCGTCATTCTTCTTAGCCTCTGCCGATTCGCGAAGGGCTGAAGCATCGTTGAATATGTCCTTGTATGGCTTAACAGAGACACCGTTTTCTGCAAGGTAGGATTGGCACTCAGCGCTTAGCTTAGAAGAATCGACATATAAGGTAGCGTCATCGGCAGTAACAATGGCGTACGAGAAGAAGACCGGGTTGTAAGGGATATCGTTTCCTCTAAGGTTGAAGAGCCAGGCGATCTCATCGAGCATCGAAACCACAAACCCGAGAGACTTCTTCTTTTTAAGCTCCGTACGAAGCTCTCCAAGCTTGAAGCTCGCATCCTTTCCGGCAAACTTCTCGTCGAGTACTATTATAGGCTCTTCCGGCTGAGGCGGTCTATCCTCCCCCCAAACAATGTCGACCAAGTTTCTTTCAACTGGTGCCAGCTCCTTGCCCCCACTCTTTTTAATCTTCTCTGAGAACTTCTTGGCAGCACCACTCGTTAACAAAGTCGGATCCACAGCCACGACTTTACCGCCAGCGGCCTTGTCTGCAGACCACTCCTGCCAGGTGGGAACATCTAAGAGACCTTGTTTCAAGAGGGTCCAGTTGTTGTCAAGCTGCTGGGAAGCTTGGTTGAAGTAACGGCCATCCGTAGCTAAGGCAGCCGATTCATGAGTGACGACAGCACAGCCAGCTGAACCAGTGAAGCCTGAGATGAAAGCGCGACGAGCGTCGGCTGGTGCAATATACTCAGAAGCATGACTATCTTCGGATGGAATAACTATATAGTAGATACATGTGTCAGTTGCCGAAACTTGATTCGCGATAGTCTAGAATACATAGGCTAGCCTACTATAAACATCAACCTCGTGCTCTTTCATAAGCTCGCGAAGCTTGGAAAGGCGAGCAGTAGTGTCGACCTTCTCCATCTTGATAGCTACCACAGTGCTCTTAAATCGGAAAATAGGACGTAGTAGTGTTGGTGAAGTCCTGACGTTCCACAGTCGAGGTCTAAATTTGGGTATGACAGAGACAGAGACAGATGAGAAAGCAATCCTCGGAGTCGTAGATAGTGTGGATAGGGGTGAGGGATATCTCATCACTAATAGTCGTGACAATATAGGTGAAGTTGAATGATCAGCGCGTAGGCTAACCGTTGCGATCTAATCCTAACCAAGTCAGGGAAGCCGGAAGCTGATGAAATTTACAAGCTTAGGCGTGAATAGCCCAGACGAGGCCCAAAAATCCCTAATCGATATTAGGGAGATATATCCATTGGAACCAAGCTGGATTGTGACTAAGTAATCATCGATGCGTGTGCATGAATCCTTAAGAGCGTTGTCGAACTTAAAAAGTTGTCAAGATTAAAGATTGAACCGGAGCAATACGCACGTAGCACAAAAGAGTGGGATGAAGTCTGGTTGTGGCTGCCGTTGAACGGCATTTGAGGAACCTTGGTGGGGTGGATGAGGTGTATTTCCAAAGTACCGTGTCTTTGGGTGGTACTTTTCAATTAAACAATTTTGCAACTGTGCGCAGCAAGTTTTGGTGGGGTTCGGAGAATATTCTGATAGCTATAGCGTATTTATGTTTCGAAACATATGGATATGTACTTGGACATTGCTCACGCGACGGTACCTAGTACGCACAGCGCTTTCTTCGAGACGGCAACGCTCCACCCCACCATCAAAATTGGGCATTGAAAGCTGTAAGTTTCGGGAATGACGTTTGGAGCACACCCGGTAGCGAATTCCAATCATTCGAAGTCGTTGCTCCGAGTACACACATTTATAGTACATTCACTTTTGCGGTATCACTGATTGCTTATACGGGTCGTACTTGCCTAATGAGTTTGAGGTTAAACTTGAGGTACTCACAACCCGGAAACTTGACCACTTTGATCTAGCCTCATCCGATCTACCACCTTTCTTTTGACCGACACACTAGACTCTAACACTTACAACCTTAATAAACACTTCAAAGGTTACCGTCTGATCAATATCATTCATGCATCAACGAATCGCATACACTTAAATCCCACCTTTCAAACTTATACCCAGACTACTAAATTCTCGATATGGATGAGATACCCCATGGCCATGGAAACAAACGCCGCCATGGAGGAAATATCTATTCCCACTATTACTTTGCCTGAGGCTGAGAATGTAAGTTGAACTATCATGGGACTCATCATTATTAGTCCTCCTAAACAGAAATGATCCATCATATTATCCATAAATCTTAGCGAATCTATGCTAAACGGGTGTAATTGTTGGAACATGCATATAATCCATCTCCAAATGTTATTTTCAATAAATGTTCTAGAACTATAACGCTGACGTTTCATCAGTTAGTCCACGAGTTGTACAAACCAAACCCCCCTCATACCATTTCCCGTATCCAAGAAATTCTTCAGAACCTTCAGAAATCTCCTGGAGGATGGCAGCTTGCAGATGGCTTACTTAGCCGACCGAATGACAATGTCAAGTTTTTTGGTGCCTTGACCTTCACGGTGAAACTAAACACTGAAAGGTATTTGTGAATCAAACTGACTGAGAAATTACGTAGTTAGCTTACTTGACTCTAGTTTGTCCGACGAGGATGCAGTCTCAGTGTTGAACAAGCTTATCTCCTTTCTTATCACTTCTTTAAGAGATGGGACAGCTGGCTTTGTCGTGAAGAAGATCTGTAGCACTCTAGTCACGTATTTCGTCCACTACTCACATACGTGGTCTAGATGCATACGCCATCTCTCATACAGCTTAGACAAACGCACAAGTGTACCGGTAGACGGCATTGACAACACATCTCCCTTTGACGGTGTGGTTCAGTCCCTAGAAACTAAGAATTTCTATGCCATTACTTGGTTCGCCCGATTTCTGGCCAACGAGGCAGAGAAAATTGACACCAAGTCTACCAAGTATCTTCCTCTTCATCAACGACTATTGGACAATGCTGGCGATGTCGCAACATTTCTGGTTCATGGTATCAAGCCCGTTAGTGAGCAAAATACTCACCCTGAAGATTCGATAGGTTGTTTGCTAGCATGGCTTCAGTATGGCCAACGCCTTCCGAACCAGACATTAGTCCAGCAGCTCCGGACACTAATTCACCCTGTCATCAACTGTCTTCCCCATGAGGAATTATACGAAGTTGCGGTTGACCTTCTTACATTCATCTTGGAAGATTGGCACCCATTTCTACTTTCAGACCATATCGAATCCCTGTATTCCGTCTTCGAGAGCGAATGGGGTCGAAATAAATATCGCCTCCTAGTCGAGAATGATGATGCGGATGATGATGAGGCTCAGTTTGGGGTATTTATGTTGGCCTTTGCCAATGCCCAAGTAGTCGAAATGATGGACGGGTCCAACGAAAGAGCTCAACTCTTCCTTACTAATCTCGCCGGTCTATTGACCGCCAAAGGATTTCCTGGTGTAGATAACAGAATATTTGTTCCAGCTCTCGAATACATGGGATCCTTTGTCGAAAATCTTCTAGATACCCTCTATGAAGCTGAATCTACACATAAACTACAATGGGATAAGCCGCCTGTATGGCAGATCATGCAAGCCGTCTCAGAGAGTTGGCGAAAGATACAATACCCGCCTATTGCCATTTACAACGCCTGGGATTCCACGGAACGGGTTGCATTTTCTGACGCGAGAAAAGACGTCGCGGATTTCATGCAATCCGTTTACACCATAATAGGCAAACAACTAGTCTCTATGTTTGTAGAACACTTGTTAGAGGCATTGCCAAGATCGGCTTGGGCGGAGCTCGAGGCAGCTGCCTTCTGCTTAGGCGCTTTGTCCGATTGTGTATCGGATGGAACTTCATGTGATGATATACTAACCAAAGTATTTGGTTCGCCCCTATTCGAATTGCTGCGTCAGGGTCAGAATGTGGTGCCCGTCCGTGCAAGACAGACATGCCTATCTCTCATCGAGCGTTACTCAGACTACTTTGGCAACCACTCGGAGTTTCTGCCAGCTGCCTTGAATCTCCTTTTCAGTGCTGTCGGGGATAAGTACCTCGCAGTACCTTCTTCTAAGTCGATCTATACTCTCTGCTCTTCTTGCCGAGTTCTCTTAACGCCCGAGGTTGATGCATTTCTAGCACAATACGGGACGTTGCGCGATCATGAACTCGATTCGCTAGCGGAGGAAAGAGTCGTAGGCGCCATCGCATCTATCATACAGGCAATGCCTGGGGATGCCCGTCAGGCAAGCGCCTTTCAACGCTTACTAACTATGATCGGTATGGATGTCAACGTCAGTTTACAGCTCTCAGCATGTCCTGAGGGATCTGTTATATCTCCAGACAACCCGGTAAGTCTATACGAAGTACCAAAAGGGCCTGTATCGATTCGTGTATTTGTTTCTAACATAACATAGTCCCTGGTAAGAGCATATGACTTAGCACAGCGCCCTGTCGAGGAGGTTCCAGCATCGGAGGTTTCGCTGCAGTTAGCAATCCGAGCTCTTCGTTGCTTGAGCAACGTTGCCAAAGGGTTGCAATCGCCTACAGAAGCTCCTGTTGATCTAGAGGCTAGCGATGGAGGTGTCCAGGCACCTGCTAGCACGGATTTGAATCAAATACAAGTTGACATCATGGTGAGTGTTGACTGGAATCCGACTTGCGTCCTAGGGATTGCAATAAAATAGGAACTGCTAACATCCTTATAGAATCTCCTCGTTCGGCTTAAGGAGACTTTCTCGAGTAATAGTGAAATCGTTGATGTCATTTGCGGTATTCTCCGTGCCGGCTTCTCCGAATCAGAGCCAGGGCCATTCGTATTTCCTCCGCAGATGGTGACCGAATTCATGACCAGCAGATGGCACCACCGTGTTGCAACTGTTGTGAACACGGCCAGTATCTTTGTGACCTCCTTGAGTAGTGGGAACCAAAAGAAATACGTTGGAGAGGTCCTTGGGCAGTTATTACCTTGGGTTTTTGGTCTGTTACACCAGCTCTCAGGTGAGTTGTCATAATAGTAAATTTCTTTGTTTGCTTTCTACTCTCGTCAGTTGTGATAGGTCACTAATAGAATGCAGAGCCTGACCAAGACCCCGAACTATCGCAGTATGGCCTTGAATTTGCCCAGAGGGTAATGATTAGGCGCCCGGAGATACTTATGTCTCAACCTTCGAACATGCTCGAGTTTCTCTTCATGTTTGCCTTTAAGCTGTTAAACGGAAATGAACCGTTGCCTAAGCAAGCAGCAGCGGACTTTTGGGTTGGTCATGTCTTCCGCTACATATCAGAGGATAAGATAATACTAACCATCTACTAGACTACTTTCATCTCACTTGCAACGGATGATCAGAACACCCAAAACATTATCAACAATGCGATAACTTATCTAGGTCCCAAACTTGCCGAGTCGTTGATTCAGAACATAGGAGGTAAAGCAGCGAGGAGTGAGCTAGATAAACTTAGCGACCCATTAAAGAAGCTGGTGGTGCAACACGTACAAGCTCGCCAGTGGTTAGAGGCAGCCCTACAAGATCCGGCATTTCCCAGCGACAAGGTATCCGCCGAGGATAAGGAATTATTCCTCAAGAAAGTTATCACGTAAGTTTTTCATTTTATTTATTGGTACTAAAGTACCGTAACTAATGCGTGACCATAGGCTCCGAGGCCAACGCTCGACGAACCAAGTCGTTCGCAACTTCTGGCTGGCGTGTAGAGGATCTAACTTTGCGTATGCATCGTGAATCATGATACCCAATTCGTATGGTGTTTGATAGCTTTTAAGACTGGCTAGGATGTAGCTATCTAAATACAGGACAGGGGAAAATTATGTAGTGCACAATTTAGCTGGAACTACAAAAGTGATATTCCTGTGTTCATGTGCTCTCATCGTCTAATTTTAAATAGCTATGTACAGCTCAGGTGATATTACAAACTACCTACCTCAGTAGTTACGTAGTCGCATCCTATACCTTAACTCTTCCGCCCCAATCCCACCGCGTACCTCACCAACTTCATCGTCGCCTCCGCGCTCCGCCGCGCCGCCTCCGCCCCCTCGGCCTCGATCTCATCGATCCACTTCCCACCTTTCCGGTTTAGGAACTCATGATACCGCTCCCTCACCCCCTCCAGCTCCGCCACCACCGCATCCGCCACCGCGTTCTTCAAATCCTTCCACATCCGTCCGTTAAACTCGTTTCCTAACTCCTCCGGCGATCGCCGTGTCCCGTCTGCTAAAGCGGGTCCGCATTGCGATAGTAGTTCTAAAAGGTTGGAGACGCCGGGACGTCGCGTGGGCTCGTAGGTTATTGCATCTTCGCTGTCGGTTACGGCGCCGTATATCCGTTGCCGGATCTCGTTTGAGGTGGAGGTTATTAGGATCCGTGAGCGGTGGTTCGGTGTTGATTTGGACATTTTTTGGGTTGGTTGGACTAGGGACATTACGCGGGGGGAGGGGGCTGGGGGTGGTTAGTTAGAGGGGGGTTTAGGGGATGGTTAGGGGGGGCAAGGGGGAGGGGAGAGGGGAGAGACGTACTGGTTACGGTTTCGGGCGGGACTAGGATGTTCGAGAATGTGTGGTTGAAGTTCGTGGCGCATTCTCGTGCGAATTCTAGATGCTGTCGCTGGTCCTCGCCTACAGGAACGTGGGTTGCTCGGTGGACTAGCACGTCTGCGGCTTGTAGCACGGGGTATGAGAATAAGCCGAGTTTTAGGTTCGTCATGGCTATTTCGTCGATGTCGGTTGCGTGGTTTTGGACTGCGAGTTTGCTCTGCGTGGTTGTGTTAGGGTTGTATTGATTATTGCTCATTGGTAGTGAATTCATGAATTTCCCTCTCGTTTGTGATATCATATTGAAGAAAAGGAGTAATATAAAGGAAATATACCTTCCACTGCGTCATCCGGCCCAAGTACCCCATCGAAGCCGTGCAGCTGAGAATCCACATGAGTTCGGTGTGTTGGGGCACGGAGCTCTGGAAGAAAATAGTCGACCCCTTCTCCGGATCAAGGCCGATGGCTAACAGCGCGGCCATCATCTCGCGGCGGCGTAGGCGGAGGATAGAAGCTTCTTGTGGTACGGTGATCGCGTGGAGATCCACGACTGAGAAGAGCAGCTTATCCCCCGACCCAGACGCTTCTACATCATCTTGTAATTTTTTCCATTGCCGTAGTGCCCCTAGGTAGTTTCCTAGATGTGGTATACCAGTAGGCTGGATCCCCGAAAAGACAACATTTCTCTTCTTTTTTTTCTCCGTTGTCTTCGGTTGATCGTTGGTAGTAGCATCACTGGTGCTACTAGTAGATTCACAGCGCTTCTGCTGCTGTGAAATTGGGCGCAGAATTTGTCTTCTGGCTTGGCCAATCAAGGGCCTGCAGCGGGCGCAAATTGTTGAGCGCATTTACTCAAATCTCAAGCCTCTTACGCCTCCCGGAAATTATGATGGAGTAATTTTCAGAGAGCTGGAGTTGCTTCCTTTTTTCTTTCTAGACGGTAGAAGTCTACTTCACATGACTAATTAGTAAGAACCTCATTTTTACGAATCTAAGGGTGATTTCGGTTCTTACAGCTCTAGTTAACTCGTCTTATAAGTTTTTATAGAAGGAGTTGTAAGAATTGTGTTGTCTTGAAGTCTATTTCATTACTTGACGCTAAGTCCGATAATTGAAAATATTGGCGGATGGAACGAATTGAAGTTCTGACCAATCAGAAGCCTCCTTTTGACCCTTCTCTACAACTCTATTGGAACATGCTACTAAGTAATTAAGGAGGTATGTAATAGTCTTCATAACCATGTTGAGACAATTATAGACTCAATATAATCAATTGTATGTTACAATATACAGGTGGAGAGAAACAACATCTAGCTCGTGTGCTTGAATCTCTCGCTTGCCAATAGTTCCTTGACCTTTTCTACCGTACCAGGCGTCTTGTCTCTTCCAAAATGCTCCATCTTCTGGTTTACGATCTCTTGCAAAGACTGAGCCTGAGCATCCATATGCTTACCGGGGTCTGCGTATCTATGTTAGCTATCAATGATCCTACGAATTCGGACAGCTCGAACTTACCAAGACCTGTAAACTCCCAGACATTTGCCTTCATACCAATTCCGTAGTACGCATGCTTTTGTAGATATGCCAGCCAGATCTGTACCGTCTCCGGGTGTCCGTCTCTGATCTGAATTAACCTCCTTCTCGTGATTCTCTCGAAGTTCTCCTGCGACTTCTTGAAGATGAAATGACTCCTCGGAACCGTCCATCGCTCTATGATCTTGGGTAGAGGTACTGGCCCAAATGCGGGAAGGTTCAGGTAGTATGCGGCTCGTAGCGCAAAGTCGCAGAAGAACTCGAGATTGGGAATGCTGAAGGATCGCAATTGTAGATCACACGAAGGTACGCCGAACTCGGCTTCTCTTCGTAGAGGTTGGAGGTAGATGGCTTGAACAGCCCTAGGAAGTCGGACCATATTCGCTTCGCGAGGGTCTGTGAGTTCGTTCCTATGACTCGTGTAAGTAACCGCATATTATAGGTGCTGAGTCTATACCCGTACACATATTGAGGAGGCCCGGATTGGGATTCGGAAGATCCAGAGGTTTCGGATGATTCAGAGGACTCGGGAGTTTGTTCGGGCTCGTTTCTAAAGACATATTAGATATCTTCTGAGTGGCGCAAAGCGATCGGATTGAGAGTGAAGGCATACACAGATGCTAATGACCGAATGCCTACGAATGGCATTAAGGCATTTCGCGGTTGTTGGACCTTTTAAGATGTAAGCGAAATAATTCATCACCCCTTCGGAAAATAGAACATACCAAAGGCCTAGGCAGCGCCTGCCGTAATGGTCGCGCTATTAATCGCGACATGATGTGACGATTACTCTTTTCCCCTCCACCTAGAAAATAGAATCGCGATCTTGAATATTAGCGATTAACGAAAGTGGATCCCCGACGACAAGGCTCGAAATTTGAGGTCTTATCGATAGAAAGAGAATGTGGGGGTATATGTATTTAACAGCTACAACTAGCCTTTGTTTGCCTTATGCAATTAATAGCTTAACCTTATCAGCCTTATCGAAGCTTCACCCCACGTTGACCTCTCTGCCTATCACCAACCATTTACAACATCACAAACACCTTTGACCTTCTTACTGCCAACAAAAAAAGCCTTCTACGAAAAGAGGTAGCCAAGATGGAGGTGGCTATGAAATCATGGGGTAAGTGATTCTACTTATATTAAGCATTGCTACCTACTTTCTAGAACCACGAGAGTACAGAATATCAGAAATACATACTAACAACCTGCCCCGCCAGAGCTGGACAACGACATCAAGCTCGTTGACCCCACACGCGACGCCCTGTACAACTTCGACAACGACCGACAGACCGAAATCAACGCCTCCAAGCCCTGGAAAGAGAACCCGCACCACTTCCAGCACGTGCGCATCAGCGCCGTCGCGCTCATCAAAATGGTAATGCACGCACGTTCGGGCGGCTCGATCGAGATCATGGGGATAATGCAGGGGTACACGGACGGGGACACGATCGTAGTAACCGACGCCTTCGGGCTTCCCGTCGAAGGAACAGAGACACGGGTGAACGCGCAGGACGACGCGCTGGAGTACATGGTGTCGTACCTGTCTCTGTGCCGGGCGCAGGGCAGTCGGCAGGAGAACCCGGTGGGATGGTACCACAGTCACCCGGGGTACGGGTGCTGGCTCTCGGGTATCGACGTAGGGACGCAGAGCATGCAGCAGCAATTCAACGACCCCTTCGTCGCCGTCGTCATCGACCCCGACCGCACCATCAGCGCCGGCCGCGTCGAGATCGGCGCCTTCCGCACCTTTCCCGACGACTACAAGCCCGCGTCCCCCACCGCCTCCTCCTCCGGCGGCAGCGCTGCGGTTCCGCTCGCGAAAGCAGAGGATTTCGGCGCGCACGCGAGTAAGTACTACAGTCTTGAAGTCTCGCACTTCAAATCCACGCTCGACTCCAGTCTTCTCGATCTGCTGTGGAGTAAATACTGGGTACAGACTCTATCCCAAAACCCGCTCCTCACGAACCGCGACTACGGCAACAAGACGCTTCTCGATCTCGGTTCTAAGATCCGCGACACGACGACCTCGTACCAGCGCGCTGCTAGGGGCGGTGGCGGCGGGCCGATTAATGCCGTTGGGAAGAGTGCGATTGATCAGGAGATCGAGAAGTTGGCTCGCACGAGCCATTTGGTTACGATGAATGAGAAGCAGGGGCTTATGGCTGTGGAGGTTAAGGCGAAGATTTTTAATGGGTTGGGGGCTGGTGGTGCTGGTGCTACTACCACGACGACGACGTAAGGATTAGGTGTGGATGCGGGTTTAGGTTGATGGATGGGAATAGGTTACTAGGTGGCACTAGTTTCATGAGATACGAAGCATTAGGACGGCGTTATTTATTTTCGGACGGGTAGACATTTGAGAAGAACGGAATAATAAAAACAGTAGCACGTGGGATGCCTCGCATCCGATACGTCCATATGTACACATTTTTCTTCACCGGCATTATTCATAGTTCTTGTCTGCCATACACTAGCTCGCTCATCGATCGTACCTAGTGATCTATCCTAGGGGTTGTCTTTGAGCCCTCTGATTCGGTTATCGGATGCCCATCCCCAACCGTCACCATGCCAGCTTTCTAGCAATCCTGATCACATTATCTATGCGCGCAAGCGTCTCCGTCCTGCTCATGAGTGCTATGGACACACTTACGCCGGGCCCGGTCTTCGTGCCTAACAAGAGCCACCTCAAGAGATTCCAACCCCAAGGATGGATCTCGGACGTCATTTCTCCATCTGTAGACTCGACCTCTACGGTGGAGTACACGCAATTGAGGATGGGCTTGAGGACTTCCTGGATACCGTCTACGGTCCATTGCTCCTCTTTAATGTCATATAGACAGGCTCGTAGCTTCTCCGAGATGGTGACGACATCAAAGCGGTTATCAGATGTGACCTCAGGGGTGGGACTATCAAGGGCTAAGATCTCTGGGTCGACGAAGTGCAATAAACGGTTGGATATTCTCTCCTTGTAGGTCTCGGCATATGCGGACTCGGGGATGTTCCAGATGAGGTATTTGATCCGCTGCACAAAGAGTTCGGGACCCTTGTAGTGTTGGGTGTCAGCCTCTAGAATCTCCCTTACGTAGTCTGGTAAGGCATCCCGGGCACGCGGTACCATGTCCCCGAGTTCGGCAGATATGTTGTTGCCCTCACTAGGATTCGTACGGCGCATTTCGTAGTCTTCAATCCGGGCCAGGACGTAGGGTTCTACCGTCTCGTAGAAATTATTAGGGTCCCTATCGCGGAGGCGCTGCAAGTGCTGCCTCTGAAAGTACTCATATTTGTCGTTGACGATGATGTTGCCTTTGGTGAAATTGAGATCAAACTATACGTCTTTGTTAGAGCTCTAGATCCCAGATCGGTCGATGTGGTGTAGCATGCTTACCTTTTTTAACATACCATCTAAGCCTAAGACTTGCCCCTCAGCACCCATAGTCTTACCCGTGCTCCATCCCAGGAACAGGACGTAGTTTAGTAGTGTGATGGGTAGGTATCCCCGATCTCTCCAAGAGGCAACATCTGCGTCGTGATGACGCTTGCTCAGCTTTTGTCCCTCCTTATTCGTAAGGAGTCCGACATGCGCGAACCTGGGGATGGCCCAGCCGAATGCCTGATAGAGGGCTATGTGTCTAGGCGTAGATGTGAGCCATTCCTTGGGTTATATACCTATATTAGCCCTTGGTAATTTTGGAGCGAAACACATGTGGATGATTAGCTTACTGCTCCTCGTATCACGTGTGAGATGTTCATTCGATGGTCATCAATGACATTTGCGAAGTGGTAGGTAGGATATCCATCCTTTTTTATGATAATAAAGTCATCGTCTGGCGGACGGTTTATGGCATCCCCATATACTATATCGCCAGCTATGGCTCCTTTGTTGTGGTTGGCTAAACGCACACGCTTGAAGCGTATACAATGCTCATGTCCGTCTGCTGCTTTTTGAGCAGAGATGTCCGGCGGGATGTGTGAACAGTGGCCATTGTATGTACTTGGGTTACCCAAGTATATACTGTTGGACTTCATCTGGTCTAGCTCTTCAGGGGTGCAGAAACATCGGTACGCCCGGTTACGGTTCATCAACTCATCCGCATACTGAGAATATATAGGAAGATTTTCTGACTAACGAATATATTAAGCCTCGCCATTTGAAAAAATAGAGCATCATTTCAATACCTGTTTATATGGATTATACGGGCCTCCAATATCGGGACCTATGAGAGATCGTTAGTGAGAGTGAGAATAATATGCCTAAGGGGTATGGTTCACGAACCTTCGTCCCAATCTAAGCCGGCCCATTTTAGATCCTCATACAACCTCTTCTCGGCATCTGGCACGAGTCTCGACTAAGACGTTAGAATGCCAAACAGGTCAGCCCCTGAGGAGTAAAGAGAGTTCAGCTCGAGCTCACCTGGTCGGTATCCTCTATCCTTAATATGAATTGACCACCAGAAGCCTTCGCGTACAAGTAATTAAAAAGTGCCGTCCTCAGCGAGCCAATATGTAAATACCCAGTTGGTGAAGGAGCGAAGCGTGTCCTAGCTGGCGCCCTATGGGGAGGCTGAAATTCAACTGCTTCCATGGGCGTGAGGTCGACGGGGCGGCGGGCTGAGGGTACGCGGCGGGCTGAGAATACGCATCTCTTTAAGACATGAGACGGCCGAGTCGGTAAAGACCGGCGGAGAGGACCGCGGATAATTAAAAGGCTGCCCATCGATAGTTACGGATTTCCTTCATTGCCGTGTCCTGAAATCGACGTTGGTAAATCGAAAAGTGGAAACTTTTCAAGCTTTCAATTTTCACATAAGAAAGAACTCTTGCTTAAATGAAACTGATATTTATTTAAGCCCTACATACTTATACCTGATAATTGTATTAGTCGCAATTCAGAAGTGCGATAAGTACATATGATATAAAATCATAAATAGATTCTTATTTATTAGGTATGAAATCAACAATTGCTACCTAGTATGTTTTATATCACCTTCATGCTTCGCCTTTAGGAAATTGGCTTAAACTTGAAAAGACTCCATCAAGAAATCAGAGTCACTGATCAGGAATGACGTATGCATTTATGGCTTTTCTTGTGGCTAGTAATCAAGTGGCTTGTATGGTGTGGCCGTGTACTGATTAAATTCAACTTTATGCGACTCCCACCCACATCAATCACGTTTGTCAAGAGTTTATAAACCGGTATAGTCACCCAGAATGGGGAACTATGGGTTGTTTCCTATGACTTGTGCAATACAAAATTATTATCAACAAATGAATCTTGGTCTGGTAGCGGTCGTTCGTTCGTTCGTATCCCTCAAGTGAATGGATTTGAAAAATACGTCATTCCTCCTCGAAATCTCCTTTTGGCCAATTTAATCGCGTTGGACCCCCCAGCTAGGACATGTAGGAACCCGATGCTATACGAAGTTAGTATCGTGATCTTGGTTCCAAACGGGAATTTGTACATACCGTGGTAACAATGTTGTGCTTAACTGGTTGTACTTAGGCTTTTTCACAGCTGTGCGAAGAGACTGGTGTCTCTTCCGGTGATACGATACAGTGGTGAGTGTTCTCTGCTCTCTGCCACGCCCCCAGCTGGTAATGTTTGCGGTGACGTGAAAATCGAAATAGCCACGATTGACTATCCTGGCTATATTCATCCTGCCGTGCCACGAAAACCGAGACCGTACGAAATCATAAGGTAGAAACCGACATAGGAGAACCAAGTGGTACGGAATCTCCTGAAATCGTGTTCTGTGTGATCTAGACACAAGCACGATGTATTCAAGTACATATAGCAAACTTCTTTTTGCTGTCATGTTCCCAATTATTCCCTTAGACAGGGACGAGCTTCCTCAGGAGAGGGTTCTGGGAGAATGGCTCGTGGACCATAGAGCCCTGCCGGCGCCGACCTCCATACTTTGGAACGGCGAAGTCGAGCTTCCGTTGTTTCGCCCGGGAGAGGTCCTCGGAGGATTCTGCGTCGTATTGTTCGGAGCGTACGACATCGAAGTACGAACGCTTAGTTCCAAAGGAACTTTGTGACTTCGTATACCGGGCATCGGTAACCGTTGTTGAGCTGCCGTTTGTTGCGGGTATTAGGGTGGGCGATGTTGGGTTTGTGAGGGTACGAAGGCCTCGTCCAACGGCCATATCCTTAGGTGGGATTATGACGGGAACAGGATCGTCGTCTTCCTCGTTGGAATCGTCATCATTCATTTCCGGACGATACAACTTAGGTTTTGGTTGGGGTTTGGAGTCGATCCGAGGACTTTTGTTCTTTCGCAACTTCGGGAATTCTTTGTCGACAAGATCCTCGATAAAGTCGTAGTCTTCGACTTCAGAAATGCTTGATGCACTCGTCTGCTTGCATGGGATGTCGAAGTCGTCCCAGTCCCAGTCGTTGTCAGACTTGCCTTGCTCACTACCGGAACAATCTTCAATAGATATGTCGCTTTCGGAGTCGGATAGAGCCGTGATGGAGGTAGACTTGCAACAACAACAGTCTGCGAACTCATCCCAGGCATCTGTCATCCACTCGAAAATGTTCGGCGGGCAGGAAAGTTTGTGGTTGGTAGACCTCCCGATATTTCCGTTGTCTTGGGAATGAATACGTTGCTCTTCTATCTCACCATCATAATAGAAAGCTTCCTGGCCGTGTAAGGTCGTCAAGGTCAGGGATCGAGGGTGTTGGAGGCACTTCATATTAAGCTTACTCGCAGCTTCCGTGGCTTGATAGAGATGGAGCCAGTTGAACAGGCAATGGCTACAAGGCTTCCATGTTGGCCATCTCACTGCCCCTTTCTCGTCGGCATGATGATGGAGGAGAGCGCCCTGGGTAGATAGATCAGGATTATGGCAACGGCAGAGCTGCGAGATGTTGCATTTCCTTTGGTCACATGGTGGCGCGGCTATCTGGAGAGCGCGATTCCGATAGACTACGAAGACTCCCTCATCAGGAAAATCGACAGAGCAGCTTCGTTTCCTGCCTGCGATAACGTTGTTTCGGAGTTGGCCGTCGACATCGTATGAGGTAGCGACAACGGTGGTAGGCCGCGAGGAGACTGCTACACAGGCGACGATACTATGGCCGGAGCTCATATCGAATTTTTCGCAGGCCGTGGAAGTCGATGCAGATTCTTTCCTCCTCGTTCGAAAGATAGCTGTGGGCTTGGCAAGTTTGTTTTTACCAAGATGGATGGAAGGTAGTAGTTTGCGAGATTTTTTTAGAAGTTGTAAATGAGACGGTCGAGAAGAATGATGGGAAGTGAGTGAATGCGGAATATTGAAGATTCGCCCCAGAATCTGTGATGTCAAGTTGTCCTCTTTCGAGTTGGCTTTAGCGCGTCGAAACATTGGTTGTGATGATTCAGATATGTCACGGTTGAAGTGAACAGTGGTACTGGAGAAACTGAAGTTTGGTGGCACTAAGATTATCGGGTCTGGAAGATGGGATGAAAGTGAAGATGTCGGACAAGTATTTGGTAGGTGGATATCTGAAGATTGGTTAAATCCCAAGGCAATGACTAAGAATTGTTGAAATCGTACTGTACTTAAAGGACAAAGCCGCCATAGCTAAGATTTCCAGCAACTTATATTCTGCCTAGGTACAGTATATCTCTCAGTATATAACTGTTTGCCAAACCAAAGTTCAAGATAGAAGCACTATTCGATGGCAATTCGTTCATCAGACAAAAGGTCCCTTCAACTTGGTATGTCAAGCACACCGCTCACTTCTGGCTCATTGAACGACGACGTAGAATGGTCCTATTGCCTTCTAGAGTATCTAGATGATACCTAGGTAGTTTTATTAGTCTTTGAATATCCGTTTCTCTTTATCTCTTGTGTATGGGTGGAAGGAGGTAGAATCTACCTGCGTTGATAACAGCTCTGTTTTACTACCATGCACAAACACGGAAAATTAAAAGAAATGTTGAATCAACAATCCAGTTACCGAATATCCAGCTACGTAGTGCTAGACATACTGGAATTACGGGTATATAACTGTTGATGAAAAAAGATAGGAGACATCCGGATGTTGTAAAGGAGTAAGAGTACCTTGTACATGTTGCTTTCTTCTACAACTGTGTAGTAGAATGTCTGCTTGGAAGGAGAATCGTGGAGAATACGAACCAGAAGTTTTTAACCTATCGCCCTTCTTAGTCTTCACACCTTGGCGCTGTCAGATCTCCTGTTGTCGAGAATTGGACGAGAAATAGGACTGTCACTAGAACTGCCCAAATCCTACCTCCTTGCTTCCATTTATAGGCCATCAAAATGACAATAAAAATACCAAATTGAAGTACGTGACCTCGGAAGTTTTATAAAATGCGGACATATCCAACATCATATTGAAAATGATTTTTCCACATCCCTCGGGCCTCGGTATGACATTGAATATCAAACGCGCTGTCTGTGAGGCTGTTCCTACACGTGTCATCGTGTAACTCGCACCTTACGTCCCTAGTGAAACCGTGATTGGGGGAGCGCCTTCACAGCCCGAGCCTAAGGCAAAATCGTGTAAGAATAATCGATCAAGGAAAAAATAAGAGGTCATAATACGTGTCATCGTAGAAGGTGTGTTGTATTTCCTAGCACGAAATACATGCTAGCTCGAATATCCGTCCGTAGACCATAGAGCGCAAAACCCTTCCCATGCATGCAAATAGTTGCCGAAAACGAGAAACCGGACCCATTTCATTGTCACCGTCAACACCAGCCAACACCTTAAACCTCCGTAGTAATCTTGGCCTTCGGGTTGGTGACCTTAACGCCCAGTTGCTTAGCGCGCGCGATGATGTCGATTCGCTTTCTTGAGGAAACGTTGTGGGCGATCCTACGATTATTGTTAGCTGACCTAAATCTTACTGGTTGAACCGCCTATCTGCGCTAGACTGTCGAGAACGCGGGAACATGAGAACGTACTCTGCGGCAAAAGTGCGGTTGTGCATTAACAACAACTCAACATCCTTGGTGTTGCTGACGAGGAAGGCCTTGTGGCCGGAGGGCATCATGTGGCGAGTTTTCTTGTTGGAACCGAAACCGATCTATGTCGTAAAACCATATCAGCATGCCGTTTTTGCTTATTATTTCCAGATTCCAAATTGTAATGTCTTAAAAACGTAGGGGTAACATACCGAAGGCATAGTCATGTTGCCTCTGAACCGTCGTCGAACTCGGTTGTCGATACCCTTAGGCTTTCGCCAGCTGGAGGCAAGACATTTGAACCGATCACTCTGGTGACGGTTGAAAGTCTTGGTTCCTAAAGACATAAATTTGTCAATATTCCATTCTCATGAACACGTCGCAATGCTCTGTTATCGAAACCATTTATTTATATCTCGGGTACTTCGTGCCAATCGGGGAATGGGTGCGGGTTCGAACATACGCTTCTTGACGATCGGGACGTGCTTCTTTGCGGCAACCATCTTGAAGAAAATATTAGTTAACAAATAATATTCTTTTGCAACAGATTATCTCGTAGCAGAGGAATAGGGGTCTAATTACCTTGACTGATTTCCTGTCGGTGTCTTGATGGATGTATCGTGATTTGGCTGGTCTCAATCGCAAAATTCAGTAGAGGGACCGAAAGTTTCCAATGGCACAACAGCCGAGCCCGAATTTTTGCGCTAAGGGTTTTCGTTAGGGTTAACAGTCACGTGAGTAAGAATTAAGGGAAAAGAGTTCTGCTGGTTGGTGGGCAAGTGGGGTGGAAAAGGAAGCGGGAGAAAAAAAATAAGGGCACGAGCCACAATGTTAGCAACGGCTTTTTAGCCTCACGTGGCGCTCCGCATCCGATTTTGACTCAGCTCTCAAGGTTCTAATTAGGGTTCTACTATATTGATACGTAGATAACGTCTCTTAATATTTCAAAATAATTAACATGCTCGCATCATTAGATTCACATGGAATCCGTTGATGCAGTTTCTTGGCATAATTATGCCTGTATCTCAAAGCACACTAGTCTTCCCAATGACACTATTTTCACCAAGGTAGAAGTGTCTGGTCTATGAATTACGGAGTATCAATGGTAGACGATACTTAGAAAGTTCCGTCTTACCCAGAATTTGCCGTATAGGTGTAGAGAAAGAGATATACCGATGAACTATCCATTGGGAGAAAATCATACCTGAATTTTCCCCTGACTGTTGTCCTTCTTTATCCTGTCCTCCTTCCTCCCCATGTCTTATTTATGGCAAAACCAACCCAAACCAACTTATAGAAACCCCAAGTTCCATTACAAATCTATGGCTTGCGTCAGGCTTTTTCCAATCTGCCGAATCAAAGGTCATATCTCATAACTCGTTACTGCTGCGCGCATTGAGGCTGTCCGCCAGCCTCTTCGTCGTCGTCCTCCCAACCGTCTCCGAATCGCGGATCTCCTGAGTTTGCACCCATCTAGTTGAATGTTAGTATCGTGTATTTAACCCCAACACGGGTGGAGTGAGACATACCTCGTCAATATCAGCATCTTCGTCATAAGAGACTTCGTCAACTTCATCGACCTTGATCTCGGGTGGGGGACCTGGCAAGAGCTTCTGAAGAGACTCGTACGCAGCATCGTCCTTGAGCCATCCATCGTCAGGAAACTCGATCTTGATGATGAGATAAAGGTCGCCCTTGATATCTCCTCGTTTATGCGGCATACCCTCCTCTTCCACCTTGAGCACCTGGCCTGGGTGCAGAATCTTGCCTCGCGGATGATTGATATGAATTCCTCGGCTATCAAGATGCTTGACGACGACGCGTGAAAACCCACACAGGGCTTCGGCGAGGGTGACTTCTAGATCAGCAGACAGGTCGTCTCCGATTCTGTTGAACACATCGTGAGATTCTTCTTCGAGAACGAATACGAGATTGCCAGGGGTTTGATCGGGGTGTTGATCGGCTTCACCCTCCAACACGATTCGTTCTCCCTGGCGTGAGCCACGAGGTATGTAGATCTCGAGAGGCTTCGTCTCTGGGACGGTTCGCTTGCCCTTGCACTTCTTGCATCGGTCCTTCTCCTTGAAGTAGTTACCGGAACCCTGACACCTATCACATACAGCGGTTTCGCGGGTGACTAGACCGGGTCCGACTTGGCGGAAGGCTTCTACAGCACCATGACCCTTGCAACGATCGCATTGCTGAGGCTTCACCTTCTCTTTGCCACCAGTCCCTTTGCAGTTACCACAGACGACATTTTTGTTGGCAGCAAATTTAACGGTCTTGCCCTTGTATAGGTCTTCGAGGCTGACGGTATACTTGGACTCCTCGTCAGGGCCACGTCGGGGTCTTCTGGGGCCACCTCCAGGACCACCCATGCCACCGCCCATGCCACCCATGCCTCCCATGCCTCCCATGCCGCCGCCCACTCCCATTCCGAACATCTGTGCTAGGATATCATTGATGTCCACCTCTTCACCCATACCTCCTCCTCGTGTAGGGTCGAATGCAGCCATGCCATGCTTGTCGTAAAGAGCACGCTTATCCTCATCTCGCAGAATCTCGTACGCCTGCGTGACGGTCTTGAACTTGACTTCGGACTCTGCTCGCTGGTCTTCGGGAACTTTGTCAGGGTGATGTTGAAGCGCAAGCTAATGAAAGATAGACGAGTCAGTATATCTTCGAAAGAGTCGGACGAATAAATCTGTGGGGACGATTTAATTACCTTTCGGTATGCCTTCTTTATGTCATTTTGGCTTGCGCTCTTGTCGACGCCAAGAAGCTCTGGGAGATACGGAGTCAGCAATGAGTTCTAAGTAATGATCGGGAGGAGTATGCCACTTACCGTACAATTCGATATCATCGCCATCTGAACTTGATCCTGGTGTAGCCATGATCAAGAATCCAAAGTATAATGAAAAGGATTGGTTGGTGTTTCTTTTGGAAACTTTGAAGATTCCAGATTATGGCGTAGAAGTAAAGTGGATTTCAGGGTAGGAAAATATTTGGCGGGGCAGTAGTTCGTAGTTGCGTGCCTTCCACTTCTTCTTACTTTAAGGAAAAGTTCCCCCCGTTATCTAGGTACCTGTACCTAGATGGCTTACAAAGATTTTTGGGGATCCTGATTCGCCTTAAAAACTAAATTTTCTAGAACTTTTACGCCAACTAGCAGACGGTGATCTAGAGAATGAAGAAAATTTCAAGAAAGAAATTTGCAAGGCTGAGTCCTAGGCAGGTAGCATAACAATTTGTCTATCTACCGGCGTTATCAATTCACTTGCACCCTTTGAGGCACTACGTAATTTAGTGTCTAGGCAAACCCGTGCATGTACCATATACCCAAAATCCTTCGTCCGTAACGGTCGAATTTGATGTTACCAATACTCTGGGCGCGTGAAACACCCTGCATCCGAGCCTTCAAAGGGACTTACGCCCTCACTGCCCCACCTAAGGAAACCCCAACACGATTACTAATACTTTTCTTAGTAGCATACACTACATATGTACATATATGAAGTATATTTATTACCATGGTTGCCATGGCTACTACGGTTACAAGAACTCTCAAGTTCGCGCTTCTACCGCCGTGCTATGATGCGTTGGAAATTTGGAAAAGTAGCTGGGTAGATAAATTTTGGATTGCAACACAATTGTACATGGTGGAGATGTCGGTATTGAAAGACCAGGATATACCTAGTATTAATATTATGTAATACATATACATCCACTTAGATCATGTAGAGATGAATTCAAATGTTAAAACAACTTCATTCAATACCTGTAGGAAACAATCACAGCGATTTCCTAATTACATCTGTTCTTATGATTAAAGCCGGCTAGGACGTCGATCGTCTCCGGCCAAGGTTAGCCAATAGGGTTGTCGATATGGTAGGATAAGAAACCGAATGAGACAGACGATACGTCGTTGGCTGGAAGAGTGTTCAACGACTGAGGCGGTTCTATCAGAAATACGAGATGCTCGACCGGAATCCAAGACTTGCTGATTTGTGACCCGGCGATTTACCGCAGTCATGCCGCCATGGGATAGCAAGGCTCCAAGCATTGATAGAGCGTCGAATACGCCCGCAGATGGACAATATCCGACGACACCGATGGATGAGTTAAGGCTTCCTATAACTAGGTTTCTACGTCCAAACCAGTAGCAGGAAACCTCGAATTTAAACAGAAGTAGGAGTAAAGTTATTCCTCAGTTTTCATACAAATAACACCTACCTACATAGCATAGAAGCTTCCAATATTGGAAGTTTAGAGATCTCAGAAATGTTATAAAATCAGCTGAGAAAAATCTATTAATAATATATCAACAACCGTGTCAGGGAGACTTAATCTATCTTGATCTGGTCTTTCTTCCATGTCAAAAAAGTTACGGGAAACTGAGCCGCCGCAAACCCTATCAATATCTTCATCTGTAAGTTGAAACCCTTCGCAAACAGGACTCGTACCGTGTCCCGGAGATCACCAGACAGTGAGTTAATCGTGTCTGGTCGCCTAAAAACCAGGGCGGTTTCTTCGGGGCTCAGTACGCCCAACATGGCACTGCGAAGCCAGGTGTTTGCAACAGCCGTCACTATTGCCAGCGCGGTGGCCCCTCCCATGAACCGGAACTGAATGATCGAAGCGGTTCCGACAGCTATGAACGGTCAGCAGAGTAGAACACCATTTGGCGAGGTTAGGTCGCTTACATAGATCCCGCTTTTCCGTCGCATACGGCATCATAAGCGTTGTTACAGCGATGGCAGCTCCTACTCCTAGGCCCAAGACCGCCTCGATTCCATACATGGCGCTATATCCTGGACTTTCGGGAGATCCTGTGGATAAGAGGACGACACCAACCAGCTGCATCACAGTTGCTACCAGGGCCAGATATACTGGGGCTAGTCTCCGTTTTGCGATGACCATGGCTACCAACATAGCGCCGATCTCCATGGCGAGCGTGTACGGGATCAAATGGACGCCGGCGCCGAGCGCGCTAATTCCTATGGCGGCCTGCGAGAAGACTGGTATCTGGATCATGCAGGTGGTGGAGATTGCTCCGCTAAGAAAGGCGTTGATGATGAGACCCATAGCAACCCGGTTTTGAAAGAAGCGCCACGGGAAAACGGGCTCTTGCGACTGCGTGGACGTCGTGACATAGTACTGTGAGAAGATGAAAATAATCCATAGGGGCCCGGACAGACATAACGGGGTCAGGACTGAACTCGATCTCCAGGGATTCAGGTTCGCCGCCTCCTCTAAGCCGGTGAGGTGCATGGTCATCGCCGCAAGGAGCAGGAAAGCCCCGAGAAAATCGATCTGGTTGATTGATGATCTGCGCTGAGAGGGACGCTTTTGATTGGGGAAATGGTTAGGCATGGAGACTGCGACGAGGAGCATGCAAACAACCCCAGCAGGTACACTGGAAGGTGGTTAGCGATGCGATCCCTCCGGACCGTTTCCGGCACCCGGGAGAGTCGACCCACTTAAGCAGAAAGACCCAAATCCATGATGAACGATCGTTAATAACGCCGCCGACGATCGGTCCCAGTGTCATACTGCACGCGTACAACACCGTCAGGATCGTATAATGAAACGTATATTTGGCAGGTGGAACCATCTCGAAAATAATAACCATTACGATCGAATAGACTCCACATCCACCTATGCCTTGAAAGGCGCGACAAATAATACTACGCGGTAGAGTTAAGATACGAGCAAGTAAGAAGACATCTACCAGGGTCACATACAGCTGGACCATGGTCTGGGCAGCGACACAGCCTCCCGAAAATGCTGTGAAGACAAACATGGACAGGAGAAGCATGGTCTTTCGGCCGAATAAGTCACTTAATTTGGCGACGATAATCATGAAGCTCGTATATGTCAACAGATACGCTGTGACGACCCAGCTGCTCTGGCTAAACCCTTTGAGGTCATCGGTGATAGACACTAGAGATGTGCTCACGATCGATATCTCGAGATTGACAAGGAAGGTTGCCATGTAGATCCTCGTTGTCGTTAATGTCAAGGCATGCCGCTGGGAGAGAAGGACATAGGACCCACCCAAACGCCAGAGTGTAAAGCCTCCATCCTGTGAGGTAATATGAGGCCTCTACATCCTCATCAGACGATGCACTGGTCTCCGCCGGCGCCGAAGATACAGCCCGCCCGTCCAGCTCCAACTCTATTCCTGCAATGGCCGACAGGCCCTTTTGGCTGTTGTCGGAGATCATGAAGGGCCGCCGAAGATATCAATAGAGGAGTAGAGTATGGGTTTCGTAGGGCTGAATCGAGCGCCGCGTCACCTCAGAAGTTCGACATGGAGGGTCGGGGTGAGGTAATATGGACGCGGGTGATGCCATGAAGTGAGGGAGAGCGGAATAATTCGCGTTCTTGGCGGGTACCTCGGTATCTTGATGTGGGTGTCTGACCAACGTAAGTCAATCTATGTAATGGAACGTCGGAGACTGTCATGAGACATACATACTGTAAGTTGGAAGAAACTTATTATGGGCCTATAGTGGATTTTCCAACGCGCGAAGAATGCCAGGTGATAACGCTGGATCTTCTTTGTTCTTCGTGTTTTAGCGATATTAGTACGACACCAAAAGTTTGCCGCCTCCTGATTGATATGGGCAGGATTGGCGGTCTACTTTCGATTAGAAAGGATTTTACCTAGGATCTACCTATATATCTTATTAACATTGAGATCTTGGTAAGTACTTTAACTTCTTAGAATTATTCTCTAATTTCTATCGCCTCTTGCGACTCTTTCTCATTAGAGACATTTAGGCGGGTAGGAAATGCCAGCCCTATACTAATCGCCCGAGCTACAGTAAATCCTCCGAACGAACTCGTGTCTCGGGTATTATCTCCTTCATATGCGACCATCCTTCTTCCCGTGGCTGATAGTGGATTCTTCGAGTTTTGGGTCTGCGCTACCAGATAAGTTGGTACTCGTCTCGTCGACTGTGATACGTCGAAGGGAAATCTCGGTGTCGATGCCTTGCCTACTGGGTAATCTGAAATGGCCTGTCTGTATCATGCCTGATTCCATACCCAGAAGCAAGTTTCTAATGTAGGGGATGCACACTGTGATGATGCTGAGCGCCTGAACAAATACCGTGGTCAGGAGGTATTTCCAAATGTGAAAAGTCCGGTCAACAATGTGCGACTTTAAGATTTGGGCTTCGTAGAACTGTGCCACGAAAGCTCCGATGACTCTTCCCGATATTAGCTACCTAACGAGCGCGTCGAAGATCCGAGAACGTTTAGAATACGTACATGATACGAACGGCGAAGCAGCTGATCACTATGGCCTTGCGTCTTTTTTTCATCGTCAGGGGATAGACTACGAGGACAGGAAAGAGAATCAGAGCGCCTTCAATCACGATATTCACTGCGGCGAATACCTCCCAAAAAGAGAGTTGGTCGATGCATTGAGTCCCCAAGATCCCCCACACAGAGGGCGAGGCACAAGGGAAGGCGGCGACGAAGAAAGACGAGATGCAAAATAGGGTCATCAAGACCGCCAAGGCATAGATAAATCTCAGGTGGAAAAAGTCCGGGGTGATCTCGTGGAAAAAGATGAGAACCGAGGCTTGCACAGAGCTCGAGACCAGAACAAGCAGAATATTCGCAGAATAAACTCCTTTTTGCAAGGTCTCTAGCTGATTTGTCGACAATGTGTCCTGATGCCTCCCTATTCCGTTAGGTACAGCAACGGACATCGAGACTGTGAAGCCAATGCTGAAGACCTAGATAGAAGGACTGTGATTAGCATGCCCTTTCTATATATGTTAGAATGATGTTCGGTCCTTACCGTAGCAAAAAACAGTACGGCATCTTCCCTGTTTCGCCTTCCAGGTATAATAGACGACAAAGTAAACTTGACACCGACGGCGATGACAACCGCAGCTTCCATGATCCAGGTCAGCAAGCTGACTACCGGACCAAGGTTAGAAGCCGTGATCGCTTCACGCTTGTCGATTTCCATCTTTTCCCCACGCGGGCAGACACTTTAGCGTGTGCTCTAGCGTTGGGAGTGGGGAAAACAATCGGTATAGAGCAAGGGCAGAAGGAACAAGGGCCGGGCAAGAGACCCGAGGGATCCGCGACTTGCTAAATATGGTACCTACCCCTATCTGCTAGGTATGTATTGTACATCATCATGCTTCGAACCCTGAGGCGGTTACATGTATAGCAAGGCTGTTGCGGCTGTTGCGGCTTGCCTTCACACACTTGGCGACACCCCATAAGGATGAACCGTCTGTCTCACGTTGCTTTTTCTTGGGCGTATGGGGGTAGCACGGTAAATAATGAAATTTCATTAGGAAAAATTTTGCGAGGCGAGTAAGATGCATACCTCGGTACCTAGGTACGTATGAGACATCTCAAATGCCGGGATTATGTAGGTAATAGTTTAAGTCGATCTTCTATGCCTTGCATCATGCAGTCAGATTCACCTTACCACCGATGGTGCTCTTACAGCCTTGTACAGTATCGTGTACGTTATCCTTAATTGAATCGTCGAGTGCGAAATGCGTGGCATTGCAGATATAACTAAATATGAGTTTCAAACGAGTTAAGGAGGGTAGGAGTGCTGTATCGGTATTCTACTGCCAGATGGAAATTTAGGTTCAGTTTCTGTCAGTACCTTCCGAGTTCTACCTGATCTACTTCTTCTCTGTCGTACACACTGTCTGGAAGTGGCTGTAGCCGGTGAGAGGCTTCCCCCTAGCGTTGTAGTTCCTTCCGTTGATAATGAATGGCTTCGCATCATTGGACCTTAATTTCGCCCCCATGCATGGAATCAAACCTCATGGACGCGTAAAAACGTAAAAACCCCTCACGTTGGTTACACAGCGTCGACTCCTTCAGACGAATTGCTTTTCTCTATGGTTCGCAAATTAAATATTAAGGTTTAGGGGGTGCATGAAACTTGAAGTCGACGGGTACTTCACGCGGCCCTCTCAATATCTTCGCTACATATCCATGTCTTCATTCTTCTTTACTTCTAGGTACTGCTAGTGTCGTACCGGCATCAATATAGATCTTCGAAAGCTTCCGCAGCATAAGCCCCCGAGAGTCCAATGAACGTCTCTTCTAAAACGTCTAACGATGGTAGGCAAGCCGCGTTTGAAGCGACTTTCCACGAGATCCATGGCTCTACCTATTTGGAGAGAGATGCACGTGGGCTTGCACGGCTCGGAAAGTCGCAGGTGCTAAAGGTAGGTATCTATCTAATATCTCAGCCACAATTCATCACATAGCAGTGCAAGATGCTCGATGGACACTGGCAACTACACCGACGCGGGCTGAGGGTTATTGTGTTTTTATAGCGTCGATTTGGATTTCTTTCCATTTTTGGTTTCAGCTGTTGCATCCTCGCTACGTGGGAGACGGCATTGGCGTAGGTCATGAACGGTTCATCATATTCCCGGAGTGCTACTCTGCTAACATCGACATATTTAGACTCTTCACAGAAGCATTCGAAAAGTAAGCGTTTGAGTTAAAGTCATGGGGAGTGAAGAATTATCGTGAACTAACTGTTGGATTACACAGTGGTGGACCAGCCGCTTTAGCGTGGGGGTTCCCCATCGCCTGGTTGTGTTCAATGTCCGTTTACCTGTGCTTAGCAGAGATGGCGTCCATGTAAGATCTTCTAAGTGGCTTGGCATTTCTAGGCAATGAACTAACCTTACACACCTAGCGCACCCATCTCCGGCGGACAATATTTTTGGGTCGCGATACTGGCGCCTCGGAAATATAAGCGCTTTTGTGGCTACCTGACAGGTCTCCCATGTCTAGCTGCATTGCCACTTTTGAACCTAGCACTAACGGTTCGTAGGTTGGCTCACGTCACTTGCCTGGATCGCCACCCTCGCCGTGGGCAGTATCTTCACGGGCACAATCATTCAGGGGCTCATCATCTTGAACTATCCGGACTATGAACCGAAGAACTTTCATGGAGCATTCCTCGCTTGGGCCGTAATTGCCGTAGCTATTTTTGTCAACACTGTAATCGCCGGGCTCTTGCCGGTCCTAGAAGGGGTTATCCTTTTCATACATGTTCTGGGGTTCATCGCGATACTCGTCACACTAGTGTACCTATCGCCGCACGGTACCGCTGATGATGTCTTTTTCCGGTCTCTGAATGAAGGCAATTGGCCAACCCAAGGCCTTTCGTTTTGCGTAGGGTTCATCGGTAACGTGGCTACCTTCGTCGGTAAGTGTTCTCACCTCTTGGGGAAAATGAAGCTAGGTGTAACTTACCACTATTCCTGTATGATAGGAGCCGATGCGGCTATTCATGTAAGTAGTCATCTCAATGTGACTTTGAAATCGATTACTGATTCCGGTCTCCTTGAGTAGATGGCGGAAGAGATAGAAAATGCGGCCATGAACGTGCCTCGAGCCATCGTCACCACTGTTCTTCTGAATGGAAGTACGGGATGGGCCATGGTGCTTGCTGTACTCTTTTGTCTTGGCGATATTGATTCTGTCATTGTATGCTTTCCCATGCCCCCCATTCCCCCTTCTCCCCCGCCAACCTTTTTCTCATCCGTGCTACAGAACTCTCCCACTGGCTATCCATTCATACAAGTCTTTTACAATGGGACCGGCAGAGCTGGGGCTACGGTTATGACGGTGGTCGTTGTCGCAATAATTTGGTGTGCCGTTATCGGTTTCGCTGCCACAGCCAGCCGGATGACATGGTCATTTGCAAGAGATCACGGCCTGCCGTTTCATCGGTTTATCCGAAAGGTCTGTCCGGATTTCCTTTCTTTACGCTGACCCTAAGAATATGACTGATACCTGGCGGGCTATAGGTCGACCCGCGTACTCGAGTTCCGATAGTAGCAGTCGTTGTGGTGACCGTCATCCCGTGTTTGCTGAACCTGATCTATATTGGCTCGTCGACTGCATTCAATGATGTCATATCCATGTCGGTATCAGGTCTCTACGCATCCTACCTTCTCCCATGCAGCTTCCTCCTCTGGCGCCGTGTCACCGGACAAATTAAGCCGCATCGACCGAGCGAAGATCGCAGCGCAGAAATACCTATCGAGCGAGACAGAGATCCCAATACGCTCAGCCCGATGGCTGTCGAAGATCACGGCGACTCTAACGTCTTACTTGAAGAGCCAGAATTGGAATGGGGCCCTTGGCGAATACCAGGGCTACTGGGTACCCTAAACAACTGTTTTGCCTGCCTTTTCTGTGTCTGGGTTCTCTTTTGGGACTTCTGGCCACCAGCCACACCCGTGACTGGTGAAAGCATGAATTACAGCGTCCTAGTGACAGGCTCGGTCATTATTTTCGCGATCGCGCGCTACTTCCTAGGAGGTAAGGTGGGATATAGAGGTCCGTTGGTAGATTACGATGTGAAAGGTTTCACCGTTCGTCGCAATTGAAAGGAGGGTACCTATGTTTCTTGGAAGTACTGGACCTAGAGAATACCTAGGTACCCAGACTTGCGAGGATCTCTGTAGATAAATCCCCTGCGACCCCTATTCTGACACATAACTATCAGCCATCGCCCTGTCTGCGAAAGTCTACGGTAGACTCCTTAGGGACTTGTTAAATTGATGAAAGATAATATCGTATTTTCATGTACGAACTTGTGCGAATGTCATATCTCAACAGCCAAATGATTCAAACGTCCAATTCCGAAGGAAAAGGAAGAAAACAGGTCGAACTCCTCGATCATAATCAATTTCCTGCACTTCCCGAACTAGCAAAAGACATCAAATGCTAATTTCCATGGATAGGTAATAACTGAACTCAAAGTTTGAATTTGGAAGGAGACGGAGGGAGATCCAGTCTCTGTGGGCGGCCCTTGGCGAACCAATCCTGAAGTCGACGGGTGAAAGGTTCATTGAAGCCACTATATTGGGGAATTCCGTCGTCCGACGGCACATTCCACCAGACAGCTTTATCTCCAATAAAGATGTGCTCCTTGACCGGTGGAATCGAGCCAGAGATATATTCGTCGTCAACCAGGCCCATGGCGATACTAGTCCCGTCTGGTCGGCAGTGATATTTCATGAAAAGAGGTGTGCCGCAACGAGGACACCACCCGCGTATCGCGATATCAGAGTAGTAAGTCAGCTTGATACCCTCTGACAGGTCTCCGAGCAACTGCTTTGTGCCAGAAGACGTAACCATAGACCATTGAATGAAATCATTATGGAACAACCCGAATGTGAGGAAAGGGTTTGAGGAAGCCTTGCGGCATTCTCGACAATGGCAGAGGGTAATCGATTCAGGTAGCATCTTGCTTTCGAGATGGATCATGCCGCATAGACATGAACCACGCAGGACGATGGGAAAAGGTCCCTCAGAGGACGGCTTAGGAGTAGAATCCATCGCTCAAAAAAATCAAAAAAAAACAGATACTAGTTGGATAAGCCGAGTGGCGATCAGAGTGAAACGGGATTGCCATTGTGTCTTGCTCAGAGGATTTCCTCGCTTTAATAGTCATTGGGGAGACTCAACATTTGGCGTTTGCAGCATAGCATTGAAGGCACCTATCCATATGCCATCGCAGCTTACAGATTCTCTACGTCCATACCGGTGATTCTCGTACTGTGTGACACAGCATCAGATAACCGAAGAAGGTGACTATCAATGCTCCGGTATAATATACCTACAGGTAGGTTTAAGCGAATGGCAGCCTGGGACTTGTATATAAAATTTATATTATTCTTTTATTAAGCAGCAGATCAATTCCCCCACTTTCTTACCCTCAGAATCCTTACAACTCCAAATACAACTCTCAATCCAAAGTATACCGCATTTCGTCCCCGCCGATGAGGCTTCATTCTCACCTACCCTGTCGTCTAACAACCATCATTCCCACAACGGATCTTATTATCGCATAATGGGGTTACCCAATACGATCCCGTCTCCCTTATCTACGCTGATACCCTTCATCACACGGGAAGAGGCAGCGGAACTGGCGTACCCACCTAACGCCCTTCCAGGTGCTCGCGACGTAGATGGCTTTTATGGTCGCATGCGAGTCTACGAATGGGGTCCAGAGGAAGGAAAGAAAGTCCTATTTGTTCACGGAGATGCCACTCCTTGCCTGATATTCTCCAAAATTGCCCAAGGGATGGTTGATGCTGGATACCGAGTGATGCTTTTTGGTAAGCGGCCTGATGGGAGTCACGACCACGGAGACTGGGTGAAACTTATTAATCAACTTGTTATTAGATCTCTGGGGCCGAGGATACAGCGATACCCCACTGGAGTGTAGACACGACGATCGTTTGTTTGCATCCCAGATATCTTCGGTCCTCTTGTCATCGCCTATCTCTTGGACGGGGAACGGCAACACCTTCTCCATCGTCGCGTTTTCCCTGGGCGGTCCCATCGCCATGACATTTGCTAACGCGTTCTCGTCATCGATTCAATCGGTGGTGCTCCTCGGCCCAGCAGGCATGATGCGCAAACTACCGAAAGGCTACGATATACCAACCCTACTTGATGCCGGTATCGCTTCATCGAACGAAGAGCGTTATGAAAATGTCCGAGAAATCCTCGGAGTGAGTCCTAAGAGCACAATTCTGGACGTGCAAAGAGAAAAGCAGGAAGATCCTGGGGTAGAAGAGTGCCCCGACCGTGTAGAGAAGACGTACGATATGCAAGAGATCCTCCAGTGGCAGTTCGACTATCATCAAGGCCACGTCCATTCGTTCCAGGATACCATGCGGTATGGTCCGCTGATGAATCAGGAGGAGACGTGGGCGAGGTTTTGCAACATTCTTAGCGGTCATAGATGTCCGGAAAGCCCCCTATTTAATACCAGGTTGCTACTCATCTTTGGCGAAGACGATGATATTGTGGTTGGGAAGGAGTTGCTTCACGATCTCGAGGTTTACATGGCACCTGATAAAATGGAGGCTGAATACGTGCCTGGAGGGCATGGATTCCCGTATCCAAACAGTGAGAAGATCACCCAGATTATTCTCTCGTTTTGGGGATCCAAAGCTTCCAAATCCAAAGCTACCGCTACTACTCTACCTAATGATCTTTCGAAATCTGAAAATATCATAAAAGATTCGTAGTTAATGATATCGCGTCCGGTCTTTCAAGGGGAGGGGAGGGGATATACCTAGAGGTCTGCTGAAGGACCTGGCGGGACAGGCACGCCTTGATATTGTAAAACTGTCTTTAAGTTCATAGAATACTACGCTTCACAAGCTCACTCATAGCTTAGGTTAGATTCGAATAAATGTTTTCCAGTTTAGAAGCTCCTATTTCGAGTCGCGCCAATTTGTCAAAGAATGCTCAACAAGGATGCGTAATCATATTGATATGTACAGAGGGCGCATTCAAAACATTTTGCCATAGGTAGATCAACACCAGCTGGCATTGAATATAAGTGCAGCCGTCTCACAGCTGTAACCCCTGTGCTGACATTTGGCCTGCAGGTGTGACCTACTTTAATGCCAGCTGTAGACGATCTACCTATGGTAAAAAGTTTTGAATGCGTCCTCTGTAGATACGGATAATATCTCAGATAGCAATTATTTTCTAGGATAAATAATCAATGAATACTACCTAGGTAGGTAACCAGTTGACACTAATAATCATAGCGTTTGTTCTGTTGAAGCGATTCGCAATCTTAAAATCGATTTCGCTTAGTCATTTTGCTCCACCACCCGGCTGCCAGGTGGTATCCCCGTTACGTAATACTTTCTAGGGATCCATAAGTTTTGAAGGTTGAGAGTCTGTCGTCTGTGCTGATTAGGTGGGTCCACACTGTCCGACCCAAGTGTATAAATACCCTTCTTCCCCCCAAACTTTTGCAATTCTTTTCCTTCCTTTCTTCTTCATACTTACCTTGTTCAGGCAACCCTCGCTCAAGCATGAGGGCTGCCAAGGGGGGAGACCTGCATTGCACAGCGCGGAGTCGACCCTTTTCTATTATCCCTCGTGGATCGTAGTGAGCGCAATTTTTGATCTCATAAAACTTTGTTTTCATTATGATCGATGCCTTGATGCATCGCCATAAGGAAGATATTTGGTGTTTTAAGCATCGCTACATGCCGACTGCCATACAGTACCTACATCGTATTTTTTTCTATCGCAATTCAACAGCGATGGCGAAAATTACATATTATAATAGCTAAGCTTCAATTTCAATCAGGTCTTCTAAATCGCAAGCACCTTGCCAGCTTCCTTGGCGGATTGGATGCCTAATTGGTTTCCGATGAACTGCACGAAAAGGAAGAGAGCCATCCATATCGACCAAATCAACTAACCTTCTGAAAGACACTGAGCAAGCAACCGTTCTATCAAAGAAATCATATGCGCTAACACTTTCGAGAATCACACCTCGTCAACGACCTCTTGTCGTCAATGAAGCGATAGGAATATAAGGCGACTAAAGTAAGCTCTCGCCATGGTCTCGCCTACACCCCCCTGTAATGGTGCGTGTGGAGCTACCCACAGTTGACCCAGCGCCGCGGTTCCTCCCGCCAGGTGATCCTGACCCAGGTACAAGACATTGGTGTGATCACCACAGCGAGTAAGCTGTCATCAACAAGGCAATTCGTTTGACTATGGTAGTGATAGGTATATTGTTTTTTTTTTTTTTAATATTTAAGTTATTCTATCGATGTATTTTGGATATTATTTCCAGGTTTACTGTTGTCTACCTACTTTTTGAGCATCCAGACACTTACCATATCCGTTCCCCTTCCACTCTCGTAAGACCGCGGCGGCTTGAAGTACGAGGTCCTTTTAAATTTTCCGTTCAATGGCTCACCTTGTTCCCCGGGTTCGCTGATGATTCCATCTTCGCCTCGCGCTAGAATGTTCCAATGCACACCACTGAGCCCCCATGGAGGGCCAATATCGTTTAGGTCCTTGTAGAGAGGGAATTCAAGGCACACTAGTATGCCATCTGGGGCGAGCAGCTCGCTCATACGATGAGCCCAGTCTTTTCGCATTACTGGAAGGAGGGCGCAAAGAAACTAGGTGTAGTTACGAGACGAGATGAGTATCAGTTCAATAAGACGACAACTTGATGTACAAAATACGCGACTTACAGTGTAGTCGTAAATAATGTCAAACCCGGTGGTATCCCCTTCGAAACACAGCTTTTCCCAATCTCGTTTGAAGAAGTCGCCTGCAATAATCTGAACACACCCAGTCATCGAATGGGTATACTTTGATCCAAAGTTCAGTTCACTTGGGTTGGAAAGTTGAGATGTCGTGAACTCTCGGGCAACTTCGGCTCCCCGTTCGGATACTTCGAGGCCACAGACATCAAATCCGTGTAGAGCTAACATAGCTACATCGTATCCTTTCCCACATCCCTAAATGTTAGTTAATGAAGACAATTCCATTAGTTTTGGATAAATGGTAGGTAGCTGATGAATGACAATAAATAAATGGAAATGGCATACAGGAACCAGCACTCTAAGACGCCTTCCGTCCCGACGAGGTAGCGTGGCTGACTCGATAAAGTCAATCAGAGCAGGTGATGGCTTGCCGCGGTCCCAAAAGTCCGTCTGGCCAGACTCCCATAGCTCTGACCATCCCTGGCTCTGTTGTTCGCGGGATCTAGCACGACCAAGACCAATACAAAGTTAGGGACCTTCTTCGCTAATTATAACGATACAGAAAGAAGGGTGGCTTAGGCTAACCGGTTGGCGAAATGTGTAGTGAGATATCCATGAGCGCCGGTCTTAGGGTTTGCCATGATGTCTTTCTCGTATAATTTTTGAGATGGCTGGTCTTCTTTCATGAAGATCTCTCTATTAAGATGACTCTTCAGCACGTGAAAATAGAATTACATAGATTTATTTTGTCGTTCGCTTTGCTATTAATAAGTAGAGACAGAAGATAAATGATTACATCCGGATAGCTTTGCAAGGGTACCTGGGGAATGAGCCTCAATGAGACAGTGATGAGGTTACGAAAAACCTATGTACACTTAGGTATCTCGCTACGAACGTTCAGACCAAAAATTTAGACTATGCGCAGCCGGCACTAATAGCTGAAAGCCGTGTAAACTAGAATATCCTCTCACCGTGTACCGTTTTTATTTAGTAGTTAAGCTCTTTGAATAGGCTTCAGTTATAGCGATTACCCACTATAGTTTAGTGAATAAGTAACCATCAGGTAGCGGTTTCAGCTTAAACCTAATACAGTATGAAGTATGTATATAGGTACTTATCTAATCGCGCACTGGGCTACGACAAGATCTATTTTTAGACTCCCGTCGCGTATTATTTAATCGACTCCGGGAATGCTTTTCTATTCCCATACCTCGCCCAAAAATAGTCTTTGACTCATGCCATAATATTACCAGGTAACATATATCTTCTACTTTTCTCATATTCTATCGAGTATTTAAATAGACACGATGTTCATCCTTATCTTGAATGTTTGGCATTATGATCTACCAATCTTTCCTCTCACCGAACAGAAATACAACATACCCTACATACCCTACATACCACAACTTGCACAAGTTACAACTTCACGTCTCTACACTTTTCTTCCACCACGATATAAATCATGAACGCGGCTCAGGCTTCCTTTCCAGATGGTCTTAGTACCATGTCTTTGTATATTAATGAATTAATTTTTATTTGCGCACTTAACTTTATCAAGGGGAATCTTAGCAAGGAATTCTTGAAAGAAAAATGGACCGATTCCCTCGTAGACGCCATCGAAGCATCTAGTGTTTCCCCCGAAAATACAATAAATGTTCAACTTTTACAGCCGCTGTATTCTAAAGAGCATTCTACCCGTTACATAGGACAGTCCCCGAATCATGTAGGACAGTTCGTTAGCCATTCAGGATATTGCTCTTGGTTCTCAATCAAACTTCTCAATGTGCTATGGGACATGCTTTGTAAGTCACTCAACAACAAGCGACTTATTTACCTATCTAAGTATGACTAACATAAATACCCGTGTATATAGTCGGTAGGACTCACGGCTCTTCTCCATGGCAAGACGGTAAGCAATATGGCCCTCCCACAATATGCTAGGAAACAAGATTCCTGAATGAGCGTTTCTCAATAAATGCTAACATAAATATCGCAGTTATTAGGTTTGTTGAACCTCACGTAAACAATGGCACCGCCGCCGACATGGCCTATCTCAACGCCATCCACCGTAAAATGATCCGGGACCCGATGAATGCGGAGAAAATCATCCTTACATATCTTGGAAAGTTCTTTCCAATGGAGATTGCGATACCAAAACTCATCACTCTGGCCCCTGAAGCTGATACATGAACGATTTTGGATGCTGATCTGGAGGAAATATTCGCTACAGCCTTCAGAATCAGGTGTGCAGGTTATTGAATGTCGTTCTGGTGCAGGTAGCAGGTAGCAGGGGCATATCAGGGTCAGTTTGATATGTCAGGTTACGATATAGGTTAAAGCTACTCCATAGCACGGATCTAATAGGGTGTTCTCATCAATCAAATTCAATATTATGCAACAGTTGTAAGGTGCCCGATCTCTCGCAGGTTTAATAGTATGATCAATTGAATAAAGCTCGAACAAACATATCCACACTCAGCTGATGCAATCAAGAAACCAGTAGGCAAGTAGGTAGACACGGTAACTCTATGATTGTATTAGTTCATAATAGAAACTATGGAATGGGGTATATCGAATGGTGAGTCTATAACGTTCTATCGTCTATCGTCTATGCGGCCGCTCATTGCCTATGAACACAAAATCCCTACACTAGTCTACAAAACTCCATAGTGCTCTAGCACTCTGAATAAAATCATGGATGATACCGTATAACTCATAGGTCATGGTTGAGGTAAAACAATGCCAATTAGATACCCCCAGCACCACACCGACAATCTTCCGTAACCCACCCATCAAGCCTCTAAAACCTCGAAATATCCCTCCCGAATATCCACGAGATAGCCCAATAGAAGGGCACAGTAATCTTATTCCGTATGCTCATGCTCCTAGTCAGGTACGCCGTGCGCCAGAGGACCCAAGCCATCCATCCCTTCATCTCATCGATGTTGCTCTGGTGGATCGCGGTCCAGTTCCCTAGATAGGTCATAGTGCCTAAATTCTTGAACTTAAAGGGTTTCTGCTCCATGTCGCCCTTGTTAAGCCGCTTCGCGAGATACGCCGCTTGTTGGCTGGCGACCTGAGCGGTGGCAGGCAGTGCGACTCCCGAGACCATTGTACAATCGCCGATGGCGTATACGTCGGGTAGTAAGGTGGCTTTTGCCTGTTGGGCTTCCGGCGACGCTGACGCTGCGTCGTGGGGTATTATGTTCACGCGAAGGCCGTTTTCGGCTGTGATGATGCCGCCTGTCTTCGGGTTTCTATGTAGCTGCATCTCGGTATCCGAACCGGGCAGCTTGAAGCTCTTGGCCTCTAATTTCTGGATCAGGGGGTTCTGCATGAGCCCCGTGCTCCACACAACGATGCCGGCGCCAACCTCCTCGTCGCCATACTCTTTAATCTTCAATTTCAGACAACCCTCGCATTCCTCATCAAGCCGGATTCGGGTTAAGTGATGCTCCGTCTTGACTTTGATACCCTCCCTATTGAACCGCTCCATGGCATAATCCGCCAAGGTCTTGTCGAACATTGGGAGTACCTTGGGCGCAACATCATACACGGTGATGTTAACGAATTTCATCAGCTCTGGGTAGATCTTCACGAGGTCGTCGCGTATTAAGTCGTGAAGCTCAGCAGCGAACTCGATACCAGTCGGTCCGCCACCTACGATAGCGAAATGCAAGAGCTTCTTCCGGTCATTTTCTGACGTAATTGGTAGTGCGGCTTTCTCGAAGCTCTGAAGGATCTTTATCCGGATCTTACGGGCATCCCCGACATCTCTTAAGAAGTTGGCATGCTCACGCACTCCCTCGATGCCAAAAGTCTGGCTGTACGAGCCGACTGCGATGATCAATTTATCGTATTCGACGTCGAATAGTTCTCCCTTCTGTCGGTTGCCATCAAGACGATGTTTCATGATGAGCCGCGTCCTCGAGGCAAGACCGTCAGTGATATTCGCTTCTACACGAATGACTTTCCTCGCGAAATCGATATCGTCGGCCCACCCCTGATGGAACTTATCCGGACCAAGTCTCCGGACTGGCTCAAGCACTGCCCTGAATTCTAACGTTCCGACTGCTGTACCGGCGAGTAGCGGCGTGAAGACAAAGTAAGAGCGAGGCGAAATCATGATGCGCTCGTATTTATTCGGATCGAGAGCACGTAGACAGCCGTACCCAGCCCAGCCAGACCCCAATATCACCACCCGTTCTTTTTTCCGCCCATCGGTCGTGACCGTACTGGCCATTCGCAGCCCCCGCGAGGCCCATAGCGGATTATCGAAGCCAGAAGAAGTTATGAGTGAGGCTGTTTTTCTAGTTAGCAAACGACGACTTGCTCTGACAGCACCATTCATTTGAGGTGTTGCCATGACAGGTAGATCAATACACTGTACACTGCGAGATTATGAGAAATCTCAAACGAGAAGCCTCGACGTGACGTTGGTGTCTGTACTTCTTAAGGGCTTATGAAATAGAAAAGGTGCACGTTACCTCGAAATGCCAACAAATTGAGGTCAACGGAATGTAAAAGTGACGTCGAAGTGACGAAAAAGAAACGGCTCGGGGTTTCCACTTAACGTGTGTATTCTAGGTCTCTTTAGGCCAAGCGGCGGTTGAGGGTGGATGAGTGAGATGAGGTCTTGGGACCAAAAAACGCCAGTGTCTCAAATCAGATTCCGAGGCTTTTTTTAGCGGGTACCTGCTTACCGGATAAGCCGGTCGCAGCATCTCCCCCGGTCGTCCGTATAGCTCCGGTATCTCGGGGTTTAAGTGGGGCGAATACTCTTCCGGTGACCCACAACATCATTTCGCTAAGTGAAATTTTCACAATGACTCTTACGCCTAGAGTTCTTAAGTGCGAAAAGAATTCGGACTTAACTAATCATTTAGTGAGGCCTTCCGAATTTCTCCTCTCTATCGCAAAGTGTCTAATTAAGGTTAATATGTAAAATGCCTCACGTTAGTAATGAGTCCTCTTCAATTGGATTAAGATGCCGCTTCCAAGGTCTGGCCTGGTAAATCCACTGAGTAAGCGTCTTGTTGGGAAAGGGGGCCGTCCGTGTCTCACTCAATCTTATCTGTGGATCTGATCTAGTCTCACCGCTGATGCGTACACCGAAAGCCTTAGCCGAGGCGGGCATATGGACCGGACTAACTACCTAGGACCTAGGTTATTTTTGTTGAGTCTCTTATAAAATACTGGGAATACCATCTTCTATCGAAAGCATACATACGTGAAGGATGAATTCCCAAAGTTTCAACGATCGTGTGAATGCTTCTCCGCCATCACACGGAGACACTGTAGAAAGTCCCGTTCGAATTGGTGATAAGCCGAGAATGCAGGCTTCCCCCGCACGTCCCCCATCCCCCATCCCCCTATTGGGCGCCATGCTGTACGCCCGACGCCTCTTAACGCCTCTTGATCCATCGATGACGATGTATACCTAGGTAGATACTTCTCTTCTTTGTAAATACGTATTCCTCCCGCCATAGAGTCACAATGGCAGAAAAAGTAGACGTATTGATTTGTGGTGGAGGTTCTGCCGGCCTTTGTGCCGGCGTCTGGCTCGCGCGCTGTGGCGTCTCTTTCCGAATCCTAGAGAAACGGGCTGGAGCCCTCGAGACTGGTCAAGCAGACGGTGTGCAATGTCGGACTGTCGAGATATTCGAGAGTTTCGGGCTTGCGGAGACGCTGCTCAAAGAGGCTTACCACGCCATTGAGGTTGCTTTCTGGGCTCTAGTTACCGATGATAGTGAGTACGGAATCAAGAGGACCAATTATACCGCCGATACGGAACCTGGACTGAGTCACCTACCCCATGTACTCTTGAGCCAAGCTAGGATCAATGAATTGTTGACTCAAGAGATGGAGAGGGCGGCGAAGGGACCGTGTATTGAGTATGGCTATGAGGTTCAGGGGCTAGAGGTTGACAGTGAAAATGTAAGGGATCTTAACGCATATCCTGTTACTGTAAATGCCTCAAAGGATGGATTAGAGAGAGTTTATCGCGCAAAATATGTCCTGGTAAGATGACTCCATGATATTTATATTTCTAAGTAACCCCTGACACCATAGAACAGGGTAGCGATGGGGCTCACAGTGTCATCCGAAAATCACTCGGGTTCAAAATGATCGGAGACTCAAGTGATTCCATTTGGGGCGTCATGGACCTCTATCCGCGAACTACATTCCCCGATATCCGCAAGAAGTGCGTGATTAACTCCAAAGCCGGCAATTTAATGATCATACCGCGTGAAGGAGATTTCCTAGTTCGCTTCTACATCGAGTTGAAAGATGTTGTCGCGAAGGATGTCACGCTCGAGGAACTTCACAACCAGGCCCGTCTCATTTTAGAGCCATACACCTTGGAAGTTGCAGAAACGGTCTGGTGGTCGGCATATGCGATTGGCCAACGCCTCGCCGACCAGTTCCATAAGGACTACCGTGTGTTCCTAAGCGGTGATGCATGTCATACTCATTCCCCTAAGGCAGGTCAGGGGATGAACGTCAGTCTCCAGGACGGTTATAACATCGGCTGGAAGCTATCGGCCGTGCTTCGAAGACAAGCAGTCCCAGAATTACTCGAGACGTACGTCTCGGAGAGACAAAAGATTGCTGGTGAATTGATCGAGTTTGACAGGAACTGGACGAAGCTCTTCTCATCCACGTACCGTCAAGAGCATGGCATCGCGCCAGAGGAGGTTCAGAAGCAATTCAGGTTGGCTGGCCGCTATACCGCAGGCCAGGCGATTCATTATGAGAACTCAATAATCGTCAATGCAGAATTGAGTGACTCTGTCTATGCTACTAGCTTGACTGCTGGAATGAGATTCCCTAGCGCCCAAGTAGTTCGATTAGCCGATGCCCGCACGGTACAGTTAAGCTCAGCTTTAACGACAGATTCCCGGTGGCACGTCGTCGCATTTGCTGGGTATATCAATTCGGAGAATTTGGGGCGGTTGCGGAAAGTAAGAGCTGACTTAACTAGAACCCGTGAAGAATTCTAACCAGAATGGCAGCTTTCAATTGACCTAGGAGCGGTCGTTGACGCCTTCACGCCATCACATGTTGATCGCGACACCATCATAAATCCCATCCTCGTTCTGTCATCAAAGCGAACCGAGATCGAACAAAATTGGATCCCGGACACATTTGCCCCCATCGTGAGCAAGTGGAAGATGAAATGTGAGAAGAAATCTCTCTATCCAAGTATACTTGGCTCTTTGACAGTTACCTACTAACTTTGATCCACATCTCAGCGCTTTTCAAAGTCTTCGTCGACGATGAAGGTTACAATTCACCCCACGGCCACGCGTATGAGAAGTACGGAATAGAGCCGACACGAGGTGCCTTGGTTATCGTTCGACCAGATCAATGTATGTTACCCCTTCTTTTACCCAATCCCGATAAAGTGCTTATATTGGGACAGATATTTCCAAGATATGCTCTCTGTCAGATATCGATGGTGTTATGAACTTTTTCGACAAGTTCATGAAACGGGTAAAGCGTTGAACCAAGTGAGTTTTGGTTCGCTAATCGTACTAATTAGATGCACCTAGTAGCCATAAATTAGGTACTCTAGGGCTGTATTAGTGTTAAACGATTAGCGATCTCTCCGCTAAGATTTTGCTGACTATAGCCCTGGAGCGATTACGATTTAGGGATAATCGCTACAGTCTAGGGAGTTCATCCACTAAAGAAAAACACCTTGCAATGCGAGAGTACGGCGATTCCTAGGCCAGAAGTTTCGCACATCTTAAATCTCCAGGGCTGTTTACGGGCTATCTTCGCACCGCGTGGCATCTTTCTTTAGTGGCTAAGTTCTATGAATTATAGCAGTCATCCACTAAACTCAGCGGACAGATTCACCACATGGGCACCTAAGCATTCCAAGTTACGGGCCATCTAGGTCTCACGTCTTTTATTAGGTGCCTCGGAGCAGCTTAGATCTAGTTGTTTTAGGTACATACTTCAATATTTCAACCAGAATTCTTCATTAGCGAGAATAGTATCTTTATAGAACCATATATCCATAAGACAAATTTTAAATACGAAAATGAATCAATTAGAATTTAGAAATCAATCAAACTTTTATATCCCAACCCAACCCAAACGCCTTCCCTAAAAAACGCGAAATCCGCACTCACCCCCACCCCCCATCTCCTAAGCCCCTAAGAATTAACCTCCGCAAACCAAGTCCTCAGCAACCCCGCCAACGCGCCGGGTAAATCCTCGAGATTATGCACGATAAGATAATACCTAAACGGGAAAGTATCCAGATAAAACTCCGTACGAATCTCATCATTGCCCAGAAACCGGACTTTCTTAAGATTAACCACGCTCTGCTTATCAGAACTTTTCGTCGTGTCGTCCATGATGATGAACACAATCATGATGCGTTCCTCCATCGCTTCGCGGAGCAGGATATTGATGTGTTCGTGAGCCGCGGAGGGGGTGAGGCCGTCGGAGAGGATGAGCGCTAGTTGCCATAGGTCCTCGGAGCCGCGGCTTGTGCTTTGTTGGCGCGCGAGGCGGAAGCGTTCGATTGTTTGTTTGATGAGGAGCTGGATGTCCGTGTAGTCTTGCTGGAACGAGAATTTCTGTAGGACCTTGGCGCCGGCATCGTGGGATGCGAAGGGTTCCGTGAACTCGTGCGCCATGAACACGTTGGCTCCGAAGCCGAGGATGCCGATTTGGCCGACTTCGAGCATAGTCAGAGCGCGTGACACCATGACGAGGGATTCGAGCGCTAATTCGCCGGAGCTAGACTCGCCCATACTCTTGCTATCATCGACGCAGAGCAGGATCTGGTAAGCGCGCTTAGTCGGAATAGCTCTACGCATCCAGATCTTGTCCCTCTTGTAGCTAGAGGCAATGTAGGGAATGATACGCTTGATATTGAGGCGCTTTCCGGTTCGGTAGGATCCAGATAGTTTTGTCGATTGAGACGGTGTCAGAATTAGCCGTAGCTGGGAGGTTAGAGATAGCGAGAGAGGATGAGTTTTGCCTTGGAAAGAGGTCCACTGGTGCATCGCCTGATCAAAATCTCTGAGGTCTGTATTTGGCTCTGACAGGTGAGTAATGGATAATTGTGTGGATGTCTCCAGAATCTCTTCTTCGACTTCTTCTGAAAGTAACTCTCCATCCGTAGGAGGTGTCGTATCTCGGTTGTAAGTACCTTGGTGAGTTGACACTCCGGTAGGCCTATCTTCTTTCTTTGTATCTTGCTGATTTTGATGGTCGAGAGGTTCCGACGTATCCATCTTATCTCCATCAGCGTCGTCCATCTCTATCTCATCCTCAGGGATGATCCGGTCATCTGCAGGTTGATCCTCGTCATCGATTGCCATTGATTCGTCAATTTGTTGTTTCTGTTCCTCATTGGAGGTACCCATCGCTTGAGTATCGGCGGCAGACTCGTCATTCTGAATATGTTGGTACTCTCGAATGGCGGATTCCTGTTCAGCATCTGGCGGTCGTTCTTGGGATTCTTGTTCTTGAGCTTCTTTGATATCCCGCTGCTGTCTATGCCACTTTTCTAGAGCATCTCCAAGAGCCTTAAAAGGTTGAGGTGTTGACGAATCCTTGGCATCGTCGAATTCTGTTTGAGCAGGTTGCTCTTGAGCTTGTGAGACGCTACCCTTCTTACCAGCGGATGTTTCTTGCTCAGCTGCATCTTCGCCCATTTCCCCGTCTTCTCTCTGGGCATTATTGTCTTGCGCGCCATTGGCCTCTTCGGGCTGGTTTGGGTCCTGGTCTTGCCCACCACCCTTCACATCGCTCGGTGCAACGTCCTCATTATTCGCATTAACTTCGTCATTAGACTGCAATCCAGCCATCTCACGTTCCTCCGTTGGGTTTTCCGGTTCCTCGTCAGCGTCCTCGTCCTCCTGGATATTGGCCTCGTCCTTTTCTGCGCTCTCATCTAATTCTTCATTATCATCTCCCGTGTCGGCAGGTACCGTGTCCATCTCAGTGTCTTCGCCATTTTCACTCTCCTGGTCGTTCATCCGTTTCTCATCCGTCTCTTCTTGGTCCACGTCTGATAGTTTATCTAGTTCGTCATCGCTGATTGAAGACATCGAATCATCGTCATTTCCGTCAATATTCATGTCGTCAGGCAACGCCAAGGTATCTTGTTCCTGGACGTTTTGGTCTTGCTTGTTGGTTTCATCCTGTTGTTGGATATCTTCCTCTTCTTCCGCAGCAAGATTTTCATCCATATTTTCATCACCCTGTTCCTCATCTTCTCCAGGTTCGATCTCTTGAGTATCGGGCTGCGCATCAGCGGCTACCTGCTCATCTTTTTTCGGCTGGCCCTTGGTATTATCTCCCTGTTGATCTTTATCCGCTTCTTCTTCGTTTTCTCCGTCCCACATTTTCTCGTCGACGGCTGAAGGATCCAGATCATCGACATCGCCGGCTTCTTCGTCCATCTCATCGCCACTCTCATCTTCGTCACCAGATTTCGAACCGTCCTCTTTGTCGTCGCCGCCATCTATGCTTTCGAGATCACCTTCAAGTTCCTGGTCAGCCATATCGACAGCATCTTTTTCGTCTTCCATATCTTGGCCGGGTTCTTTATTTGGTTCTTGCGCCAACTCAGACAAGTCTTCGTCGGGCTTAATATCCTTACTGATATCCTCGGCGCCCTCTCCATCACCAAGACCAGTACCGCTCTCGAGCTGCCCAGACTCGCCAGATGTTTCGTCGGACTTTTCTTGGGGCGTGCAAAATCCCTGGGACGCGAGTTGAGTAAAGCTCTTGCTCAGTTTATAACCAAGCTTGCAAGCGCTTCCATGGGCACGGGAGAACGCTTTTATCGATTGATTGCAAGTAGCCTGGTACTGGTTTATAATAGGAGCAACGACCGCTATTAACGCCGTCGAGAGGTTGTTGATGGAAGCGTCATCTAAATTAACTTGGCTAAAAAGAGCTAGAATCTCCGAAATAGTTTTGTCAATTTTGTCCATGCGGAGAACTCGCAAAGAGGCAATCATTGTCTCGTTGTATTTGATCAGCCATCCAGTTTCCTCTTGTGAAGTAGGCAATTTGGCGATTGTCTTCTTGAATTGCTCAATGGTAACGAGGACACTATCGCAAAGGTTCTTTACCGCGTTGAGGATTGTATCGATTTGTTTGGTTGCCAAGTGCGAAGTAGACATTGACTGCTCATCAATGATAGTCCAAAGCCGAATTTGCTCAAGCAAGAATGCTAATGTCGGCCATGTTCGACACCCTTCATCCAACTCATCTCGGAATTCGTTGAATGATGAATTGACAGAGGCTTCCAACTGCGACATTTTAAGCGAAGTAAGCCAATTTGGTAGAGTGGGAAGTGAGCTCCATTGGACAGCGAGGTTGCTGATTCTTTCTAACCAGGCATTGAGCAAGTCGAGGATATCCTTGTTGTCGACGTTTCCGAGTTTACTATGTAGCCCAATGAGATGTATACCAACTTTAATGATCTGGACTAGCCAAATTGAAGCCCTCTCGTGATTGCCCGACAGCGTCTTAGTCTTGACTTCGTCGCCTCTTCTTAGGTTGCTAACAGAGTTGATGTGCATTGAACGGGTTGATAATGCGTTGTAGGCGCCAATTGCTTTCGCCAGGTCATGCCTCTGGCCTAGGGTAATATGAATCAACCCCTCAAGTAATCCGACACTCCTATCAATCTCTGCAGCCGTCAGATCATCTGAGTGGTCTTGAGAAGCAGCTCTGACCCGAGGTGCGAGATCAAGCATTTTATGGAAGTAGTAATCTGTCCCTTCATGTCCCTCGAATGATTGCAGATCCAGTGCCTCTGACAAAGCAAGCACCACGGAGAGGGAGTTTTGTCGGGATAGAACATCGGTGCCGAGATTGTATTGAATTCCCATTTGCCTCGCTTCTTTAAGCGTCTCCGCGAATAATTTTCGTTTACGTGACTTCAAATGCTTAATCAAGGCCTTATTCTCCTCGTTAAGGACACCAGGTGTTTCTTTGCGGAGTTCAAGAGCCGACGACTCTAGGTTAGAGAGGAAATCATCAATAGCTTCGCTGGCATCCAGAGAAGTCTCTGGGATTCGACTTAATCTGCTCATAATCTCAGTCGTTTTTTGGACATTGGCCAACCTTCGGTAGTCATCGTTCCAACTAGCAATATTTTGAGAGCACAAGTCAATCGCATTTTGGTCAATAGAAACGGTCTTTGCCTGGATATCCGCGGGTGCAGTTTCGCCAAGAGTTTCGTCCGGCAAGCCACCTTCAATGATCGGCTTCATAGGCTGACCAAGCACTTCCCTGAATTTTCGCACAATTCTAAAAAGTTTTTGGTGAGACTTGCGGGCGCTTTCTCGTAATGCAGCGATGTTCGTGTCTTTCCAGCTTGCTAAGAGGAGAACATCTTTCATCTTCTTCTCGAGGGGAGTTCTACCAGTGCGTATTCGATCCTCGACAGACTTCGTATACCTTGAGTAAAAGGTTATAAAGTTTTGAAGGCCATCCCGTATTACCGACATCGACGGGTAATCTGTTGCGAGTAGCTGTAGTTGCTTGTGGAGTTGCTTAAGAAGTTTAAGTCGGCTAGCAAATTGTCCAACGGCTGCAGACGAAAAGTAAACTTCTAATTCATTAAGAAGGCCGGCACCATGTTGCGAAAGATCCTCCCCAGCTTGAGCTAGGGTTAATGGTACGGCGATGATAGCCTGGTAAGCAATAAACCACCAGGAACTGGCATCTTCTTCGCTTTTCTTGACTTCCATATCAAATAATTTGCCCCATGTAGAAAGCTCAAGACGTCGCCAACTAACAAGTAAATCTGTCAATTGGTTGTACAACGTCA